TCTAAGCAATCAAAGCTTAGCATTTTCAGCTCCCAGCACATTACTCCAGGGTACTAAGTCGAACTTTAGCACCATCCATCCCAGATAACCTTCCCTGCTACATAAAGGTCATGCAAGCAAGAGAAGAAGAAAAAAATTCACTCCATCCATCGTCATGATCAACATAAATCTCACCCACATATGGCTTCTTCATCCCCTACCTACCACTGATCTACTCCACAATGCTATCATCCATAAGCATCCATACACACACAATCACTCGACGAAATACTCCCAAGAGTAACCTGACCTATGAAACAGCAACCTACACCTTGATTCTCCAACTCCAAACAGTACCCGAAACCGGTTAAAGTAGCTTTACCTTCCCATCACATGGCCCCCGAAATCTAATATCCATCACCATCATCATCATCCTTCTCCAGCAAACTTCCAAATATCCTACATGATAGGCCTACTAGTAGTAAAAAGTCAACCCAACCGGATTAAGTTTCAGGCCGCCCAGATGTAACTTCAAACTCCCTGAATCATAAAACCAAGAGACCGACGTCAGAACTGTCCCTTACAGGGTAAGGTGGTGTGAGTTCATTCTCAGCCCTGCGAGGATTTAGCATCTTTCGAACTCGATTGGGTAGAAACGTTATGGATGTGATGGGTGTGATGTGTGGATGGATGGATGGATGTAACCTCATAGTGATAACAATGAGGAATACGAGACACACACACACACACAATGCTATTATTCGATGTGCATGAGAAGTAAATGGAAATGAATAAAGTACTAACTACCCAGGTTTCCAGCTCTTTGTATTTCTAATCATCTTGCTGATGCTGACGTTTTATGTCTTGCGTTGAGTCATTGTTTAAGTATTATCAACTACGTCCCATGTGTGCTATACGCAAGAGACTCAATATATCTATCTTACTTTGATTCCATCATCATATTTCTTCATTTACGTACTATAAACCCATTGCCCGTGCCTTCTCTTTCACGACTACCTACACAGCTGGATCAGTCGCCAAATATACCTATCTACTATCATCACCTACACTACCAACACCCCCATCAGATGTCCATCCCATCTATCCCATCCAGCCAGCCAGCCACATAATGAGCGAGAGAGTGAGCGAGCGAGTCAGTAGGAAATGATCCGATTTGGGGAGGGGGGGGGGGGGGGGGGGGGGTTATTCAAGTTACTACAATTTAGAAAAAAGAACTGCTGCGTAGAACACATGCTTTGCGAAAACCTACGTACGTAGGTAGTACTTGGCTTGGCCTAGACGGTACGATGAGATGCTACACAAGGTCGTATGCATGTATGTACGATCATCATGGATGATTGTTTGTCTCTGTCTGGCTTTCTGTCTGGTGGGTGGGTTGGTACTTTCAAGCTATTCCCACTCACGCTTCTCCATTTATCTAACTATGGATAGTTTGAGCTGGTGGGCTCGTACTTTTGCCGAAGAGGTTATTATTGCTACTCCTTGGCAGTGTGCTACTGCCGAGTAAAAAGCTGTCTGCCTGCCAGGCTGGTGGTGACTGACTGACTCTACATGAAACAAGCATCAAACTGACCTACGCAATCAATCGAACCACCCATTACGAACACATTTCTCCAGTGAATCCAGTCATATTATTCCGCAGCATGCGTGCGTGTCTATTGCTAATCAATAACAGATAATCTTCCCCCTAATCTAAGACTTTGAACTCGTGATATTCTGCCATAACGACGAATGCGCTAATCTCCAAAAGCAAGCAAGCGACCGCGGCTCGGCCGGCAAAATTCTATTTTTACAAAAAATTGATGCAAGAAAGCAGCCCTCGACAGGAAGCCAGCAAAAAAAATGAGAAAATGGGAGAAATAAGGGAATGGGATATGTCGGGTCGTGAGCAATGGGCCCCGGGCGGGAATATGATTTATTCCATCCCACAAGCTCGTAGCCAGGTCAATCAAGGGAGACTCAAACGAGGTATGCTCTTCGCTGAAAACCACCAGTTCCGATCTTGGACTGCGCCATTCTTGACTCCGCCAATACAACGCCAGGCAAATGATCGATCAAAAACAGGGAGGCCGAAGGATTCGGTGACCGAAAGAGATACATTCCCGCACCACCTTCACTTTTCTTGTTTTCCTTGTCGCCGTGTAGATTGGCATGATTGTTTCTCTAGTGTTGTGGTGTCGTAGGAAAATATAGAGTAAGATCAAGTTTAGAAGAATAATAGGAAGAAAAGGAATTGGTAAAGTGTAAAGAAAAAGGAATGAAGAATGTGCAAGAATCGAAAAGCTTCACAGATCCCAAGGGCCAGCCTCAGTATCGGTCGTCTGGTCTCTCATTGAGTTGCATGACCAAGGACTTTAGTGATGTTGCTTCCGGACTCCAAAGTCCCGGACGCCGGCACCGCCACCACCCTTGGGGCCGAGCCACACGATCTCGATCACACTGTGGCCTTCGTCTTCTTCACGCACATACCACTGGTGCACATTGTCGCCAACCACGAAAGCATCACGCAACAACCAACGATCCTTTGTGACACCTTCCTGATCCCGGTTGCGGAGGGGTCCCAGGCGGGCCTCGTAACCACGGGGGTCCTCCTCCCAGGTCTTCTCAGTGTGGTCAAAGTTGATCGCATCATCGGGTGTGTTCTCATCGTAAGTGTACTTGACGAGCGAGTATCCGTTGGTGAACACCCAAAAAGTACGGGTGGAGCGACCAGTAGCGTTGTTGACGATCTCTTCCTGGTCAAAGACCCAGCGGCGCAGAACCGAGCGGCGACCGGCAGCGGCAGCCACAGTGGTCATCTTAACAACATCCTTGGTGTACCAGCTGTTCCAGTGGTGCAGAGACTCGATCTTGCGGCCAGACTCGTAGACACCGTCAACCTCACCCTTCATGTCCATTTGGTACAGAGAGGGCCAGAGGGTAAGAGGGGTCTCTCCGTATCTCTGGATGCACTGGCCGAGCTTCTGGTCACCAGGCTGCTCACCCCACGACTGGCACTCATCGTAGTATTCCTCCAGAACATCGAGGAGGGGCTTGGAAACGAAAACACCAGCACCACCGAAAGCAATGTGGCCGAAAGTATCCACCTGCCAGCTAGCCTCAGACAGGGCACCAATGTAATGCTTCTTGTTCACATCGAAGAGCTTCAGCTCCTCAGCGATGGTCGGCAAGGACAGGAAGAAAGTGTCATCATCGATGAAGCTAACCCACTGAGTCTGAGGGCGCTTGGTCCTGATGGTCTCAGCGAATGCCTGGACCAGGCCGAAGTAACGAGCAGTGAAGTCCAAAGGAGACTGGATCAGGGTCAAATCCAAGCCACGGTTGCGGAAGTAGGCCTCCTGCTTGGGAATGTCGTCGTCCGATTCCGGAACAAGCACAATCAAGCCAGCCTTGGTGTTTCCATAGGAGTACAGCAGGGAAGGAAGCAGTCGGTCCAGACGGTCGGCAGTAGTAGCCAGACCGAACAGGAGCTTATCAGTCTCGTCCACATCGTTATCAGCAGCAACGTTGACGTCGATGATCGGAGGGCAAGGCAGGGGTTCCTCGTTCTCGGGCGACACGACCATACCGCGCTCCATGATGGTCATCGGAGGGAGCACCGGGACTTCGATATCCTCAAGCGAGTTGAACTCGGTCTTGGGGCTCACATGGTGAGGACGGAAGTAGGCACGGGTGTAGTTCTTGCGAGGAAGCCATTCGCTGAAGGGCAGAGGAGCCTGAAGACCAGGGTCCACGTCGCAGGCCTTGGATGGGGGTGTCGGTTGCAACTGGATTTGCGGGGTTGAACCAGCGACGCGATCGGCTGGATGCTTAAAACGCAGAAGGGCAGCCTGGTCGAAGCGCTCGACGCACCAGAAAAAGAACCCAATCGAGAAAAGGGCGATCAGAGGGAAAACCGTCTTCATACGGAACATCGGCATTTTGGCGGTATTATTATGAGTATTCTTGAACATGTGAGATTGTAGAAGTCGGTGACGAGTTGATTAAATTTTATTTTTCTCTCGTCTCAAAAGCACGTCAACCGGAAACGAATGGTTGTCGTCACTGGAACCGTTCTCGCAAGTCGTCACGTATGGAAATATGGTATAAAGAGTGGAATTGGCTGATAGAAAACTGATCCTGAGCAGGAGAATTTTTCTATTGCCTGGTAGACTGTCAACGAAAGGCTGGCAGCGTCGAGACCTGCGACACGGTCACGGAAAGGGGTGAGAAGCCCCGGAAGATTTATGGGGGCAGAAAGCCGCAGGAAACAAGTAGTAGCGAGGAGAATAGAAAAAAAAACCCAAAGAGAACAGGCCGACGAAATCGCGACCAGACGGTGCGTCGAGGGCTCAAAGAAGAGAGAACAAGAGGAGGGAGACGAGCGCTGAGCGTCGAGGGGTTGAGGATGTCGCGAGAGGAAAGGGAAAAGGGGAAGAAGGTAACGGAGGGGGGAGAAGAGTTCGAGAAGTAGAGGAAGAAGATGAGGGCGGAAGACAGGAGAGACAGGCGACTGGGAGCGATCCCAAGTGGGAATGCCGAATGCTGGACCACGGGTTGGGCTGGGGCCAAAGCTCCTCCACTGGGTAATTTAATCTGCAAATATTAAGCTCAGCCCGTCTCTGGTCTGGCTGATTCTTGCTGTTGGTTTCTTGCCGGGCAGATTAAACGACGGAAGGGGTCTCTTCAAGTTGCAGAGAAGTTATTTTGCTTCCTTTTCCTTTTTCTAAGACAAGCAGCAGCCAAGTGTTGCACGGCAGAGAGAACGAGAGGAAGGTAAAAGAGAAAGCAAGAGAGAGAGCATCAGATGAGGTGAAAAAAACACCAGCTGGTCCGGATCGAGGAGGGCGATAGATGATTATTTTTATCTTGAAATAAAAAAAAAATAATAATCATAATAATGCTCATTCAATGTCTTCGACTTCCGAACGAGGAATTTACAGAATTTACACCACGATGATGCTTAGTGTTCTTATGCTCGGCCTGTTGACGCCTCCCGCTGTATGCCAAGTTATTTACTGTTCCTTTCCATTTCAGTCTTTTGTATTCTTTCTTTTTTGTTCTTTCTCTTTTCTTTACAGTATCCTGCTTTGTTTACACACACACCCTCCTTTCCTGCCACCTCTTACGCTCTTTCTTTGCGCTTCAAGAATCATAGCTGTTCCTGCCTCTGGACGAGATTTGTGTGAGTTTCCTGAATACGGCACTGCCCACCACCCACCTATTTTCTGATGCCGATCCCTGACTGAAGGAAGAATGTCGATGGGCGGATCTTCACTGCTCCACCCGGCCGGTGGCGGGTAATTTTCAATCTCGGATTTCGGACCCTTGCGAACTTGTGATACGGAAACGGCGGACGTTCATTCCTCGACGCGTTGACAGTCGTCGTCGTCGTCGTCTTCGTCTCCATCTCGACCTCCACGAAACAATCCATCATCAATGGCATAGCATGATGCCTCCGCGTCTCAGGATATCATTTCTGTGACAGTAGTAGATCCAGGGAATGCCCCGATACATCGAATCATATTAGTTGACAGATCTCAAGAAGTCAATGCATTTCCCCAGGCTTTGGTTTTCCCCCTCCCTCCCCTCTTCGATGTACAGTACATGCGTGGATGCGTATCTCCGTCCAGATCCTCCAAGTACCACATGGATGCGCAGAAGTCCCTACAGCAGAGTCAACTGATCAATCAAGCGCCTCCCGGAGAAATCAACATGGTCTACAGAAATAGAACATCACCGGTAATCCTATTCAGGCTCATTATTCTCCGGCTTTTCTGCCTTACTGACTCCCTCTTGGTATTTGTAAATGTTATGCTTCTAAGCTTGCGTTAACCATTTTGAGGCAATCCCGTTCTACTAGGTTGGTTACTAGAGAGACCTGGTAGCCTTCATGATGGAATGTTCAAGGCAGTGATCACCGCTGCTCGTCTATCTTAAATTGAACACTACTGGTCATACGAAAGACTGTATTTCTTTTTCCCTTTCTTATTCTTTTTCATGATGTTTGTGGTGGTACGGATAAAATGACAGCTGGTCTCTGGCTGCTTCTGGACTCCAGCATCAATCCTCCATACATTCTCGGAATGTTCCAGCGGGTGGACCACCTCGGGCGGACTGCTATTCTTATCATCCCGCTCTTTCTTCTTTCCGGACACAAAGTTTTAATGCAGACAGCGAATGTGCCCACCACACCCATTTTCACACCTCCAGATCCGCATGCGCATTCATATCCATGTCCGGCGCCTGAGACATTAATCCGTCCATTCATTCATATTCCAACTTCACAAACAGGGTGTAATACCCTGTCGAATGTCAGAACGCCTTACAGAGAAACCAATCGGCTGGTTGGTGCAGCTAAAAAAGATGGAAACTTCGATCTGCGCGGTTGCCCGCCGTTTCAGCCAGTGAGGAAAGACCCTTTAGGGGCTCGCTGGGCCGGTGGCCCCACGGGCCGCGTGTCCTTCCCTCCCCCTTCTCCATCCAACCATCCATTCTCCTATTCTTGACTTTCGCTCTCCCTCTTCCCCCGTAGTCACGGTGTATCGGGTATAGTATCAGCTCATACCCTGATTCAGCCCAGTGGTGTCCGCCGAAGTGAAACTAGGCTCGTCATGGCCACCAACGTGCGGACCATTCAGATTGGTAGTGGAAGACTGACCACAACAAGGTACCTTCGCTCTCCAGCACTACGTAGTAGGCCGATAGACTAACAGTCCGCTACTCTACTGCTGGGCTGGGCTTGCCTTAACACATCCACCGGTCGGCAGGGTTTACCTCGACGCATCTACTTTGTGTCGGATAGAAACCCTCAGATTCGGACAGCGGAGTCTTCTGTGATCCTGTTGGTCTTGTTTTTCAGCTGCCTTTCCATTGCCACGTACTGGGGATTAACAGACGAATCCCATCCAACTCTTGGGACCAACGTCCTCTGGTTTTTGTTCTATGTATAGTGCCACCACCAACTGAAAAACCGCTCCACGAGTTTTTGGAGAGTGGCAAAGTGTGGCCGTGTGGTTGAGCCTCATGAGTGGACATGGGCTGAGCGGATTGCCTCCAGACTCTCGGCCTGTACCTGGTGGTTCCTCTGGTTGAAAGTGGTTCTGTTACTGCCCGTCAGCTGGTCCAACTACCCACGTTTCAGTGGAAATTTTGCAATCTCATAAGTTACGTCCGCCTTGACCAGCCCGTCCGGACGCGCGTACGTCGTACTTGATACTTTCTCCCCTCGTCACTCGGCAGCTTGTTATTGATGGATTGTTCAAGCTGCGTATCCGCGGAGGGGTAAACCCCAGTCAAACTGCAAGTGGGCGCAGAAAAGTAAAATGTTTGCGACATCATCCGACCCAATCGCAGGCATCCATCAGCAATCGTGTCGCCGTCCCCCTCATCCATCCTGGATTGACCGGGCTGGCGCCATCGTGAACACCTGAGTAGTCAGTCTACTCCGTAGATACAATTTATTTCACACAAACGTTTCTTCCTACCGTGCGCACGGCAGGGAAAGGAAGGAGAGAGGGATCGACATTGTGGTCGTTTCGCAAGCATGACCAACTTCGCTAAAAAACATTGCCGGACAATTAAGCTTGAACGCCAGCCTTGGCAGCTGTCACCTACACACCCATTTGATGGACCCTGACACTCTGTCAACAATCTCTGTGCATGGAATGCATGATACATCCAGCTGTCCTGTGCCATTGAGTTCAGCTCTCCCCAGGATTTCCAACTGGTTTACTGCAAACCATTCGTCAGTCTTTCACTGCCCAGCCCAAATCGTAATTGCATCCCAGATGGGCGGTTTACTACGTAAACTCCAATGCAAGCACTTCCCTCCCCCTGATCATCATCCAGCCATCGCCATTCGGTCCAGTGTTGTTCACCCAGAGCCGAGATGCCAAGCACACCATTATGGGCCTCGGTCGCTGTTTAGGGAAGGATGTGCACCCATTCAGGTTCGACTGCCGTCCTTCTCTTACCGCAAAAGGACGACAGCACTCCGTAGTTATGGATCCAATGTCCAAAGGGAAACGAACAATGACATCAATTGGATGAGAGGAGGGTCCTCCGTTCAGGGTCCATGTCGCTCTTTTCCGACGCCCGGTTCTTCCCAAGCCACCTGAATGAGGTAGAGTACGGAACGGCATCCAGCAAGTTCCTTAGATGGAGTCACGCTATGCCTTCTGCGTATCCGGGAACCCTGGACAAAAAAACATTAGCTCGTCATGGAACAGACCGACTCAGTTCGAAAAAAACCACCTGCATAGTTTGCCAGCGTTTTCACACTACTCATACGGACACCCGGTTAGTCGATAATAGTTCTCACTGCAAGTCCACCACCAACGGTCACCCGTTATCCTGATAGGCCAATTGCCGCGAGCATGCAATCGGCCACTAAAGTAGTAACCAAAGCCCGAAAGCGAGAACAATAAAAGCTTGGAACGGAGGAAGAAGACCACTCTGGCCAGAACCCATGGTATAGTTATCATAGTAGATAGTAAGTAATGATGCCATATTCCGCCATAATGAGTATACATTATAATACTTATGAATAAATGAATGTACACGCGTCTCAACATTTGACATTCTCTTATCCAAACCAGACAGAGAGAGAGAGGGAGAGCCTTCCAACGCCTCTGGATTAGCATCATATCACAACAAAGAAAGAAAAGTAAAAAAAAATAAGAAATTGATCCCCTCTACTGTCACCCAACTTGCCAATTTAACCTGCAGATAAGGACTATCTAGAAGGAGTAGGAACCCGGAAATTAAGCGATATTAAAGTGAACACTGATTAGCCTACTTTGTATCTAGTCCGTTAATCTACCCGTGGACTATAGGATCTTAGCCCGCCGATAGAGCGTTTCAGATGCAAGATTTCGAGAAATGAATTGTGGGTAAACAAATTATTATGTTGTCTCAAACGGGTAGATAGTTGTACGTAGTGGGCAAGTAAGGTTAATGTCTCAGACTGATTTACTAGTACTTTGTTATATGCGGTGTAGATTTGGGTTAATTGGCTTGTGGTCTGTTACTGTTATATTATAAGCTTTGAGGATGGGGGAGGATTGATAGTACTGTGTTAATAATGTGATCTGAAACAGAGTGTATATTTGATCTACTGAATTTGTGAGATGTAGATGGCCGAATCAGGCTGTCTCTTATTACTAACGAACTCGATTGCTGCGGACGTCGACTGGAAATGACTTTCCCTTTCCGCTTTAGGGCGAACTTGGCGCCGCTTTATGCTCCCTGAGCGGCCAGGAGCGTGGGAAGAGCACAAAAGTGCGTGTCCTGAGCAATCCCTGAGCGATCCCGGATTGCTCCGGGAGTAAACACTAGAGAAGCGACCATCACCCTGTCCGCATGCCTGAGTTTACACGAGCTAGTCATGTGACCCAACTAGAATGTGCACCACTAATATCCTCTATATCACTTTTCGTCTCGGCCGGCGTGCCCGTCATTTTCCTGGTCCTCGAAAACCATTGGGCCCCATTTTTATGATCATCTCCTGTTTAAATCGAACCTCCTGACAGCGAGTTACTCTCGAGCACCAATAGTCTCAATCCAAGTTTCTACCAAAGTTACCAAAGAGGCTTCGCTTACGGAGGTGTGTTTCAATAGTCATTAGCAGCGCTAGTAATTTTGCCGAAATACAGAATACCTTATGCACCACGTGACTATACACAAGTATCTTATACACTTACACGTGATGCACAATCAATGTATAAAATAGCACGTGAGTGATATTGTGCATCACGTGTTTTGTTGTGCGTGTAATGGTTACTATGCATTACTGCCAAGACACCGTAATGTGACAGGTCATGTTAATGACTTTTGAAACACACCTCCGTACAGTCAACGATGCTCTACAACCACTCTAGACCTATACTTCTCCTACCTACTACCCTTTTAGACCTCGCAATGTTTAACTGGACCAGAGGCCTTGAAACTTCTCAATTCGTAGCATACATGTGATACACTGTTCTAAGTAACACCTGAAAAGCTGAATGAGGCTTAGCAGTACAGGTAGTACAATGCCTTTCAAATCTCTAATTGTCATTATGGAATCTACATGGACGCAGTGACTTTCAATACACCCTTTTCTGACGAGTTGCAGAGGTGGCACAAAGTAAGAAGTAGGAACAGACCGAAGAGTAGGGACAGACTTGCAGGTAGGGACAGACCGGAAGGTAGGGGCTTCAATATTACGCTCACCCGCGATCACCCTCGATTGCCTTACCCTCAATCACCAGCCAGAAATGGAACACCCGTATCCATCAATCTTGGTAGAGGACTTCCTGTTTTCCTCCCCATGCTTCATATGCCCATGTACTGTAGCTTTGACTCACTTGTAAGCAGGGTGACCGGGTGAGCAAAAAACGGATAAAAAGAACTTAATAAGTCTATGCAAGATACTTTGTTAAATCAAAATCGTGGTGGTCAGATCTCTCTTCCTTGCTTGGTTGTTGGGTCCAGCAAGATGGCGAATGTCAGAACAGTTCGTGGGCGACATTCGGATAACTCCAGGTCGAAGCGTCAGCAACGGTTATGGCGAGGACTTCGATTGATGTTTGGTGCATTCGAATACTGTCATGAATGTGATGCGGACATCTCTCTTCTAATTCGATTGAAAGACACGGGCCAAATCTATATCTTCAATTCTGATAGACAGTGGCAGCCATCCAAAGAGCAATTAGTTTGTGTCTTCAATTATTACTAGCTAGGATAGAGACTAACAAGCTGCAGGCAGGTTACTACCCCAAGCCGAAACAAGTGACTTGGGAAGAACTCGCCTCTAAATACCGAGTCTGACAAGCATTATTGCTATCTGGCACCGCGATGAATACGAGGTCGCAGGCATCAGAACTATGAGTCCAAGAAGCGGAACGTCCATGGTCTTAGCCGAAGTTTCATGACCTTAGTTTAAATATCAACAATGCCATTCAGTCGAGCACCCATGTTTTGAAATGGACATAATAACATGTTTTCCTAGTTCGTTTCTTAGTGTTGTTCATCGACAACATCAGGTAGATGACCATAGTTAGTTACATAAATAATGGATTAGTAAGAATAGTCGGGACAAATTGTGAGCATCTCCTCTAACAGGTTGTGGCCGTCTGGGCGAGCTGCAGTAATCCAACGGGGTTGATGCAACAATATCTTACAAGCACGGGCAGCTTACCTGGGAGACGGCAACGGTTTGGATTTGATCGCAACTAACTGGAAGCCGTGGAAATCATTGGCGGTCAATGTTTGAAAGCAGCAGCATTGATTATGAGTTGCTTTCTGCCTGTCTCCTGCTACCTATGTGCAACAGCACCCTTTCCAGGCTGGATTCGAAGATTCAGTAGTGCGCTGAAGAGGACCGTTTCCAAGTGGCGCCAGCTTGTGTCTCACCCACTGAGATCAACGAGTTGGTCTTCTGACGCTGCATAATTACCCGACTCCTGGCACTCTGATTATGCCATATACATACCGATTATCACAAGTGGATCATCTTGCAGTTCTCGTCACCACTAAACACTGCCAGCTATAGACTCATTGTGCCCAGAGAAGGAGTCTTAATTGCAGCCAGAAAGCTACCATTGTAGTTGGCGTAGCAGTCTTGAAGCTCTAGTGCCGTACACAATCACCCCGAAGATCTCCTTGATTCCAAGCATATCTTCTAATCATTGATGTTGGTTTACATGTTGTTTTTAGGTCATCTATGCAGGTGCGGAGACCCATACTAGATCGATCCAGTGTGAATAGCCTAGTGTTGGGGCGGTTCCCGCTGGGTCCTGAACGGAACAATGAAGTCATGGCATCAGACCACCCTTTGTTGGCTCACAGGGGGCTTTTTTTATTGCGGCACTATAGGCGTAGGCTGCACAGTCTAGACCGAGCTATCGTGTTTTCTATACCAGAACCGCAGAAACTATATCCTTAATTCAGTTCTCCTTCTCGTGGAGTCCAAACAATTCCATCGGCCTTTCCTTTAGCTTCCTGACCTGGCACTCGTCATTATGACCTCAGTAATGTGCGAATTGTTCTGCGAGTCATTCTGTAGAAAGCTGTAATGGGTGGCCTCATTTTTTCCTTTCTCAGATTACAACATCTCTAAGCACTACCCTTGACAATCTCCCCGGCATTTTCTGGGCCAAAGAGACCACAGTGTAAGCGGTTTAAACATATCTACCATGTCTTCTCGAACTATCGGGGACAGTGGTACTGAGAGGCGCACGTCCTTATATCAACTGCGCAGGGCAAAGGCACAGCTGGCAGAGAATGACTGGACTGGGCCTCCTTTTAATGTATGGAATGGCGCCGTAGCTATGGATCCAATATCAATTAATGCCTTTTTCAGGTTATCTACGCAGGGCTTGCAGCTCGGTTCCACCTCCTGACTGGAGTGACGATCGCCGTTGCTGTACGTGACTCCACGTATTTGCTTGACTTCGCCCAATATACCTTTACTACAAGCAACCAAAGCCATTATCAGGCCGAAATCTCTCAGTTCATCGTGGAGAAAATGAGGGACTACCAGGAACAGCACGGTGAGAAGTTCATCGGCTTGGCAATGCCCACCGACCTGGCGGAACGATGCCCGGATCTCTGTACACGCCTTTGGTCTGAGCTTGATGTAATCCCTATTGTGCTCCGGAAATCGGAAGAAAAGTTGAGCTGGGGTATGTTTGAAGAACATTTACCGCATAGATCGTTGGACGAACACACCGAGTCTATTGCAAGAAAATGCATCCGGTGAGTGCCGCCATTGTTACGCCTTGGTATTTAATAGGGGACTAATCCCCCCCAGATTCTTTGGACCTACTCATGCTCCGGTGCCCGAGATCGGTAGCCGAGGCCTTGTTGAGGTAGATGCCGCCTTTCACGTACAGATTACCACTCTTGCAGACTATAAGAAAACAGTAGGAACGGCAACTTGGGCAGCAATACAAAAGTACGCGAGTGACCTCCAGAAGCGAAGAGTAAAGGTAGCCTTCTTCAGCGCTACTCCGCAGGGCGGTGGCGTCGCTCTGATGCGGCATGCAATGGTCCGTTTCGCAAAAGTACTCGGAGTCGACCTCAGATGGTAATGTTTCATCTCCACTTCAAGTTCAGTGGCTGGTCTAGCTTTATTCCACCTGCTCACAGCGCCATCAGGTATGTCCCTAGACCAAGACATGGCATTTTCCGAATTACGAAAAACAACCATAATATATTGCAGGGGGTCGCACCCCCCGGCCTCCGGTTCACTGCCGCAGACAAGAATTCGCTTCGAGATTGGGTAATTGACAATGCCGAACGCTACTGGTTCAAGGGGATCCCTCTTCCTCCGTGGTTGGAACAGTTTTCTCCTCATGCCTATACATGGATCAGTCGGTATGGCCCTCCCCATCCCGCCTGGTTTGAAAAGAACGGACCGCTGGTGCCACCTTGGGAGGGAGGTGCCGATGTTGTGGTCATTGACGACCCTCAACTGCCATGGCTTATTCCACTTATCAAAGCTCGCACCCCACAGCGGCCAGTCATTTTCCGCAGTCATATCCAGATACGAAGCGATCTGGTTGATACACCTGGTACTCCTCAAGCAGAGGCTTGGGAGTTCCTGTGGGAGGCCATTAGCAAATCAGACATCTTTGTAAGCCATCCTGTTCGTGCGTTTGTTCCACAGGTTGTTCCCAGGCAGAAGCTTGGATATTTGCCTGCGTCAACGGACTGGTTAGACGGACTCAATAAACCCATGACGGACTGGACCGCCAGTCACTATGGTCGGATCTTTAATGCCAAGTGCCGGGAGCAGTATATGCCAAACATAGGATTTCCAAAAGGTGGGCCATTTCCTAGGTTTGTAATAATTGCAGGACAGCGTTTTAACTTACACTATGCTAGAGGATTACATAGTCCAGATTGCCCGATTTGACCCTTCAAAGGGGATTCAAGATGTTCTCATTTCATACGAGAAGTTTCATAAACAGCTTGCCAGATCCCGTCCAGATCTGAACCCCCCCAAACTGCTTATCTGCGGTCATGGGTCAGTCGATGACCCTGACGGCTCAATTGTCTACGACGCTGCTCTTGAATTTATTGAGCAACATCTGCAGCACATTCGGAATCTGATATGTGTTATGCGTATTGGCCCTAGCGACCAAATGCTCCATGCCCTCTTGTCGAGGGCAAAGATCGCTCTGCAACTTTCTACAAGGGAGGGCTTTGAGGTGAAAGTGTCAGAAGCACTCCATATGGGAAAACCGGTGATTGCGACACTCGCCGGTGGTATTCCGCTTCAGATTCAGCACGGTAAAAATGGATTTCTAGTAAAGCCTGGGGACACAGACACGGTGAGTGGGTATCTGTTCTCACTGTATACCGACCATGAAATGTATGATCGTATAAGCAAGTACGCGGCGGGCAGTGTAAGTGACGAGGTCAGCACGGTCGGTAACACCCTATCATGGCTATTTTTGGCGTCCAAATTGTCAAATGGTGAGCACATGGAGCCTAATGGGCGCTGGATAAACGACATGGCTCGCGAGGAGGCGGGTGAGCCTTATGGTCCTGAGGAGTACAGGCTCGAGCGAACGCTGGCAGCTTAATATAAGGGGTGAATCGAAGGAGTAACCGGTCGTGTAATCGATTTGATTTCCCTTTTTATCTATTGCTTTCGTCATCTTATTTCGATTTTATGGCGTCGTTGACATCTATGTTTTCGTTCATTCCAATAATGGATCAGCGGGGTGCACTATCTGCTTGAAATGCTATTCAGCTATTAGCATATACCCAATTTTACTTCTACCTGGTGCAGTGCATTATCAAAGCTCTATACATCCTCTGTTTCCCTGAAGGGTCTTTCTACCGGGGTCGTACAGTGAAAATCAATAAGACCAAAACAACGCGCGACTGAATCGCCTGTTCAGAGCGCGTCTTTATCGATACAGCAGACTTATTATTAATAAGATTCGATGGCTGACCATGAGTATTCAGTCCCTAGAGTTACTATTTGCTAGTCAAGTTCCGCCCCCAGTCCTACTAGTTACGAAATCCTAGCGAAGGACTGTGCGGTCGGAAGTCCTCGGGCACTCACAGGATTAAAGCAAACACGAAGGCTACGGTATGTCTATGCCTCATTGACCTTTCTTTTTTCGGCAGATGAACTTTGTAGGCGGCTATTAACAATGGGGTAATTAGAACCTTGATAATAGATCTGGAGGCTGCTTGCTGCTCTTAGAATTCAGAAGTGATTTACGCAAAATACGGTATTTCCTCTAGGTCTACAGGGCTGAGAAGAGCGCATTAAATGTGTAGCGCATCGTTTAAGTACTCTTCCTGTGAGTGTGTACAACGGAAGCGGATATTACTATAGCAAGCACCAGGTTGCTATCCCACGAAATCCGCTCGTCATATTTGTTGTATATCTGGGGAATCTTGGTTTCTAAAGAGGTAATTTACACACGGCATGAAACTCGAGTTAATGGATATATAGATATCGTACCAGACCAATTAATGGACCAGAGTGAGATTGGCTAGATGACTGCAAAGCCATATTTGTTGGCAGGAACATTCGTTCTGCTAATCACTCTCGATTTGCGAGAATCAGTGAAAGGGTTTTATTGTTTAACCTGGGTCACGTCCTCCAAATTCTATGACCTCAGTGTCCTACAACCTTTTCCAGAAACGAAGGATCATCTGGAACGCCCGTGTTCATGAATGTGGGACAGATATGCGTTATTGGCTGTTAGCCCCAAGGGTCGAGGATTTATTTGTTTGGATCTGCCGCTTCTGTGGAAGGGTGAGGTGTAGAGGATGGAGAACTGGGTTTACTATGGCGATCAAGATGGCCGTTGAAAGTTAGATCGGATGCGCCTGCGCTGTTCCACTCAGAGCGAAAGAGGATAGTACGGTCTCGCATTAAGGTCCTAATGGGTGCTGATGCCTAAGGCTGATTTGGGCTGGTTTGCAATTACGAAGTACATTTTATATAACGTGGCGACTGGTCATGCCTTGAATCCAAGTAGGAGACTACCTGTTTAGGGAAACGGAAGGAACGTAAAATCAGTGTTCTGCGCCTCTGAACGACCGCAGCCACACACATGAAGGTTGACGATGTTACCGCTCCAAATACTGGCGCTGCCAGACATTGAGAGATCTGCAACAGGATCTCCTCCACACTAACTAAATCTAGACGACAGCAATCAAGTATCAAAATCCATCATTTACGAGGATAATGACACCGGTTCACGTATCGCATCTTCGGTTTCTTCCCCGGCTCGACGGACGTGGGCGCTCCATACAATGTATTGAAGTTGGTGACCCCGCACCGAACCGTACTAGAAAGTAGGAGACATAGGATCGTCTCACAGGCTCGTTCTTGATAACTTTAATATTCTCCATGTTGGTTCAACAGTTGAACTACTAATCACTGTGCATTACTCGAAGCATCGTCTCCTAAAAAAGCTAACCGGATAATGCCAAGCTTTCTCGCCCAGCATATGTTGTTTGACGGGGTCAGAAACGACTCTTCAGGGATTAGTCATGGGTGGCGTCCGTCGGCTCCAATATCACTGCTACTTCCATACCAGATCCTACTCGATAATATCGTTGGGACGAGGTACTTATTTCCTGTCTATTGTGCAACCGGAAGTCAGATAAACACGCACTAAGGCTAGTATCTGTCATTCATTATTGCTCTTACGTCGACCTATCGCGGACCTGGTCATCGCATTCTTAAAGGATCCTAGCTACTATATAAGTACGGAGCCGTGTAACAAAAGTTACTAAACTGCGCTAGTTCTCTTGGTAGTAATCAATGTATCACTGTGTCATCACTCGCGATACAAACTTCTATAATAGATTATACGTTTATTATTGACAGGGATCACATGTGAATTATATACTTCTTGTTGTTTTAATTATAAAAATTAGGCTGATTAAACTGAAGAAACACGCTGAAGTATAAAATCTATGATGTTTAATACCACTGCTGATATATCTGTTGGCTGGAATTCATCTTTCTTTACGAATTAAATTCTTATCTGATTATTTAAAAATGATCTCTTCCATGAAAGCACAGATCAGTTATATGCCTCATACAAAATCATATCCATATTGAATTCCTAATGCGAACGGAACAGATTGGGCTTATTCCTTGCAAATCATGATATTCACTCTTTTACATGTGATTCTTGCATCATTCTGATCATCTAATCATGATTTCTTTGTTTCCTGATCAAAGTTATGATTCATGACCCTGATCTAGATTCATTCATTACAAGCAGTGAATTAAATATAAATAGAGCCTTTCATTTCCTATCTAATCATGTTTAAAGCAAGCCTTCCAAGCAAGTCTTCCTATATGAGGATCGCTTACCCTTTTTGGCCTAGTGCCCCTGGGCGGCCCAACAAATTTTTTATTCTATTTGTATTTCTTCGGGCTTGTTTTCTCGTATATAATATATTATATAAATTAGTATAGTAACCGATACGCCTGTAGAACGCCAAGAGAATTAGCGCAGTTCAATAACTTTTGTTACACGGCTCCGTAGATCTGGCTCATTTTACGTAGTAGACAATTCCCTCCAGTGCGTCTCCACTAGTTCTCTGGGCTTCTCACCGACTGAATCCATGTTTCTCCACGGCCAACCAGTCCAGGTGCGCAAACTCCGAATATACACAAGAAGATGTGTGGCCTGAGTGAAGGCTGACACAGATGCTGTCACCTGGTACGAGGATTAATGATACAAATACACCAAATCCGCCTCGGGCCTCATCCAAGCAAGCAAAGTATTAGACGACGTCCTATTCCCCCTCACAGGTTGACATTCACTACCTCCCATGCCGGGCATATTTGCTCCTCATCCGGATCTTCTCCCCGTATCTATATAATAAAAATGGATATGGCACGAACAACACAGTCAAGCAACCCAGCAATGTACAGGCCCAACCAACACCCAGATTATGGAACATTTGAGTTGCAAATAAGGGGAAGCCGCCGCCAAAAGATGATCGTAGGAAGTCATTTCCAGCAAGGACCGAGGCTGCATATCTCGGATAAGCCTGTGCCTCGTAGCAGAAAATACTATTGAAGATGAGATATCCCCCAATAGCAAAAAGCGCAGAAGCAATAATGGGCACAATCCAATGGATACTTGCGAAGTTTGCAGTCCATCCAAACCAAAAAAGGGATATCGGGAGACACAAAGCGCCAAAACACGCCGGAGGAAGATGTTCCTCTGGAGAGAGAGAGCCGTCGTCATTGACATGTTTGGACTGCCAGCGGTATTTCCAATAGAAGTACCCCGGAAGAGCAACACATACAGCCCCTATCAAGATACCTAGGAAAGCCAAGCCGTCTTGGCCTGCGTTGAAGCCATGCTTCTCCTCAAAAACAATCGGAAAAGCCTCAAACCAAATATACAGAATCCCGTATATCAAGGCAATGTAGAGGTTCATCAGAAGGACGATCGGTTCAAGGAAGCAGAGCACAAATGGGCGGACAAGAGATTCAAATAAGACATCCTATTTTGGTTGGATTAATTCGAAGATGCCCTTGATCAGGCGCAGAAAACAGCTTTTGCCACATGGACTCACCCTGGTAGCCACATGCGATATCTCGATCTCGGATTCGGACGCATATCTCTGATCATCCATGATCCGGCGAATACGGCGTGCTCGGCGGCTCAGAATATTAGGCGCAAATGTCTCAGGCAGGAAAAAGAAGAGAAGCACTAGAGCAAAGCCAGATATCCAAAGCAGCTCCCAAATTGTCCACGTCCAGCCTTTGGCGGAGGCAGCAAATCCTCCCACGAGAGGGCCTAGCACAGGAGCAGCAATGGCAAAGGATGCCCAGATAGCTATCATATAATCGCGGACCAGGGGATTCCACATATCCCCAATGGAGGCTCCCCCTGTCGCGAGAACGGGCGAGCCAAGGAAGCCGGTTAGGAATCGAAACGCCAGCAGCATCCCGATGTTCTTCGCGTAGATGACCGCGAATTGAAAGAAAACGAACACGACCAATGTTGCAACATATACCGGACTTCGTCCCACCGCGGGAAGCTCTGATATCGGAGCCCAAACCATAGGTCCTCGATAACTCTCAGTTAGCATCTGATAAGATCGATGGGATGTCATTCCATTCGACCCAGCTCACCCAGTCCGTATCCGAGCACAAAAAGTGTCAAACCGAGAAGCGCAGTTACATTACTCACACCAAACTGCCGAGCCACACCCGGCACTCCAGGTGTGTAGATTGCCGAACCAATATAGATAGAAAACGTCAGAAGGCAAATAAGCAGAGTGACCAGCATCTTTTTTGTGAGACTCCAATTTTGAGGATTCTGCTAGCATTAGCCCATAACTCACCTTCCCGGCCATGAAACTTTGCAACATTCATAAACGGCGTCCTACCTCGCTATCATCTGGCCCTCCCCAGCTAATTGCCTCTGGCGATACCTCCCTCACTCCATGCCATGGGCCTGCCAAAACATTCCTCAGAGGGGGTCTTTGCCGCCTTCGTCGAGCAGCCTGCGACATAACCGTATAGAGACTATGCTGCTCGTAAAAGTCTTCACCACTAGTCGGAGTCAAGCCGTCTTCCACATAACCCTCCGGCGTCCGTAAATATTTCCGCCACGTGGAATCGTCCAGTTCCTCTGGGTACAGCAGAAGCCTGTAACCGCTCAAGAAACGAACTAATTTGCCGAAAGCTGAGTCGCGAATCGTCTCCATATATCGTGCCTTCCGGTGGGTATGTCGTTAGGAAATCCTGTGAATGAAGCTTACATGTTAGTTTGAGAGTTAAGGAACATCAATCACGAATCCATGCATCCGGTAAAGCACAATCTTATAAGTGTGAATGTCTCGTGACAACAAATCGCGTCACAGAAATCGTATCTTACGGCCATTTAGGTTTTCTGTCGACACGGAATAGACAAGGTCCGATACGAGCTGATTTTGAGTCGTACGGCTACGATGAAGTCTGTCTCCGCTGAGTCCCGCTAATGAAGGTATCGGCGTCTGGAGAACAAGCGCATCGTGCCCGTAATGGATAATAAACTTTTCGGGCTGGACGGATCGTCTTCGCACGGACCTCATGGCCTTTGCGTTCGAGACAAATCAGACCCTCGGTAGAGCTCCGATGCTGATGCATGCTCAAATATCGTTTAGTGGCCGGCAGGCTGGCTGGCAGTTCACAGGCAGTCAGTCGGCCTCGTCAATTTACTCGAAGAATCTCAGGGTCAGTGATCAAGAAGATGTGGTCATGCAGCCTCTCATTTACTTTGCCCGTTGCTTGAATCTCGTCTAGATGGAACAAGGGTTTTTCAGCTGGAGTCTATGGAATTCCATGACATTATATCGCAGCCCAAGTGCTCGGAGGCTCTTCTTCGCATTATCGCCTAGATAATAGAATTAGCCACCCTGAGTTGTCTACACTCAATGACCAAGTTTCCTTGCTCGTACAGTATACAATAGACACAAGTGAGAGCCTGCTGGATCTCACGAACATGATTAGCTGCGGTGCGTTGAGCAACGGCATCTCGCTCAATATCGTGTGCAGGAAGGCAGAGATGGGGCTGCCTGAAGTTTTTTACTGGCCCGTCAGTTTCGACTCTCGAATACGAAACTTCTGATTAACACAGTTTCCCAAGGGGAATAATGTGGTGTTCGAGCCAACGCAAACCGATTTCGTTACCCGTCCAACCGTTTGGCGAAGCATGGATCTTCCAAGAATGAGGCACGTTGCCTTCATACCAGGCAACTATATATATATTTCCTTTGACACTGATATACAGAGGCAAGGGCCCGGGTCGAGGCAATTGAGACACTAGATTGACGTCACCTACTTGCTATGTCAGAACTATATAAGAAACGGCTTACATATATAGTCAGATCTCGTCACCATCTTGGCAATAGCCACCAACTAGCCCTTAGCTAAGTCGGTTTCATCAAAGTTTTAGATGTCTTCGTTTCAGTTTTGTACTCAGATATAGCAGTATTAATGCGGTTAAACCACTCCTGATTGAGTCTCGGATCCTCGCATAGAGCCCAGCCCTTTCCTTGGTAATTGTATCGGCGAGACAAACGTGTCCTCAAAGATTCACGCCATTCTATAAAGTTATTCATCCCTTCCTCACCTACTAAGGCCTTGTCCGAAGCCTCAGGCGAGCCACCTCGTTACCAGATCAAAATGGACGGCATCTCACTAACCTGGAAGGGCTAGGGAGGACGCCCTCGCTAATCCAAGGAGTTAATCTACCGTTCCAACGTCTCCTTAGATCACAACTAATGATTCTAATGAATCATACGCTAACCCCTAGCCTCAGGCTCTATGCAGCGTCATTCCATCTCTTATTTCTTTGTACACTCATGCAACACATACTATCAATTTTTGAGGTGAATCTGGATTCAGTTCAAAGCCTACGTTGGCCAAGGCCTGGGATTGTGTTCTGCCGTCCTCGTGGCGCGCGACTTCGAAGTCTCTGCGATGCCTTCAGGAATCTAGTAACGCCCCTAGGATGCTACTTCCTGACAGAACGTCATGTAGCCTACCTTTCCTACCCGAGCCTACCCCTACCAGCATACTCAATATATTATTGAAAGCGGCTCCAATCTTCCGGCGTAGTGTTTGACGGCTTGTACCGAACCGCAGGCAGATACTACCTGATTCTCTAGAAGATTTCTGTATCACGGAATAAGACAAGTTTAATATTCTATTATTATCAGGGCAGCTAATCATGGAAAACAATACTATGCTCAGATTTATCTTATAATAAAGATCCCTGCCGGCTTTATTTTTAGATACTGGAGTCAAAGAAAATACGCTAGATCCTATACACAGATTCTGCAGAGTTATGAAATAAATCTAGATATAGTATCTACCAATTAAAAAAAATAAATTATTAATAGTCTAGAAAGTAACTATAACATGCTTAAATCTTTTCGGCTTAAAATTATGCTTGGATCTTTTTAAGTTTTTAATATACTTTTCTATGATTAAATCATGCTTAATCCACTTTATAAGTTACTTATACAGCTCTCATATACTTCTTTCCAGTGTAAAGTATACTTACACTGTACAGATCCTGTCTGTCCCAGTAAAGAATCTCCTTCTTAGTCTCAAGATTAAATCCCGGAATAAATTCTTAAGCTCAAATTAAGATTGAGTTTATAGTCAGATATCTGTCAGGGTCAATTCTACCCACAGTTAAGTCAACATGCCAGTGAATAAATCCTTTGAGCTCTTTTAAACCCGGCACTCGATGTCCAACTCTAATCTTATAGTCTTCGGGTAATTCCTTCTCTTCTTTCAAGAATTTATCAGAATGTGAGAAGACTCGATGTCCTAGAACTCAGGATTGATGATGTACTTTTTATATTGGTGTATTCTTTTCCTGTAGCCTTCTTTCATTTTCGGGGAAGCTCTACCTCCCGAATTTTGGGTATTCTTGACTCGATGAATATCTGCATCGTAGCTTCGCTCTTGGCGGAGTTTGCAACGAGTCTTTCTTTTTTGCTTATTTTGGTTGGCTCTAGCAGCAGAGGTGTGAACGGCCATTTTCAGTAAGCATGAACGAGATCGAAAGACCAAATAAAGAATAAGGTATAGAGAGATGTGATAGAAAATATATGAAGAATAGATTAATAATTGATAAACTCGGGTGAGATAGGCTCTATTTACGTCCGAAATAAAAGAGAAGTATTTTAGGTCATGCATTACTATTTATTCATCATTTATTTATCCATTTGCAATGAATAGATGATCGGTGTTAAAATATTTTGGGTCAGGGAAACCAAGAAAAGCTGACAGCCCTTGTTTCGGTGATGCCCTCAAATTTTGTAGATTTGTATCAGTACCTCAGATTTCGATAAGCGTTAGTCGCGCACGGTTTAGAGAGCCTGTTCTAGTCACGTGGGTTGCTGTATTGAGCAAGCGGGAGCTGCTCAGAATCGCTGACTGAGTGAGCCAGAGCAATCCGGGAGCGACCGGAGCTCCCAGGTGCGTGCTCCGTGAGTGTCCCAGAGCGCACACAGATCGTTCACTTGCTGTCCTCATAAAAGCGGCGGCACCCCAATTGGGTAAGCAAACGGGACATGCAACAAAACAGTTCACTTATATACTAGTTGAGAGTGTAAAATTCGAAGTCAAGATGATAGTGTTGATATCGTTATTAAGTACTTGGAGGGTATATAATCTAGGGGCTACACATAGTTTCGTATGCTCTATACCTAGGAAAGAGTGATGCGTAGATGCTCACGGGTACTGAATGATGCAATTTATCTCCTCAACACAATCTTCACTTAGTCAAATATGTTCTCGATTGAGGGGGCACTGATTTAAGAATGAGGGGTCGATACCAATAGAGTATAGTGCTACTAGTCTATGCATAACTCCTACATAAAGGTATATCTGCTCATACCGTTGTATCTTCATCGCTAGTAACTTCGTTGAGTAGCACAAATGAAGCATAAAGAGCTGAATATAGTATTGTATATATGTATTTATATATACAATTATGAGAGTATCATTCTTTATAGATATCCCCAGGTATCTTCAGAAGGCCTATCTGGTGCACTACTTGCAGTACCATCACTGCGGGGGCATGCTGACAGCGTCAGGTATTAGTGATAGCTTCGGATCTCATGATCTTACAATAATGACAACCTGGTGTTTCAAGGTTCTTTTCATCACGGCTAAACTCCCCCTTGCATGGCGGCTAACAACATAATAACAGTCCTGCCGAATGCAAAATGGCCACTTCACTGGCATGACCTAGTAGTCTATATACGAAGAGACGATGCAACTCTGTTATTTACTTAAATGATACCCGAAAATCATACGCAAAGGTCTAATCGTTACTGTAGACCCATCCAATGCGGTCACAGCTCATTTCTCAATCTTGACATCAGTCTGTGTGACCGTGTCATCTGCAGAAGTACCTGCCTGATCCTTGTCCGGCGAAGCTTGTAGTCCACTCGGAGTATCTATCGGACGATAGGATTCGAATTATGTTGACAGTATATCCTTGGACGAGCCAAGGACCAAGCCAACATTATTCAGTTCCACATCTTACTTGATCTCATAGACGCGGCCGAAGTGGATGCGGGCGGTTCTGGGCAGCACTGTTGATGGCTGTTAAGTTTCAGGCGTATAGGCTGATTGTTCATTCCTAGTTCTTCTGGCAATAGGTCGGGAATGTGCCTCGACGAGTGGAGTTTGGCATATAGCTCCTGATCAGGTTGATCGGAACGTCCTCTTCCTGAGTAACTGTGTAGATATTTGTCAACAATAATGTGAACTGACGTTGAAAGTTTTAAGATGAAAGGAACTCACGTATAAATACCCAGACAAAGGCAGGATTTACTACCCTGCTGGACGACCACAAAACGGCGGATGGTGATGGCTCCTACCCAGGGGTCCATAGTCCAGGTGGGAAGGTTATATTCGTTATCCATCATTTCTTCAACTTCTGGCGCGGACAGAATAGGGCAATCGGTGCTCATCTCATCTAGACAGATATAACCTTTTCTATCGTCAAGACCCGATACATTTTGCAGCTTTGCAAACGTCTCATGGTGAAATATCTGAAGTGTCTGTCAATCCAGAAGTCCTTTGGATATCGAACGTCACCTGGGTACAGATGACATTGAACTTGTCCATTCTCATGAACGTCGCCATATTGGAACATCGCTGGCAAGGGAAGCTTTATACCGTCCTCGTAATTCTTCATCTGTCGGGTAAGTCGCTCTTTCTCGCGTTCATACGGGTCTGGAATGAAGTCTAACGGAATCCATGTACTAGGGAGATGCGTGCAATCGATGTCTTCATCTCCTGTGGCTGTCGATATACCTCGTATGGCCACGGTAAATACCCGCCCAGGTCGGAAGAAGTCAATTGGTTTGGGGACCTTTTCGAAATTTGGGAGATACATTAGTTGGTACACATTGCAGATTGTACCAGTACTTACTAGGTCTTGCACAACATGTATCTCTTGCCCTGATCTTTGCGCTTAGCCTGACATGCGGAAACTCAGACCTTTCATCGATCCATCTTGGAGTGACACTTGCACTTTTCCAAGCATCATCATCAGATCTAGGAGAGAATATTAGCATTCCGCCCCTCAACCATAGACACAACATACTTGGAGTAGCAAGCCATCTGTAAGAGGCTACTCAAAGACAACAAGTTAGAATGAAGGATGCTAGATAATTTCTGAGCCGATACTATAATGGGTATTCTTAGTGAAACCCAGCAGCATATATCAGATAAACTAACCTCATCTGTCATCCCTGAAAATGATTTACCCGTTGAGAAGATATATTCCAGTGCATATCCAGACCCTCCAGCTTGAGATACACGAATGCCTTTCAAGCTGCTTACGAACTCGTCAATCGCCTCGCTCATCCTGCTTGCCAAGAAGCGAACGGCATTCAAGGTTGATTGAGTTGACTGATTAGCCGCCCTGAGTTGTTCCACTAGGAGGAGGACTTTATCAAGGCGTGTGTCAATGACAGTGGGCTGGCTATTTAAATCGACAGGGAAGGGAGGAAGTAGAGTAATGGAAGTAATCATACTGCCGGTGATGTAGTGGGAAAGGTATAACTGGGAGATACTGGCTGACAGACACCGATGCCGCAAGGCTGAGGATGTAGCCTAGTCTAGCCATCTATGGCGTGTCTTACATCCAGTGGCTGTCACTCTAATAGGTTGGGTATGAATAACCTCGTCTCTGGTAGGAGAATAACAAATCCGCTCGTATATGTTTTATCTTTATTCACATGTAACTCATAGGAGGTCTGTGACCCTTTCATGTTCCTGATACTTCTATGCAAGACATACTGATGACCGGAGAAAGCGAAATGCGAAAAAGACCGTCTCAATAACAGGGGTAATTTGAATCTGAAACGGTAAGAAACAATTAAAGTGCTGAGCTCCCGGTCCAATCTGCGTTGCATTGGCTCGGAGGGTATGAAGGGTGGTGGGCTGTACGACAGAGGTTGAAACCCAACGGTCCGCTTGTGTAAACACAGGCTGTATGGATGCAAATGTAGCAAGTTACACACGTCAAGGTGTCGCAGAAAGCGGAGTGCATGATCACATGGATAGGTAAGGGATACAGCAATCTTTCAAGGTTACTATAAGGGATCACACATGACACGGTAGTGGCCTTGGTAATAAATTATCATTGTGAATGGTCTTATCTAAATCATTACTACAGCATATGTACATGCGGGTTGCTCTGCAACCCACATCATTCCTCATAGGCACCCTCTCGGTCCTCGAACTTCATGAATTCGTGCTGAACAGCCTCCTCCCCCATGATCAGCTCCCAAGCTTTCTTGACCGTGTCGATCAAGGAGTCATCAAAAGCAAGGTCTAGGCTGACAGGCGGGAGGCATATGACGCTCTTCGACGGGCAGCTTAGATCAGCGTTGTGGGAGGCGCCTCGGCCCAGTTGCGTATAACGCAGGGACCACAGGACTTTCGTGTCCGGATCGGCAGCCGACTGAAGAAGCTTTTGCACAGCAGCTTCAATCATTGACTGTCCTTCTGAACCGGGTATGCTGACACTACTATACACAACGCCTGATAAACAGTTAGCAACATGTCACAAGACAATGTAACTTGCATAAATCGAAAAAAGTGAAAGCTCATGATCAGTTCGTAGAAGTTTGCATCAATGATGTATCAGGCAATGTAGATAAGTTTTTGAAGAAAAGTCATCATATGAGCAGGGGGAAGGGGGAAAAGATGAAGAAGAAAAAGTGGTAGCTTACATTGTCCAATAGGGCACTCGCCCGTCTCGCTGGAGTGGACTATAGTGTACACCGGTGGTGCATCATCAGCACCGCCAACAGAGCTTCCCGGGAATACCACCACCGCTCCAACAGGGACTGGTCCACCCTCTGCAGTAACGGGGAAAAGGTTCGCAAGGGAAGATGAGACGATAGAGATGGATCGAGCCACTTTGTCGCACTCCAGAGAAGGGCGAGATGCGGCAGGAAGATCCCAATTCGAGCCAACAATGTACCGGGACTTGACCGATTCATCATTGGCCAATTGAATCTGTATGCGCGACTGGTCATCGGGTTCCTGCTCTGGTGAAGGTCCGATAGACTTGACGCCAGTATTCAGGACATACACACCACCTCCCACGGCAAGAGCGCGACAACCGACCTGAGAGATCTCAGAGCCACCGCCCCATTTGACCGAGAGAGCCCCAAAGCCGGGACCAAACACACCAATAGATGACAAGTGTCTCTTGATGCGTGGGAGGGCATATTGGGCCGATGTCTGGTGAGGAGCAGCCTGTGATAGGCAAAGCGAGAGTAGGGGACCGTGAAGCTCAGTGGGCACCTGAAACTTCGTGGCTAGATACTCAGAGAAGGGTGCAGTAAGACCCTCCTCTTCCGAGGACGGATCCGGTCCTCCCGATACATCCCCACTCTCCTGAGCCTGACCAAGATGACGAAGAAACCTCATAAGAGTTCTCTTCGACTTCATACTGATCACATCGTCCGCAAAGACATCCTCCCGACTGCCAGGGACACGATAGAGACGACTGCTATCGTCAGCCTCGGGTTTGTAGATCCACCAGCTTCCCACAGCTTGGAACTCCAATTGCCGGTAGACCTTGGAGGAAACCAAGGTAGGCAAAAGTTGTGATCGGGAGTAGATCAATTGCGGCGACAAGGAGAGGGTATATGCTCGAGAGGACGCAAGCTGACCCGTGGAATCCCCGGAGCTTTCGGAGCAGACGCTAGCATGTTCGAATGGGAGCTCCCCGGTGTCTAGCTCACCCACACGAGTCAGCAGGGGCCATGGGGTCGCTTAGACTGGGGAGCTCCTACCCTCGTTCACTTTAGCAGCCCAATCCTCGGCTTCCTGAAGGCTAAAAGCTGCCTCAGGACCACCGTAGTATGGATTTCTGTCAACATGGAGAACGTTCTTACCTGACCTGGAAAGGGCCCTGGCAAGAGACGTTAGCTGTAAGCAAATACAGCGTCGACTGAAGGTAGCTCACAGAGCTAGAAGTGACTGGGCCAGTCCAGTGCCAGAGATCGTCACGTCCCATGGCGTGTCCGCGAGGGATTCCATAGTGATGACGGTCGAACTGCAAGCAAGCTAAATGGAGGGGCTTAGTGCTATATCGATGTCTAATGAGCAAGCTCAGCGAGCATCACATTTGATCACAAGCTCCTAGAGATGTTTGTAGCAAGTCTCTTCAGCCCATAGGTGAGGACTGAAGATCATGCGCTGAAGACGAGAGAGAATTTCAGAAACGAAAAGAAAATCGAGGGACACGCGAAGAAATACGGGACCCGCACTGGCCCACCACGTGACTAAGTACTTAGCTAAACCGTTATTGAAGACCTTAGCTGAGGAAGCAACAGACATTGAACACTTACATGCTAGATAAATGTAGACCTAGTAGCATTCGGCTCTACATAGCCTGACTTCCTTTTTCCAGCAACATGAGGGAGTTACCAGTGTTGTTGGAGACCTGGTGGCTGCCAATATCAACGCAGTCGGCTTCAGTATGAGTGTTCGAGCCTCGTTTTTTCAGACAGGAAACACAATAGTTAAATAAATAGCTAGACGGTCTGTACAGCTTGTTTGACATGATATTGACACCATAATCATGCTATTGCAGCTCTTCAGATCTCTATTTACCGTTCGTTGCAACTGTTGCCTGAGGCTACAATGAATATGACTATTCCGAAAGAAGCTAGACTAGACAAACGGGAGCCGCTTAAGGAGGATTTCGCCCACAACCAGAGCTTCTTTCCTTCTTCACACCACTCCTAGTGCTCTGCACAGGCAGACTGCTTGTTTGTAGCAGTTTCGTCGTCTTCGTACAAGCCTTCACTGGTCTTGTGCTATAGGAGTGGTAGATAGACATTTCACTCTGTATCTGCTGCTCCGGATGGTAACATCTGATGGAAGCGGTTCGTTTTGTAGTGAAACATTCCTATTCTAATCTGTAATCTGTTCATATATGAAGCTGCCGTTGCGCTGCAGACGTCAACCCGAGGCGACTGTAGTGTTTCGACGGACGTGGCTCTGCTATGTAATGAACGCGCAGCTGCTCGTGCTCTGCATTGCTCTCGGAAGAGTGCAGTGCTGAGTTACGGTCCCAACGTCTGCCATCGATGCCAACAGCCCGTATCATGTCTGAAGACCGCTGTTGCTAGGATGCTGTATAGCTTTTGCGGATGAATGCCCATAACCATCTGCTATAAGACCCCTCACTCATCCCCGGTCTCCTCCACGACTCTGGCACGGAGAATCTTCACCTCATCCATAGGCCGGTCTTCCGAGTTTGTCTTGACGAGTCCCATGCGCTGGATCACCCTCATGCCGCTCTTGACGCGGCCGAAAATAGTGTGCTTTCCATCCAACCACGGCGTCGGGGCCAGCGTAATGAAGAACTGACTGCCGTTGGTGTTGGGCCCACTGTTTGCCATGCTCAGGATTCCAGCACCGGTATGCTTGAGATTAGGATTAATCTCATCCTCGAATTTCTCGCCGTAGATTGAGCTTCCTCCTCTGCCAGTGCCGGTAGGATCGCCGGTTTGTACCATGAAGTTGGGGATAATGCGGTGGAAGATGACATTGTTATAGTAGCCTCGTTGCGCAAGCGTCGCGAAGTTCTTACACGTCTAGTCCGTAACAATGCTGTCAGTAAAATGGATCATAAGAAGGATGAGGTGAGCTTAGAATCTTGTGGTACTGACCTTGGGCGCATGCGCATTGTAGAGCTCTACTGTGAACGAGCCCTGGGCAGATTAGCGGGGTATGCTGACGCAGTCGTTCTGGTTATCCATACCATGCTCGTGTCAAAAGCCACATCAGTCGCCATTCTGAATATAACAAATAGGTGTCAGGTTGTTTACGGGTGCTTGTCAAGAATCCGCAGTGAAGAGTTGCGGTTGAGCTTTCTGGCGCGGCGGAGGTCGAGATCCAGTCTTGGCATCCGATGTTCCCATGAATGATGGGCAGTTCGGCCTGCTCTAGTCGCCCAGTCCCTCACACCGGCATTGTAAAACTAGATCTTGTACTGTTCGCCTGAAGAATTGCAGCACTATTAAATATGCAAGTCTGCCTTTGTATATTAGCATAGTCACCAGGTTCACTCTACGCAGGACTAGAGTCAGATCATGATTGACATCATGGTATCATTGCATGTAGTATTAGTCGCTTTCTAAACAATCAACACTGCTCAAGGATGTGCTTCATTTGCTCCCATCTCTGCGCGGAAATGTCAACCAGCGCCTTGAGCTCCTTCCCATCCACAGCCCATCCTCCATTCTTCTCCATATTCTGGATAACCGTCTTGCCCTTCCCACCTTGCTCCTTATCAACCACAATGCAGACTCGTTCTTGACCCAGTCCCTCCTCATATCCATCAGGATCGGCCAAAATCCACCTCCGCTGAATGCCCTTCCGAGCGCTGTCCTCAATGTTCTTCTCCTCCTCAGCGTCCGGGATAATAACCGCCCTCCAGCCAGCAGCCGCATCAGCCTCGAAAACACAGAACGAGCTTGCGACAGGCAGACCGCGCAAAGACAGCTTATGAGACTCAGAAACCGCATCCGAGCACACGACCATTTCATTATCAACATCCCACCATGCCCGGGGTAGCTTCGTATCGCGCAGTGCAGCCAAAACGGAAGCCCAGGCAGCATCGAAGGGGTTTCCTGCCAAGGAAATGATCATGATATCAATGTAGAGCACCCAGAATGCCTTGATTTCCTTTTCCTTGCCGACCTCTTCCCCGCGCTCTACATCGACATCCATCTGCTCAGACTCATTATGGCGTTCCAGGTCCTCCGGCCCCAGACTAGGCGGCTGGTACCAAATGCGCAAGTCCTCGGCCCGGACCAACTTTGTACTATGCAGCAAGTTCAAAATTTTATGGGAGAGCGACTGCGCGAGTGCTGACGGGGGTGCGCCAGGGACAAAGCCCGGTGCGCAGCCGGTGCTCAGCGACAGATTCGGAACGAGAAGGTTGAGTTGTTGAATGTGCGATTCGTCTTCAGGATCTTCCACTTCCGCATCATCCTCATTAGGCTGCTTAGATCGATCGGCGAGTTTGCGACGCTTATTCGCAGATGACGAGGATTGAGACACGCTCCACGAGGCAATGTCGGCAGTGGGGAGGATTTCCGCTCGTACGCCGCATACTGCGGTTGTGTCGCCAATTCTTACAACGGCGCTGCCATTTGTGTGGGTTAAGGAGCCTGTGTTCGCAGATGTGACGCGGAATTGCGAGGGAGCGCGGCCATTGGCTCGGATGGAGGGCTGGTTGCTGGATGCGGGTGGTGAAAGGTGGGCGAGGAGATAGGCGTGAGGTTGCAGTCGGGCGAATTGCGAGGGGGGAAGGGTGAGAGAGGGGGGTGCGGATGGCGTTGTGGAGGCCATCTTGAGCTATTGCTGAAGCCGAAGTAGTCTGCTCAGGACCGACAGGGTGTGAAAATGGTCAATGCAAAGGTAAATGGCTCTATGAACTCTCAGTCTGTATGAGGAGAAATGGTTGACGGACTTTCCATTTTTCTGCGGCAGAATTTCGAGCATCTATCGGGGCGGTGAGGAATGCTGGACCTCCACCTACTATACATCACTTCTACTAACATGTCTGATGAATTTGACAGAACATTATTACCTCGCAAGCTAACATGAGATTAAACTGAATATCAGCTATCCCAACTTGGAGTGTTGTGGAGATCCCTACATTCCCCATCTTTGCTATAATAGAAAATATCTCGAACAGCGGACGCTATATAAGAAGCTTCAGTGCAACAAGTCACAGAAAATCATCTCTGCCTACTAAAAGCTTACTTGAAGGATCATTGAAACACCTGATACTATGATAAGATGAAGCGATCCGGCTGATGCCCAGGCATTAGATGTATATTCAGAACTAGTACGCTAACTGTATATTCAAGGGAGGATGTCAGCTTCATCCCCATTGCACATTAGGCATCATGATCGCAGGCGGATGCAGTCCTTACTAGTACTACAGGTAACTTGCTAAACGGCTAGTACATGAGGATCTATGGTTCCTCAGTGTATACAGCCTCTATGCTTATTATCTACTCTAGAACTATTTTATTTCATGTACGTCAAACCATAACCCCATGACAACAACGGCAGTCCGGTCATATTTGGTAGCATTGCGTTACTACCTTGAGGGGATGGAGAGTTTTGTTGTGACCAAACTTACGTTAATGCTACTAAAGCGTAAACTGAATGTCCTATACGTGTTGAGTGCCTCCCCACAGCACTCAGTGTGCGATCAATCTGATATGATCTAAGAGGCCAATAAGAACCGCTAGCTTGGGGAGATGTCAAAGTATCGCGAAAATCCACTTTGCAGAGTCGACCAATGATTACGTGACGGGGGACGCGTCTGGGGGTCCTGGTTAATGCGTTATCTTGGATCATTCTAGAAGGAGGTCCGTATTCATTGCGAGGGGCTAAGGTTACGGGGTGTGTTATAGCATGAGATAGTGGGTCACGGCTGCGACAGAGAAATTGTGATAGGAGTATGATTATTCTGGTGTATATGAGTATATATCCAAACTTGAGTGGAAAGAACCAAACTATATATGGTATAGACAGTGTGTTCTATGGTAATAACATTTGACAATGATAAGGGTATCAGTGATGGGGCAAAGAGCAAACAACCGAACGCCAAAATGTAGATAAATCAGGCAGAAAACGATAAGCAGTGCTTCTATAGTTCTTAGCAGAGCATGAAATGTCATGGCCGCTGGGGCTCATCATCTGCCTTACGCTTCCTGCTCATGCCTTCGTCAACTTCCAGAATCTTAGAATCCGTATCGGCGAATGGTTGTACTCCATGGTCTTCCTCGTCATCACCGTCTTCAGCTTCGACCTTCTCCCAATCATCGTCATCATCCCCTCCAGGCGCTTTGCGCTGGTCTTGACGCTTGTTGATGGGAAGGATTTCCTCTTTAGGCGCATCAGTCCATTGGAGAACAAGTTTGACTATTTTTGCGCCAGAAGGCTTCAGCCGCCGGTAGTAATTCTCCACTATGCCATCTTCCACCTTGAACCCTCGTGCGATGTACCACTTCAGACCATCTTCGTTGGCCTCGTGGACATGGGCTGTGACGGTGCGAATGTTGTAATGCTTCACCAGGTCTGAAACTTGTTGATCTGGTCGCGGATCGGATGAAGTAGAAGATGACAAGGAACTGGACGAGTAGAGTAGCGAGTCTAGAAGCGAAGCTGCGATTCCACAGCCTCGATAGGGCGACAGTAGATGAAGTGTTTGAATGTAGAGATTCGTCGGCTCCGAGTTCGACCGGCCTTGCAAGATTCCGGCAGTAGTCGGCGGCAACCGCTCCAATCGGCACCTGATGCCTCCAATAACTTTGTCTGATCCAGTTGTGGGGGTCTTCAAGCCCGTTGAAGGGGATGGCGCTGCAGAGGTGGGAGCAGCGGCTACCGGATGATCATGATAGACGGCCACGCGGGACAGTGACGAGATCACGGGGTCAGTGATGGTGGCTGTGTAGAAAGAGTTCGGATAGCGAATAGGAAGCAGCAAGCCCGTGATTCTGGTCAGTGAAGGGATGTGAGCTGTGCTCACAACTTCGACGGTAACATGCGGGTGCGGAGTGGGGTGGCCTGATGCGATGGGCTTTGGGTATGGCACAGCTTGAAGGGTTGAGTCCCGGCCTGCTGGAGGCTGAAGTTTGGACGCCAGACTCACGGAAGACGAGCCAGAAGAGGGAGGAACGACGATAGCTGGTGGACCTTTAGGTGGCCTGGTGTGGGAGTTGTTTGAAGACGGTGAAGTTATCGTACTTGGAGCCTGAGGGGGAGACAAAGGTGGAGAAGTGGGCGCTTTGGATTGATGCGCCCTAGCGAAGAACTGGAAAGCCATGGTCGGAATAAGGGTAAATGTGATATGTAAGCCACACTATTCAAGTGGTATTTTCCCCTGAAGCAGTCTCAAAGGTATACCAAAGAAAGAACACCGAGAAACACGTCGAGGAGAGAGCGGGGAGAAGCAGAGCGCCAGCAGACGAAGAGGGGAACCCAACGCGATCCAAAAGCGGTGGACGAAAACGGCGAGAGAAACGCGGAGATGCGATAAGATAAGATCGGGCGGTCGGACAAGTTCAAAGAGGCAAAGGCCAGCGCAAAAGAGCCTCTGTCCACGTCCTCCGATCTAGGATTGCCCCTGGTGCTGCACCTTCACTTGCCGTCTTGGTCTTATTTTTTGGCTGCGTCACACAGTCTACTGTGCCCTTTCTATATATGTTGCTCTATCGGATGTGAAGCCAAGGTGAGTTGCTCCCCCTCATGGTAATGGCCGTGCGCGCAGTCCGCTGATTCTCCCTACCGTGGGTGTTTCCCGCCCCCGGGTTATAGACGCCATTCACTCCCCGCCAGACAGATGGACTCTACGTGCTATCGTCCCTGCGTACCATTTCTTTGAGACATTCTTTATAGTGGGAGTCGGGCACTTGCTTTATTGCTCCCTTGTTTGGACCAACACAGTCGGGTAGTCGTCTATTACGCCATTGTTCCCTCCATCCGCATCCGTTAAGCGGCCGGTAAACCCCGACCCAGATTTGCCTTCGAACACCCTGCGCCAACCTACATGGCGCCATCGGTTTGATACTGGGGATAATCGTTCAGAGTTGTGTGGAAGCAGCTGTTTGTCAACTGCAAGTTCCGCTTTAATTGGCGCGTGATTACTTTGCATACACCAGCAGAGGTATGTCTCGACAGTTGTCCTGGACTTTGCATTATTCGCGCGACCATTGCGTTATCTCATCGGTACTGCTTGCTGTCGAGTGCATTATCATGTTGTATGCGATGTGCTGGGCTGCCCCACTCATTTGCATTTCTTGCTTGCTTGTTTCCTAAACGCTCAGTCTTGGAAGATGCTTCAGCTCTAACAATTTCCAGTCCTGCAGAACATTGCCAAAATGGGCGAGTCGAATGGAGCTGAAGAAAATGGAAGTTCCTTTCCTTCAGGAACGCTTGCAAAATTGGTACGTTCATGTCCGTATGCTTCCGGCTGCGGCACAGTAGCGTCTCTGGGCTTTTGCGATGGATCCTGACAACACTAGACATGCGATATCCTCAACGATACCTTCTATAATATAATTCATGATATAGTTGCAAAGGTGCATCGCGACGAAAAGGTCTCCCGTATGCGCTCAGCGGTGGTCACTGCAAGGCAAAAAGCCGATGAAGAGGCATCCAAACGTCGTGAAGAGAGTGGGAAGCCAGCTGGTGCATTCAAGCCCGGTGATCTCGACCTTGAGGAACTTAAGGATATACGTGTGGAGACAGATGCGGCTGTCTTTGATGAAGGCAAGGTTTACCTCAAGGGAAACCCTCTGCAAACCACGAAAGAGATTATCTGTCCGGAGTGCCGATTGCCTCGTCTATTATACCCAGTAACGGGTGTCGGGGCTCGGGCTCCCCCAGATCCATATCGGGAGTATTGTCAGAAGCAGCCTATGATCAACAAGCCGGGGCACGATGTTCATGGAAACCCGTTTGCCACGGACAAGCTGAATCCGAAGAAGAAGAAACAGACAAATACGTCCAATACTCCAGCTTCAAGCCCTCCCACAACGCCTGACAGTTCCTTCAAACAAGCAGCCCCAGAAAAGGTGTCCTTCCCGACTGTGAAATGCCCGAACTGCCCGAGATACTTTGTTGTCACTCGAGTTGCACAGCACTTGGACAGGTGCTTGGGTTTATCAGGGCGACAGACCAACCGCAACAAGACTCCCATGGAAAATGGTGCCAGTACACCCAGTTCTGCTCCACCTAAGCGTCCATTAGTGGATGATGACGTTCCAGCAACTCTTCCGACGAAGAAGAAGAAATTAGGAGCCCCGAAAAAATTGTCAGGGAAGAAGCCACCTCCGCCTAGCAAGCTGAAAAACGGGCTTACGCCAGACATGGCCGCAGCAAGTGACGCCGCCGGCTCTGGTGACGGGGACATCAAGAGTGAAGCGAACGGGGATAACTCTTAAGCCTTCGGTCTTTCTTTCTTTCTTTCTTTCTTTCTTTTCTCTTCTCTTCTTTTCACACCTTATACCTTTCTACACATCCCTTTCAACATTATTTTTACCTTGATTCTTGCAGACTGCAGACCTGTTTGCGTTGGACAAGGCCTTGGACATATCTCCGTTTGCTTAACGATATTGACGTAAATACCCGGCATCAACGGCGTCGACGGGAACCTCCTACCTTAGTACTCTCGAGTCGAAGAGGGACATGCTCGGCATCGTCTCTAGCCTTTCTCTTTCCGTTTCTTTTTATAGGTGTTGTGTGCTGTCCTCTTGAATGATAGATTTTTATGCGGTTGTATGTACAATATCCTGGCAATAGGTCAGTTCGGGTTTTACAATCAATCGATTGGGTTAAAATTGGGTATACAAATAAATCGAATTATGAAGCATCTAGTGTAAACTGAACAGTTGAGCTCGAACGATAACCATACTTCAAATTGTTGGATGTTCCACCATACATATTGTTGATTCAGTGGAACAATAGGTGCAATGGATTTAATCCAGGTACTGGGATATCCTATTAGAGAGGAGTTCTATAAAGTGCCCTTGTAACGGTTGTTCGATATCTACCCCGGCGATCCCCGTGGTATAATAGCCTACTTCGAACCTATCACTAATTCGTGTACATGAAAAGTGGCTTCCAGACAAGAGTACAAAGTGTAACCTCGTAGACTTCATGGCGTGTTGGACGACTGCTATCCTGGGCAGAGCTGTTCCATGGAGATGTTTGGACATTGTTTTGCCTTGATTTGTGCTCTATGCAAACTGGTCTGAATAATATATGAAAATGACTTATTATGCGATACACCCAATTTATTTGTGGTATCGCGAAAGCTCGTGGTTGCAGGCTAGTATACAATGTTGTTGGCCTGAAAAGTATGGCCTCGAAGCCCACTTCGGGACCTTCCGTCCGTCATCGTCTGGCCCGCTTGCTCGATTCATCGTCCACATTTTATGACGCGCATCCACCATGAGCATCAGTTAACTCAGTCGCTAACAATATCTATAACCTCTGACTATCTAGCGACATGAGCAATACCAGCCTCATCTCCTGGGCCGTCCCCAGGCTGAGCCAAATTCTCCCGCTGGACGAGGAGTCGCTCACACAGATCATCACATACGCCGCCAGCCTCTCCAAAGAAGAAGGCGCCGAACACCTCAAAAACCTTCTGGGCGACTCTCCCGCCGCATTTGAATTCATTTCTGCATTCAGTTCGCGACGAGAACCACCCCCACGATCTAACGCGCCGTCACCCGCTCCGAGCGGCCAGTCCACATCTAGGAACAATCATTCGGGAACGCAGTCGAAGAGGGGCAAGAAGTCGAAGCCACCACTACACAGCGCCGGACCTGTTCGCCGACCAGACAATTTTGGAAATGTGACAGGCGGATACAGAAAGGAGGACCAGGTTGAGGACTACATGCCCGTCTCTAGCCGGAGCAAACAAGAAGGAAGCGCGAGAGAAGGCACACTGGATACCGGTCTATCACCATCACCGTTGATCTCTTCCCGCGAGGCATCTGCTACCTCTTCGCGAAATCAATCACCGGCCCCAAGACCGACACCGGCTAAAAACCCGCCTTCAGCCGCTGGCCCCGTGATCTCGGATCTACTACCGAATGTCAGGTCGAAGGCGGCCAAGTCTGCCTCTCGAGCTGGTGGGAGCAGTACGGGGACCGGCTCATCGTCCAAGGGATCGCTGACTACGAATAACATCAATGATTTGACGGCTGCCATTGCCGCTTTGGAGGTATCTACGAATCCGACGCTGAGTGGTGGCGCACGCAAATGCACATGCAACGCTAGCATCCATCCTCTCTTTGATCCTGCGCCGAATTGTCTCAACTGCGGGAAAATCATTTGCTCGCTGGAAGGGCTACAGCCGTGTTCATTTTGCAAAACACCTCTCCTGTCGAATGACGAGATCCAGAGCATGATACGGGAGCTGCGGGCGGAGCGTGGACAGGAGAAGATGCGCGCGCACAATGAGAGTGTACATCGGGAGGGTGGCCCTGGAATGGACTCAGGAGCTCCCAGTAAACTTGACGCTGCCAAGGCGCATCGGGACAAGTTGCTTGCGTTCCAGGCGCAGAACGCCAAGCGGACACGTGTGGTGGACGAGGCGGCAGATTTTGAGACTCCGAACGTAGCATCTACACTGTGGATGACACCCGCGCAGCGAGCACTGGCCCTTAAGAAACAGCAGCGGATTATGCGGGAAATGGAGGAAAAAGCAAGGCCGGAATGGGAGAAGAAGAAGACCATCATGAGTCTGGATATCAAGGGAGGAAAGGTGAGGAGAGTCTACCATTCAGCTGGGCCTGCGGAGACGGGCCCGTCTGCGGAGGAGGAAGCCGAAACAAGGGCAGAGGAGGAGCTCGGAGATGGGGAGAACCGAGAAAGCAGCGGTAAGGCATTCAGCCACAACCCTCTTCTTGCAGCTGGAGGGCTGTTGCGACCGGTCTGGAAGTCGGCAGACGGAGAGCAAGCGGACACGGCACGCAAAGAGCGGAAACAGACATGGCGGAGGGTGCAGGACGATAATGATGACAACGAGCAGTGGATTCTCGGTGGCGGTCTCCACGGTTACACATGAGAGGCATTTGACATAATAGCTTACCCGAACTGGCTGGTTACATTGTCTGGAAGCCGGACAACAGTAGCCGATGCTCTAGTACATATACAGTGGGTAGCAACAAGCCCGAGACTTCGCTTAGCTTCGTCCGATAAGGCCCGCGATATAAGCAAGCAATGATTGGGCCATGATCTCCAGGAAATACTACCGCTCTGACATGGATCGATAAGCAATGCTCCATCGGCATCGCTGCGACAGAAGACAAGACACATAGCAGGAGTGGTTAAACATCCTCTCCGACGGTGTACACGACTTGGAATGACAGCAGCAATCTTAGCATGAACATTATCAATCGAGATCCGAATGATGGGTTCCACCAGATCGGCGGCCAAAGCTACTAATTTTCATAAACAGTGTAGAGATATGAAGTAGCCGGGGTACCCGAGCCAGGACTTCTCTATGTAGATACGCAGACCAGCCGGTGCTGGCCACGATGACGCATCCTCGCAGCTATTGCGCTAAATCGATGAATATTACATAGTTCCATGGAAGACACTTCGTACTCGAAAATGAGGAGAGAGGGAGGGGATGGAGGGGCAGCAGACGCGAGGGAAAGCCCGTCAGTAACCGAGCCAGAGAGATGTATAAAGCGGTAGACGAGTCTCGAGTGCCAGTGAGTGTCTTGTAAGTGAAACAGCCATCTGGAGAGTGGTTCTGATATCTCGAGTGACTGTCGTCATTTGCCTGGCTTTGTTATCCGCTTGCGGGGATTTCCTTTTTGGTCGAACTCGGCCTCGGTTGGCCCCGGCTAGCTTCGGTGCTCGTTGACTGGCTGAACTATATACTTCAGCTCCTTATTATTATTCCACCTCTTAGCACGACACACTATTGCACTAGGATTCGACAGCCATGTTGGCCCAAATTGGCTGGCAGGCTATCTCTATAACCCGCATAGGGTGGGGGTTGCTTGCCTTGCTCGTGGGATTGGTATGTTGATACCGATTCTCCCTTACACCTTCTGTATTATGTCGATAAGGTGTCACCTTGCATACTTGCAATGCATACTGACAACATCAGTCTCTTGTCTACGCTACCTACAACCGCTTCTTCCACCCTCTCCGCCGCATTCCAGGTCCTTTGCTCGCCTCCCTCACTCCCTGGGTCCAGCTCTACCACGGCCTCCAGGGAGACCGACACCTGTGGCTCTGCGCTCTTCACGAACAATACGGCTCTCATGTCCGCGTGGCACCTAATTTTGTCTCAGTAAATACTGCTCAAGGCCTCCATGACATCTACGGACACGGCAAGCGGCTCAAGAAGGCCGATTTTTACAATGCCTTCCCCGCCATCAAAGGTGTGTACAACACACACAACGTCATTGACAAGGTCATGCACGGCCGGAAGAGACGAGTCCTGAGCCAGGCCTTTTCGGATCATGCACTCAAAAGCATGGAAGACGTGATGCTGCTGCACGTGCGGCAACTGTGTGCAGGCTTAGCGCGTGCCCAACAGACAGGCGTGGTGCAGGACATGGGCCGCTGGTTCAGCTACCTCACGTATGATGTGATGGGCGAGTTGTGCTTCGGAAAGAGCTTCGACATGTTGATCGAGAGTAGTCGGAGACGGCTAATTGAGCTCGTCGATCGGGCGGCAAACCGGCACTATGTGGTATGTCTCGAGCTGCTATTGTTGTTGAGGACCGAATCGACTGACAGAACAGTGTGGTCTCTGGATGCCCCTAGATAGATGGCATCTCGACCAACTCTTCATCCACCGACTCACCAACGACCGCTGGAACTTCATCATGAACTCGCGCGTGGAAGCGACCAAGCGCGCTCAGGAACGTACCAAGGCCGGCCACGACGCCAAAAGAGACTTCTTCTACTACCTGCTGAACGCCCGGGATCCCGAGACGGGCCAGGGCCTGACGACCCCTGAGCTCTGGGGCGAGGCCAACGTGCTGATGATCGCGGGCAGTGACACGACGTCGACGACGCTAGCCGCGACGATCTTCTACCTGGTGCGCAACCCACATGCAATGGCACAGCTGCAGAAAGAGGTCCGGGAGAGCTTCTCCTCGGTCGAAGAGATCGTAACGGGCAGCAAGCTGAACGAGCTGGTGTACCTAAAGGCGTGCCTGGACGAGGCGCTGCGGCTGGCGCCCGCGGTGCCCGGGGCGCCCCCGCGCGAAGTGATGGAGGGCGGAGCGGTGGTGGACGGGGTGTTCCTGCCGGGCGGGACGGATTGCGGGACGCCAACGTACTCGATCCACCGGCAGGCGGCTTATTACCGACAGCCCGGGGTGTATTTGCCGGAGCGGTGGATCGAAGGAGCGATCTGTCAGACGGGGATGGAGGCGTGGCAGACAACGCGGGAGGATGTGGAGATGGCGCGGCGGGCATTCTGTCCCTTCAGTATTGGGCCGCGGGGATGTATTGGGAAGAGCATGGCGTTGATGGAGATGCGATTGACGATTGCGCGGTTGATGTTTTTGTTTGATATGGAATTGGCCGACCGGAGAGGAGAGGATGAAGGAGGGCATTTGGCATTGGTGGACCATTTTACCAGTGCGAAGGAGGGACCGGATGTGATTGTACGGGCGCGTGTGTAGTAGATAAATAGCATTATCATTATATTATATTTGTATCTACTGTGCTCGGTCTATTGTAAGTGTTGTTGTATGTAGTAAGATGGCAGGAGTAAGACACCAAGCCAGAAAGGACACGTGCCCACACTGCATGAACATATCACCCCAAGACTATGGGGATGAGAATGCAATATCATACCCACCTTATTCATTCATTTAATTTGTTTCAAATCAGGTAACTAACCTTATACTATTCTCTATATTTATTCATCACTTAACTTTATTCAAAACTGTCATACATGATATCAAACCATGTCCATTCCTTGACCTAACCCCATCATCACCATCCCTTAAACCACCACCACCACAACAACAACAAGGAACCATTCCTCCCCTCACTAAAGCAACCCGCAAACCACTACCCCAAATACCCCCCTAAAAGAAAAACAAAAAGAAAAAACAAAAGAGGAGAGAGAGAGAGAGAGAGAGAGAGAGAAGATGGTCTCCCCCCTAACAACAACCTTCATTCAATCCACCATTCTAAACGCCATCGCCAACATCCTAGCACAAATAATAGACCATTATCGGAAATCCGTAAGCTGACCCCCAGACAACACCAACACCAACACCAACAACAACAACCACACCCCAAATCAAATTAAAAAAAACCATACTAAATAAATTTCAAGAAATCAACAACAACGACCACAACAACAACACTCACACCTAACCTCCCCGCCCTCCTCCAATTCATCACCTACGGGATAATAATCGTTCCCCCGAATTTCATCTGGCAGAGGTATCTTGAACGGCGGTATCCGGGGTTTCTTTTCCGTGGTGGTGCAGCATCAACCCCTTCCTCATCTACTACTACTAACAACTATTCTCCTCCTTTCCGAACATCTACCCCTAATGGAAAGAAAGGAGGAGGAGGAGGAGGAGGTCCAGGGATAGGAGAAATCTACATCTCCATCCCAGACCCCACATCCACCGTCCTCCTCAAAGAAAAGAAAAAGACCAGCAATAATTTTCTCCCTAGGCGCAGCAGCAGCAGAGGAGGTTGGTACAACTTCCTTATGAAATTCCTACTTGATCAGACGGTGGGGAGTGTAGGGAATATCGTACTGTTTATTGTTCTCATTAATCTGTTGAAGGGGGTGGGGGTGGGTGGTGTTTGGGGGTTAGTTGTTGAGGTAAGTTATCTTCTTTCATTTGTTTCTTCTATTTCTTTTATTCCTCTTATTCCTTTTTGGTTCCATGATATGGATGATATGGGGGGGGGGGGGGGGGGGTGTCTGGGATATGCTAACTCTGTATGTTGTTAGGACTTCAAACCAATCATGATCGCAAGACTCAAATATAGACCGATTGTCTCGTTGCTCATGTATACGGTTGTGCCGGTTGATCGGCGTGTCGTGTTTGGGAGTGCGTGTGGGGTGATTTGGGGGGTGTATTTGAGTTTGTATGCTGTTGTTTAGTGTATCTTTCTTCTATTTCTCTTTCTCTATTTCTTTTACTACTATTGTTGCTGTTCTTTTTGTCAGAGTTAGTTGTGATGTGGTCAATCTTTCGTTTCGTTGTTTCTTTTGTCAGCGTGATACCTCGTCTTGGCCATCATTTCTTTCTTATTAGATCTATTCATTGTCTGTCTGTCGCTTAACTAGCATTATACAATTCATAAGTAATCACATGCAATTAGGAAAAAAATCATAACTTGTAGCGGCCTACGCCGCCGCCGGCCCGATCTTCTTTCCCTTCACAGATATCCACTCAATAGGCAACGCTCCAAAAATACTCAGCGCTCCCATGGCTACAGCAACATAGAACGTTGTCGTCACGGCTCCATTATACGCCTCTAGCACAGCCGGCAGCTGATCCGCAGATACAACATGCCGTAGCATCGTTGCCCCCGCCTGCATCACAGAAACAGGGTCAATGCCTGATACCTGTGCCAGGTTCTTGCGCAGTTCATTCTGGAAGACGTTCTGCGCTACAGAGACAAACAGCGCTCCGCCCAGTGTCTGCGTGAACGCCACGATGGCCGTGGCGCTGGGAACATCGGCAATCTTCAGCGCTGCTTGAACCACCATCATCGGCTGCTGCATGCCCAGGCCTGCGCCCATGCCGAAGATGATCTGGTATCCAATCCAGTGACCGGCCGAGGAATGCACGCCCATGGTGGAGAGAAGGCCGCCGCCGACGGCGATGAGAACCGGGGATATCAGCATAAATGGGGTGTAGTATCCGAATGTGGAGACCAAGCCGCCTGCTACGATGGAGAAGATAACAACGCTGAGTAGCATGGGCAGGTTCATGATGCCGGATTTGGTGGCGCTGACGCCTTTGATGGCTTGGAACCAGATGGGGAGCTGTAGATGTTAGTGAATTACTGGGATGGTTTGGTGGTGGGATACGCACGTAGTAAACTGCCACAAAGAAGGAACCGCCGACGCAGAAGCTGAACAGCGCAGCACCCCAAACATTTCGGTTCTTGATCAGCCGTGGAGGGATCGTGGCTTTCTCCTTACCCCACATCTGTAGCACGATGAATATACCAATGAGGACCCCGAATAACACCAGCAGGGCGATGATGCGGCCATTACCCCATTCGTAAGTGGTCCCACCCCATTGCAGAGCGAGCAAGACGCAGATGACTCCTGGCAAGAAGACAAATGTACCAGGCAAGTCAAACTGCGCGAGTTTATCCTTCAGCCCCTGGGTGCTCTTGACTGATTTGGGTGCCTTGAAGAATAGCAGGATGAAGAAGATGGTCGCGCCGCCAATGGGAAGGTTGATATAGAAACACCATCGCCAGCTGACATGATCGGTAAACGCACCACCCATCAGGGGCCCTGCTACACTGGCGATTCCATACATGGAGGTAATAGAGCCGGTAAGAAAAGGCCTCCATTTCAGCGGTGCAGTCTGAGAGATAATGATCATGGCTCCTGAGAAGACTCCGGCGGCCCCAAGGCCAGCTATCGCCCGCCCGATAACCAGTGCAACCGAGTTGGGAGCCACACCACAGACCAGAGAACCGATCTCGAAGATCGCGAGCCCCATCAGGTATACCCATTTGGTGGAGTAGAAAGTGTACAGCTTGCCAAAGGCCAGGATAAGGCAGCACGTTGTAAGGAGGTAGGAACTGCCGTACCAACCCACGTCGCCGAGGGACTGGAATTGGTCTGTAATTTTGGGGATTGCAGTCGCCAGAATCGTGTTGTCCTAATAGGATTAGCACGATCGCTTGCCTACGGAATGGAATACTTACCAAGGCCATGCAGAAAATCGAAAGACAGAGTCCAACCACAATCAGCGTGAGCCTCCATGAAGTAGGGTACTCTGGCTCAGGTTCCGCATCATGGCTATGTATCGAGCTGGGTGCTTTTGGCTCGTGCTGTGCTTCGACCGTCTGTGAATGAGGGGAGGTGTCGCGCGCAGAGTCAACGAGAGTACTCTCTTTGCTCCTAGCGGAACCGTTGCCTTCTGTCTGCGTGACCTTGAATGGTTTCAGTTCAGCGAACGGTCCCTGCTGCTTCGCAGCGTGGGAGGCATCCATGGCGAGGATAGGTGTGCAAGACCCAGACCAATCTCACAACTAAAGCAGATGACGGGGGTTAGGGCAGCAGTCAACGGTGTAGATAGTAAAAGAAGCAATCCTTCGCTGGTCTGCAACTGACAGCAGTTATCTAAGAATCACTCCAGAAACAATTAGCAAAAGTGGCAGGAAGGAAGATCAGCAGTGAAGAGAAAGACGGCTCAAGGAAAGCCTCCTTCCGGCTTCACTGGCTGAGGACCATTGCCGTAATGGAAGCCAGATTGTGTCACCATCTCGTAGCCACGCCAGTCTGGCCCAATGACGACCCCTTGCTTTGTTGCACATGTCAAGGCTCCAGACCATTCAGGAGCAGAAGCAATCCGTATTCCGAAGCACTGGTCAGGTTGTGCAAGCTGCAGGTATACCCCGGAGGGCTTGGTAGCGTGACGGGGCAAAGCGAGGGTCACACTGAGAGTGGATGGTTTGCTTCTGACATTCCGGCATCGGAAAGATTTCTATCCGGAGAGAGCCCTTGAAAGATTCCTGTCAGTTGGGAATGATCAGGCGGGATATTCCTTACAAAGAATATCGGAATAGGGGAATTCCAAGAAGGATGGATTAACTTCGATCGGAGACTCACCTCTTCCCCTGAAGCAAGGATTGGTGGGAGCCAGACTGCATCTAGACTAAGTACCTGCATGCTATTTCTGTTGTTGATCTTCGTTGTCAATCAAGTGGTCAAAGAAAGACAGACTCTAAATCAGGCACTATTGAATTCTTTCAGTGGGAGGTGGTGGTTTTGGGCGGCTGTGGCGGGCAATAGCATCCTTGCTTCTCGTGCCATCGCTTTGTTCGCTTGGTCGCGTTGGCAACTCAGGAGCAACGCGTGTTGGCTTAGCAGCGTTAGAATTCGGACTGGCCTTGTCAGCCCAATTACTCCTTGGTTGGCAAGCTACAGTGCTGTCGCCATATGAATCAAGATAATGGTAAAAGAAAGAATTCATTCCGACCTAGGATATATTCACAATTCCAGTAAGCTGTACAACGCCGTAAAAGATCAAATATGCCCAAACATCCGTCCTCCCAACCGCTCTTCAAACACCTGTCCAATGCGGAAATCCTGCGAGATGGTTTTGACGGCCACTATTGTGCCTTTCTGCGGGCATCCTCCTTGCTAGCGACGAGGGCGATCAGAGCAGCACCCACGCCGCTGCCATCCTTGGAGATACCAATGCGGATCTTCTTGTTGCCGGCTTCGCCAACCTCGGGCACTTCGCGGAGGGCGTCGCGCATGTAGCCTTCGAAGTTGGGGTAGAACTCGACCAGACTGCCATCAACACCAATGTCTACGAGGTCGTCCTTTTGCAGCTTGCCAGTAGAGAGGAGGACAGCAGCCAGCGGGACGGCACTCAGACGAGCAGCACGCTTGCCAATGGCATGAACAACGGTCTGGATGGCCTTGCAGTCATCGGTGGTGGGGCGTTCGATCTTGAGGTGATCCTTCAAAGCGACCTTGATCTGCTCCATATTCTCGGTCTTGTCGGCCTCGACCAGACTCAACAAGCTGGTGTCAATACCCCACTGGCGGTACAGGGAAGACTCCTTGGGCACAGACACAGTGGAAGCCCCGCCAGTCTTGAGGAAGCCCAGGGACTCGTTGCGCTGCATGTCCAGCATGACGCGGCGCAAGATCTCGCCCAGGAACATACCCGAGACACGCTTCTCGAACATCTGGATGCCCGGGTTGTTGCTGTCGGCATCGAGCTGCTGGTCGTAGATGGTGTTCGGTAGGACACTCAGGTGGTTGTCGAAGCTGCCCCATTCGGCGTTGATGATCATCTCACCGGTGGTCTTGTCGTACTCGGAGTGTTCAATGGTCTGCAGCTTCGTGATGCGGTCCAGCTTCTCCACATAGGCGCCATTGGTGCCCGTGCCGAAGATAGCACCCAGGAAAGTGCCCGTCTCTCCAGGAGAGGTGTATGAACGAGCCATCAGGGTTCCCACAGTGTCGTTGACCAAGGCAGCCACACGCACCGGGAGTCCCAGATCATCGATGGCGTTCTGCAGCAAGGCACAGACATCCTTACCCACCGCATCGGGAATGTTGAAGCCCTTCGTCCAGCGAATCAGGGTACCCTTGTTAATGCCCAGCTGACGCACGGGGAAACTGAAGGTGAAACCCAAGTCGAATAGGTCCTCTTCACAGTCGCCATTCTTCTCATTGCGGCGTCGCACGTGAGCTTCGAAGTGGTCGTTGTGGTGAATGCGCAGGAACGATTCGATCTGGCGGGCCAAGAACAAGAAGAGATCCTTGGCCGTACCGGACGCCATGGTCTCACGAGGAATCATGATCTTAGACTGGGTAAGGGAGAAGGTAGTGTCTCCGTGTAGATCGATCGAACACACGCGGAAGTTGGTGCCGCCGAGATCTACTGCCAGGTACAAACCCTGCCAATGACCAGGTCAGCTGCTGTTCTGCGGAGGGAGCTGATTGGTGTGAAATGTACCTTTTCCGTGCCATTGGGCACTGCCGTGACATAGGTCGGGATCTGACTGAGAGTCGTGTGCTCCTTGGACAGACCTTCATCGATCTCACGAATGTATTCCGTTACTCCACGTTGCACTTCAGCAGCGGGGTAATCGAACTGGCTGGCAATGCGCGCAGCCTCGGACAGCAGAGCAGATGACATGATGACGGAAGAGATGCGGATATGAGGAAGATTGTTGAGGAGAGGGAAAATAAAAGGAGCCTCAAGGGACGTGTTGAGACCACAACAAATACAGTGTGCAGGAAAAAAAAAAGTGGTGAAGGAGGAGACCGGATGGTGGGGTTCAAGTAAATACGGGGAGGGGCAGACGAAAGCTGGAGGGGAATTCGGGGAATGGAGATGAAGAGAGAGAGAGAGAGAGAGAGAGTAGAAGGAGGATGTGGAGGGAACAAAGGATAAGGATCAGGAGGAGGATACGAGCAGGAAGAGTCTAATAACTATTATCCGGAATGAGCATACGATGATGAAGGGGGAGCAAGTGGGCGTATTAATAGCAGAGCCATGAAGCCCAGTAAAGAACTAATAAACTTGCAGTTGGAGGGGTCGATGAGGTCAGTCCGACGGGCTTAAGCCAACGGGAACGCCGGGTTCGCCGGGTTTGCCAGGCGTGGCCAAAGGGAAATTGGGAAAGGGTTCACTACCACTTCCAGTTCTCTCTGCTTCCCCCTCCCTCCCCCTTCCCGACATTCTCGCATTGCCGATGTCTCGCACTTGTCCCAGGTTTACTGACTTAGTGCGTGGTTCTCTCCAGTCTCCAGTCTCCAGATGCCACTCCTCGCACTAAAAAGTGGTCCAGTTGCCTGCAAGACGGGGTTGCCGCGAGTCGGTAGCGAATCCGCCCGCGTGTCTGCCATGACGCATGAAACCAACTTGGTGGGGTTTAAGCCGTCGTTCACCGGTGAGAGGGAATTGGTTAGCAGCGAAGGGAATGGAAGGGCGAGGATGGCTGTTGCACACAATGCAATGCCACAATGCCATTCTCGTGCTTGGCCTCTGCGTCAGTCAGGAGAGGGTGAGACCACGCGGTGGGTGGTGTGAATTGGTGGTGATGCTGGCCCTTCCCCGTCTCCGGATGCGGTCGTCTGGGGCATTGGGGAACCTGGAGATGCTGACATGAGCATCATACTAGTACCAGGATCGGAATCACCATACTTGCAACTAAGTGATATACTAACTACGGCTGTTTGCTTTGGGACTGACTAGCCAGCTGTCAGAAGATGATGATCAGGGGATTCTCGTCTCGACGTAACCTTAAGTAACCGTCCAGCCTATGCAAGCAACCATCCCCTCCACGGCTGCTTCCCTGCATGCTGCAGTATCACTGCGAGATTTTATCTCAGGATCAGCCACTTAAAGGCTTCGATCTGTCAGGTCTGTCACTTATTGTTTGCATGTAGAGAGTACTTCTTCAGTAGTTTACATTGCTGCGTCACCTACCTAGAGTTCTCGCGAATAAGACGATATGCCGGGCGATCTTCAAGCACGTGAGATTCAACACAGTATACCACTCACTAACATAAAAATAGCTAGTCTAAATTTGCAGAGAAAGCAACAACATACCTATTCCTGTGCTATTTAGAAACTCATTGAAGCACCTCCTCTCACTATCGAACCTATCCATGCTCATAATCTGACCCTCTGGGATCCAAAGTCTAAACCTCAACCCAACCACTCAAAACAACACCATCAACACCCAAAAACCATCTAAAGGTACAGTAAGAACCCCCAATCTAATACACTTTCCCCAAGCAAACCATCCCAGCAATCCCGGGCACCAACTGCATCTCTACCCAACCTCCAGCGTCCAAGAAAGTAAAAAAGCCAGCCATCCCAAAACGGCAGCCCCGTGACTAATCCAGCAACAGTGTCTAGCCTAAGGCATCAATACATCACCCATCCTCTCCAGGCACCAAGACATCAACTAACCGCAGCCAACTTCTGCCTCAGGCGAACAATGACTAATCCCACGTGACCCGGCGGAAGTCGGCTTCAGAAACGGACCTTGACGATATGCAATTCCCTGCTCCGACACAGGAATTGCCCTCGATCAGGATCTCTCGGCGGCCAATTGCGGTGTTCCACTGAGACCGAACTACACTCTCGCCTTTTTCCCCCCCCTCTCCGGTCCACCAAACAATAACAAAGACAGCTTCGGCTGAAGGAAGTCACGGACACACGAAACCCGATATCCGCACATCATGGGCGCCGGCAGCTCTAAGCCCGCGGCTCCGGCCGACTCGAAGCACATTTTCTCGAGGTAGGATGCTTTTGCTTGTTACATTGGACGATTATACATTGCTCTGAGGGGAGTTGGTATAGCGATTGGCTTGGGCTGGTATATCGGTGGACGCGCTCAATGCATGCTATTGAAGCCCGGACTGTCTTCACCGAGGATAATCATACCTACCCAAAACCAACCATATTAATAAATAAATAATTCGACATGGGCGATACCCTTCAAAACCATTGAAACACAGTCACAATGAGAATAAATCGGAGTACCAGCTAATAGCTATATCCTACACAGCTCTTCCCCCGTCCAATTCTCCGCCAACTTCGTTGACGGCCTCCAGTCTAACACCGAGGTACGTACATTTCCCATATACCTACCTACCATACCCTCAACTCATCTAACCCACCTCCTTCAATGGAAAAAAAGACCGACTCCGCACGCGCCCGCTCCCTCGAACTGCAAATCCAAGAGCGCGTCGCTCAAGAACTCGAGCGCCTTCGTGCTCGCGAGCAGCAAACGCTGGCCGAGATCGAGAAGAAGCTTGCCGAAGCCAAAGACGTCTCTTCTTCGACACCCGCCCCCAGCTACGCTCCCAGCAGTGGGGGTGCAGCCTCCTACTACCCACCCGGATCTCTGGACCTGGATGCGCCCCGGATCCCGTTCGCGGGGCGGGAAAGCTACTTCGCAGCTGCTGCTGCTACTCCGGCAGCGGTTGAGGCGGCGCAGCAGCCGATCAACCGGGAACTGTCGCGGGAGAGCGTGAACAGTGAGATTGAGGAGTTGAGGGCGAAGTTGGAGGGACGGAAGAAGTTGGTTGAGATTGATGCGGGGATTGAGAAGGCTAGATCGGAGGTGGTGAGTTGTTTGAGGTTGAATGATCGGAGGCCGTTGGATTGTTGGAAGGAGGTCGAGGCGTTTAAGAAGGAGGTTGCTAGGTTGGAGGAGGGGTTTGTGGATCGCATTGTTGGGTAGATTTATCCATTTCCATAGGTGGTGATGATGATGGACTATATTGATAGAGAGGTGAGGTATAGTGGTGTGTAAGTGTGTGTTTGTTCGACTGTTGCTGCTGCTGCTGCTGCTGCCGAGTCATCAATCCCGGTTTGTGCATGTGTGTATATGTATACCTAGCTTGCTAGAGAAGGTTACTGGTTTCTGTTTTCATCGTTTATCCTTAGTACTCTGTTGTGGTCGGTGGTAGAGGTTGGTTGGTTGAAATCTCCCAACTAAATGGGCAGATCTTGAATATTCATCTCTATCATAATTCCATGTTCAGTTCTAAACCCCCTCCTCCCCAAACAATCAATCAAAGACACACAGGGTATCACGCAACAAAGCCACACAATCCATCCATACACATACACATCAAACCAACTCCCAAAACCCGACCCTCGCCACCGTCTCCCCCGCACTCCTTATAATACACATATTCTTCCCACTCGCCTTCCCCTTCTGCACCTTCGACAACAAGACAGACCCAATTCCCGTACCCTTTCCCTCAGCAAGGTTATAATTGCCCGTCGTAACAAAGCCAATAAGATCCTCCTCCGTCGGAACCGGCAAATGCTTCTGACGAACATCGTCACCCGCAGACGGAGTGATAAGCGACGCAGCAAGCTGTTGCTGGACATCTTCAGGGCCGAGGTTGGCGGTAGATCGGGATTGTTTCTTCTGAAGTTCATCTCTGAGACCATCGTAGGGTTGCTTTGATGATAGCGTGAGCCAGTCTTGGCGGAGCTCGCGATCGGTAGTTGGGAGTCGGTAGATGCGGGCTCGGGGGGTGGGTGTGCCGCGGTTGAGGAGGGTGAGTTTGACTGTTGCTAGGGCTGAGGTGTTAATGGTGGTTGAGGAGTCGGTTAGGGCGCGGGTTGCTTCGGATGTTGGGAGTTGGTGGATGCTCAGTGGTGGAAGGGTGGCAATGGCGTCGTTGTCTTGGGGGTTGGTGGTATCATCCGGTTTGGTTTCAGTCTCTGAGGGTTGTTCCTTGTCGGTTGTATTGCTCGCCTCCGGTGCTCCTTGAATGAGTCTTTCCCAGTCGCAGGCCCAACCACGTCCTATTTCACCCTTCTGTCCGTTTCTCAGATCGATGCTCTCGAACTCGGTTCTGCGCCCCTTGGGACGTCGCTCCCACTCTCTCTTCGCTTCTTCTCTCTCGCGCAGACCCCATTCCCACCCAGCGCGGGTTCCTGGGAAGTCACCAGGGAACCAAGGCTCTCCTGATTCGAATGAGAGTTGCTGCTGCTCTTTCAGACCGCCAAATCTGGGGTTTCCGCCGCTCGAGAGGGGATAGTACATCAGCGAGTACCAGAACGGAAGCACGCACTTCCATGGGAGGAGGACAGTCCAGGTTCCAGGTGCGCTGCTGCTCTTGGAATGGGTAGGTCGACTGGCCAGTACCATCACAGGTATCTTGGAGTCAGTGTCTTTGGCGGGCGGGCGTACGCCAGGACCAGCTTCGGTTCGACGCCGATTGATAGCCTTTTGGCTAGGCAACTGGCGTGCAGCAGCTAACCGGGCGCGACGATCGAAGAGAGCAGGGGCCGTCTGCGTGTTATCCGGGGACCACGACGAGAGTAGTACAGCCAGCCGTTGCATCTCTTCCTCTGACGATGATGGCTTCAAAGTCTTGGGCGGGAAATCGAGGCGAGGGTCGGAGACCGAGAACCCAAGGATGGCATCCTGCGGCAGAGATGCAGGGTTCGTTACCCCCAAGAGAGATGTCCATGTAGCCTCCGGACTGTCCGCAGCGACATCCTTCCCATCCACAGCAACCGGCTTGAACGACGCAAGCAACGCCTCCGTAGCCCCCGGACCAGTAATCTCGATACTGCCAACTTCAAACCGCAAGTCCTCGACCATAACAGGAGGATTTTGCTTCTTCGAAACACCCAGCAGGGAATTCCACAACTGCAAAAGCGCAGACGGATGCACCCGAACAAACACCTTCCTCCAACCCTTCTTCCCCTTCTTCTGCTTCCTACTCTCATCAGCATCAACCATCTCCACATCCTCCCCCTTCGCCTCAGCACACCAAACCAACGTAACCGGCGCAATGGGTCTCTTCTCCCCCTCCCACTCATACACCCAAGTCCGCAACCCCCTCGTGCCAGCCCTCCACTTCCTCCCCTTCCCTCCCCACGCCTTCTCCCCCTCAACCCCAACAGCCCTCAACACCCCCTCAATCGCCCCCACCGACCCCTCCAACTGCAACGTCGCCAAATAACTCATATCCCACGCCACAGCACCCCTGGACCCCCTCGCACGATGCGTCGGCCGATAACTCTTCTCCGTCGGCGACAACGGCACCGCGAACCTCCACAACGGATCCTTAGAAGTAGCCATATGCGCCCTCTTCGCATGAAACATATGGGTGGGCAACCAAGTCTTGCACTGCTGGCGTTTCTTGAACCTAGCTTCCGGCGGATTCGGCCTCGACAATTTATTTTTCTTTATTTTCGGCACCCGCGGCGCAATCTCATACGCATGACTACCGGATTCTTCCAACGACTTCCGGACCTCTTTATCTCGCTGAGCTTTCACGGCCGCGCGCTTGGCTTTCGTCTTCGCGTTCAGGTTCTGTAGTCGCCGGGCAGTTTCGAGCCGAATGCGCATTTGTTCGGTCGGTTTGCGGGTTCGTGATGATACGGTGGGGGTGTTGTCTTCTATCATCTGTACACAGAATCATAGTCAACATATTAGAATCTTTCCGCTGCTCTCTCGAACCACAAAAACCCATTTAGAGTAATCTTGACGTTAAGAGACTTTGAGAAAAGAAAGGGAATATGTATATAAATACATACCTCTCTCCTCGCCCTAGCTCTCAACCTCTTCGGCACCCTCTTCACATTATGACTCGCCGTCCGTCTCCTCAACGACCTCGGCACCTTCTGAAACGCCCGACTCGTCAACGCATTCTTCGATCGCTGGATCCCCGATTCGAGCGACCGGATCTCGTATTCTCTTGCTTCCACGTACGCAGCGACATCTAGTTCGCCGGAGGCTGATAGTGCCGCGTCGGCGGCCTGCACGGCGAGCGAGCGCGCATCGAATGTTTTTTGACGTTTGCGGGCGGCCGCGGCGGAGAAGTTGTTGTTGAAGGGAGCAGCAGGTTTGCGCTTCGGTGGGTGGGAGGCCATGATGGCCGATGAAATGTGTTGTGTGTTTGTTGTGTGCGAAGGGAATTTCTAGGAATTAATGTATCATTTGGAGTTTGTAGGGGAGGAGAATCTGTTGGAGATGAATAATTAAAGCTTTCAAGATCCCTGCAGAAAGGTCCGGGTCTGGAATGAAATGAAATGAAATGATGGAATGGGTTGGTTTGGTTTGGTTTAGCGCGGTGTCTGTTCCGTCGTCCGTCGTCAACTTTCAGTTTTCCGGCCGACACAAATGGGAAACTAGTGATGGGAGCAGCCACTCCGACGCAACAAAATGGCAACGCGACCAATGATCGTTGGCTGACGGTTAAATGCTCAAGTTAATCCTAGTAGGTCTTGTTGACGCTTTGATATTCGGGCTTTTGTAGATCAGTCTTAGCTGGGGGTCGAATAGTAGCTTGTTTTTCTCTTTGTACATTTTCTTTCCTTTTTTTCTTGACTTTTAAGGTTATTTTAGATGATCGTTGGACACAAGTATACTACGTACTGGCATCATACTACAATATGAACAGCGTTGTCGTAGCTTCGTAAGCGCGTTGATTTTCTTTCTATCTAGTGGTTCTGTCTACTTTCTAACGCATTATCCCACCAGGATATGAATGTCAACGCTATCTATCATCGTACGCCTGCCATGTCTATCGTCTTTAAATGACACGTTTACAGCTGCTTGAGGACGGCCTCGGCGCTCGAGAACTGCAATGATAGTTAGTAGCTATTCACCTGGACATGAGAAGAGTAGGAAACATACCTCGAGGTGGTTCTTGGCGGGCTCACGCTTGGCGTAGGTGACCTTGCCGTGGTCGATGATGATGGCGTAGCGACCAGTGCGGCCCTCCTCGTCGGCCCAGCCGATGCTCTTGGAGAACTTGGCCTCGGGGTCAGACAGGAAGAGCTATAAAAAAGATTAGTATCATTGGTCTAAAGGACCAAAGGACGAACGAGAAAAGAAGGGAATCTTACAATGTCATCGTTGGTGACCTGGTTGGCCTTGCCCCAGGCGCTCATGACGTAGGCATCGTTGTAGGCAAGGACGGCAACAACGTCGACACCCTTGGCGCGGATCTCAGGGAGCTTCTCAACGTACTCGGGGACGTGGCGAGCAGAGCAGACGGGGGTGAAAGCACCGGGGAGGGCGAAGAGGATGACCTTCTTGTCGGCCCACTCCTTGGAGGCGTAGTAGTTGATGGGGATACCGCAAGAGGTGATCTCGCCCTTCTCCTCGGACCAGGGGATGTAGCTGTGAAAGGAGGAAGCATGTTAGTGAATGTACTAGTAATAGGGTATGGTGACCACAGGATATGGTTGCGTTGTTGCTCTCGAGACACCAGCAACCGGAGAGGCGGAAGACGGTGGGGGAGGGGCAAAAGGAAGAGAGAGAATAGAGGAATGAAGAGAATACTCACGAGAAGGTAACGTCAGCGGGGAAGCTGTCACCGGGGTTGAGGCCAGACATTGTGAATGAGATTAGTTGGTAGTAAGGTGTACTAGAAAAGGTATGAGTGATTGAGTAGTAGTAGTAGTGAGTTGTGAGAGTGAAGAAGATTGGGAAGGGAATGGAAGGTTGGTTATATAGGGAAGAAGGGGAGACGGAACGGGGGCAGCGAGCCTGTGGCGGGTAATTCGACCTTAGCTTCAGTTGAATGAATGGTTCCTGTGTCAAGGGCAACGAATAACGCGGCGACGGCCCGCCCACGGCGCCATGAGGTGATCCGAAGCAGAAGGATACCGAAACTCTTCGATTGGTAGGGCTTTGGAGGGGGAACTGTATTATCAAGAAGACCGCCCGAGACTGAGTGACCCCACCACGCATTCCTTTTTCGGGTCTGCGCCATTCCCGTCCACTGGCCACCATATCTAGACCGTCTCCGTTGACAAATCGGCCCTCGATTCGATGTTCAAGTCTTACTATTGCTGCTGCTACTCCTTCCTGGAACGTGTTTCCGGACCAGATATCCCATACTCTCTACAGGTGGGCTCTCTCTGCAGGGTTCAATCATGGGTCTGTCTGGCTTGCATTTCTGGGCCATCCTCAGTCACTCCCATAAATTGGGCATCAATCTCTATAGCTAATTAGCACTGCTATCAGAAGAGCATTAATTCCCCAGGCTCATCATTCTCCCGATGTAGTATCAACTATCAATTGCTGGTTATCAGGAGCCGGCACTTCATCCGAGTCTGCATCAGTACAACTAAAAGCTTGGTTACCTCCCGTACACCCCTGATCCTAACGCCACTCAACCTCCAATCTGGTCCTCATCCTAGATGGGTTCTCTATCGATATGCTTAGTAAATAGCCATTGGCATCTACAAATCAACCAATGCTGCAGATCAAACCTGTTTGCAGAACCAAAAGCAGAGGTCTGCCGTAAATCCGATGTGAACACAAATCTGCTTGTTCGTTTCTAATCACCAGAATTACCACGCAATTCACCCAGATTCTCAATGTGTAGCTGCATCGACAGCCCAGTTGCCTGTCTCCGTCTCCGGCGTTATATCACCGCCAACAAGCTTATCTCTGCCTCCAAAGATAGTGTTGAGGAAACCATCCCACCTCGACACCTCAGGCATGCGCATAGTGCCCCTCCATCCCAGCACCCAGACTTCCCTCCTATTGGCCTAAAAACCCGAATCACGAGAAAATAGCCCCACCTAAGCCAATATCGAGCCAATCAGTGGTCTCCACCCACCACCGCCCTGCTCTTCCTCTGCCCAGTAAGCCAATACGTAACCAGTCCCGTCCACCACCGCAAATATCCTCAGGGACCTTGGTGTGCTGGTGCTTGGTGACCGCCACTATGATTTACAAGTTTCCGAAGATTTTCCTCCCCAAACTCTCTTCCAGGCAGTGAGTTTGGTTCAGCCAGGGAGAAAGATTTTCGCACATTGTTACCGTGGATAAGAATACCATATCCCGCCTTGCCACTTAGGTAGAGTATGATGTGGTGATCCTCGGCTTGTGTCGGACCCATTCGACTGCTTACTGTGTACTTGGTAGGCACGGGTCCTGGTATCCGAGCATCTGATAAGATTGGCCAACCAACCATAGGAAAGCCAGGTCGACCCCCGATCACGGAACTCGACTTTCGGTGGCTGAGCGCGCTTGGCTGCTAATGATTATGATGGTAACACCGCGCAGAAGCCGATCCAACGCCGTGATGAATAACACCTCGCTGGTTTTCCCCGGCATTTGTATGGATTACCTAAGGTAGGCGAGTCTGGGGCAATGGTCTGGGATGATCTTCCCCACCGCGATTATACATCCTCCGGGTTCTAGAAGAAATGCCTGTCTTGCCCCTGACGATGGACAGGGGTTGGTCTGCAAATGCTTCGATAAGGTCGGCTTAATAATTCTAAGTAGTCTAGGCAATACTCCTCAAATTGAACGCAGGTGATGTAACTGGTATACTCAAATAGAATCTGCTGAAGTAATGTGTTATTCATTCTCTTGGTCGAGATACGTTACAGGGCAATTTGCTATCAATGGCATTCTAGCCAGTTCCTATGATTTAAAAGATGGTTAACTGCAGCACTACCTTGCAATAGTTTACCCCCTCCACGCGCCTAGCGGATGGCGCACCTCGCTCAGCGAGTGCAATGCGGACATCAGTTCCGTGTCCCCTGGCGACAGTATCTGGCTTCTCTCCTGTCCGGCAAGATGAAAGGGAAGCTCATCTACCTGGCAAACAGTCCCGGGACTTGGTAGCTCTCCGGTCTGGAAATACTGACGTATTGCTTTCGCGGTACATAAGGATGGACCACTCAGTGTGCAATGCTGCGACATTGGAATGTTAGTAATTTTGCACATGGGTCTGAAGGGAGGGGCGGAAAGAGTACTCACTCCAATGGAGTTCTGCTCTAACACTATTGACTCAGGAAATCCACGCGCCATAGTATGAGCACTGCGGATGCGTCAGTTGGTGCTTCGAAGTCTGTCAGGATCGAGTGAGCATAACTTACTTCCGGAGCGGAGTTACTGGATCATAAGTATTTCCGATAAATAGCAACGGGTGCGATGTGTTGCCTGTAAAGGGCCCTTGAAAAACAACATACTTGTCAGCTTCTATTGCGGTGATGACATGTGCTTTTCAGACGTACCATCATAGCGCCACTCAGGCCGCGTCTCCATTCTGACACACGACATGCGAATCTCAGCCCAAAAATCTCCAACCGCCTTACTTTGTCCCTGGAGCCTATTCCAGTAGCTCCGGAACTCCTCCTTGGCGGTTCCGTCGAGGCCTGGACCGTCTGTGCATAGAATATTCCTCGAGGCCTCCTGATCGCTCTCGCCAGGTACTTTGTACTGTTTGGAGGAATCGCAGGGAGGAGGTGCTGGCCATTGTTTGGCTTCGTACTTGAGATCAGCGAAGGAAGAGCCGTTACCTTGCTCGAGCTCAGTCAACAACCGGGCCACTAGATCGAACGACTTCAAAGGAGTATAGAGAGCCTGCACAACCAGTGACTTCACGTCACTATAGGTTATAATCTCTGGTCCCCTGTTTCCTGAGGGAGGTACGGCAATAGGGCTCGATGTAAGATTGGTCAAAAGTTGCTCATAACGAGATTTGAGGTCTTCGGGATCTCCGCCCAGCGCGAACGCACATGATGAGGGCCCAGCTGTTTGGCAATACTCGAAAAACTTGTCGAATGCTTCATCCGAATCTTGTAAGTTGGTAAGCCAGTTGCCCGCATAATAATCATCAGCGTTGCAGACACCGTCTATTACAGCACGGTGTATGCGATGAGGCTGCATGGCTGCAAACGTGGAACCCAGGATTGTCCCATAAGAAAAACCCCAGTAGAGCAGCTTCTCCTCCCCTTTGTTCCAGCGATTGTGCAGACTTATTCTCTCCGCGTCCGAGTTTGCTTCAGCGAGGGACGTGTTCGAATCCGTCGAAAGGAGCCGCTCTGTTTCTCGTTCGCGCCATTCTCCCTGGCGCTCTACGAGTTCAACCATATCCGCCACCACAGGGGCTGTATTCATAAATTTTCCTATCCATTCACCATCCTTTGACGCTGTGACTCCTTGCTGATTGCAGCTCATACCAAAAGCTTCATACCTTGCCCATCGAGTATCGAAGGCTCCTTCAGAACTTCCAAGTAGACCCTCTGCCTCTAGCTGCAGTAACCACGCTTTCCTCGTCGCGGAGTCAGGAAAGCAGGATAAATTAGGTGTTGTATTATTAACCCCTCTTGGGTCAAAGCTGACAACATCAAAATACTTTCCGCTCGCCGAATCTGCACTTGGCGATTCTGGGGAGTCGACGATGGTCTGGATAGCTTTCCCATATCTGAGGACCAAGCTCACTCCGGATCCACCAGGACCACCTATTTAACAATCAGAAGAAACTTTGTAAAGTAGTAATGTGACTCTGCATACCTGGATTCAGAAGAATGGCCCCACCATATCGCGCATCTGTGACAGGTACCTTTGCAGGAACTTTGATAACAGCCAAGGCAATCTTTGACCCTTCGCCATCCGTTCGATTCCAATCCATTGGAAGCGACAAGCGAGCGCATCCGTAATGGTCAAAGCATGGATGGTATACGAGTTGTTCGGTGGGGGTAATCTGGTAGCGTATATTAGAACATTACATCCCAACCTGATACATTTACTTACATCTTCCCATTCAAAGGACTTATCGGGAGTTGGACTGGGCAGCTGTTGTTCAACGCTCTTGCTTCTGTCAAGTCCGCCATATATGTGAATAATAGCAAATGCGACCAGAGCGAGGAGGAGGAGGATTCGAAAGGCTTTTCCTTTGACAGGGTGTGGCCTAGATGGCACTACTGCCATATCAGGCCGGTGGCCAGGCAGTTTTGAATCCAGAGACATTGTATGAATGCCTTGGATCTAATGGTATGATAGACCGCTTGCTGAATAGGATGGCGCTCTAAAAAGGAGGTCGCAACGGTGCTAATCCTGCTCACTTTCTGGCGGTCAGAGCATTTGCCTGTCACGAGCATAAGACCGCATATTTATAGTGGCCGAGTCAGCTCAAAGCACTAGTAGCTAGTTTCCGTCCGCTAGAGTGTATTGAGATGATATATCCTTGTAAGCCGGATGCAAATATCAGGTCCGAGTGGTGAGATTCAGTAGCTGCACGGCTTAGCCCTGCGATTACTTCATGCCAGGCAGCTTCCTACTCTGGAAGGATCGCATTGTGCCGCGGGCCTTCCTAACCTGGAATAGCCTTGCGCTCCTTGCGACCTCTCACCGATAGGCTGATAAGCTGATGAGTAAGTACCTCGCAGGATGCTATCCCTGTAGGCAACAAGTGCGGGGATAGTAGTCTTCCACAGACTTTAGTTAACCCGACAAAGCCGATGACAACTGGTGAATATTATATTTTGTTTTCGTAGAATTAGCAGGCTATCATTTTATGGTGCTCGTTTCTTAGTACTTTCATGAACCATGACATCAATTACATATTTTCCATGACAGTGGTTTGTAGTGGTACTTAACTGGCAGTGATACAAAATATATATACTTATCCGGTCTATGAGAAGTGAACTAAGTATTACCAAGTAACATGAGCGGGTCGCCACATCAATGATCTGAACTTAAATGATCGAGTCCAATAAACAGCAATATTACTACTAAGTTCCTCAATATAATTTCATTTACACACCGATGAAATGACAGTTACTGATCGTCCTGAGCGGAAGCCTCTCATGCAGCGCTAACATCTCAACGACCACTAGCCCCACGTGACGTGTAACGGCTTATGTACAATGAGTCAATAATAAGCTCTAGTTACTGACTATCTCACGCTTCCTGCATAATCCCAAATCTGTCCAACGGACCTGTGTTTTCTTCATCTCTTCTAAATAAAAATAAACTACTACACCATGGCTGACATCAAGCCCCCTTTCACCGAAGAATCGGCTCGGAAGAAGGTCAAGGCAGCTCAGAACCTATGGAACACCAAGTAAGAACTCCCCCCCTCTACGACATGTATCCCTCTGGGAGATCTAGAATCCTGTATCTTGCACGCTGTCGTCATTTTCGACGCTGGTATGAGGGGTTAGAGTCTGCTGTGAACTCAGATTTTCATCCCTTGCGTCCAATCGAGGCCTTTGCCTCGTGTCTCCCATTCTTTACGCCCAGCTGTGATTTAATTCCATTTCTCTCCGATACCCCACAGCATTCTTAACAGCTGCTGAATCTCACACACTGTTTCTGCTCTACTGCTTGCTCGCATTCTAACGGGCTTTACACGTAGGGATCCCGTGCGAGTTGCACAGGCTTATACGCCAACATGTATCTGGCGCAATCGGACGTCATTCTTCTCCGGAACAGAGGGCATCGTTGAGTTCCTGACTGCGAAATGGAAGAGGGAAGAGAACTATAAGCTGCGAAAGGAGCTGTTCTCCTTCACCGATAATCGCATTGCAGTGCAGTTTTGGTACGAGTATCAAGATATTGATGATGGTCTGCGTTGGAAGCGGTGTTATGGTCTTGAAGACTGGACCTTCGATCGAGAGACAGGAAAGATGTGTAAGAGAATGATGAGCGGCAATGATGTGCTCATCGGACCTGATGGAAATGGAGAGGGAAGATGGTTTGTGGAGGGAGTAGATGTCGAAGACGTCGATATTGGAGAGGAACATTGGTGAATGGCTACCTCTAATTTTCTGCACATCATAAGGCCGCTGTCATTTACTGCATTAGCAATAATCCCTATATCCAGGGGATCCGAGAGAAAAGCAAAGTGTTGGAATTATCGTGATTCATGATGCTCCCTATGGTATGTCGGATCCGAGAAGCACTATGGTATTCCATCTCCGTCCTCCTCTTCAGATGCCCGTCAGACAAGAAAACCTGTCAACATATCAGAAGGTGTTATGTCCTTATCGACAGTTGTTAGATATTTATTTGATAAGACAGTGGACGGGTGGCCTGCGTCTACACACGCAGAGACCGCAGGTAATTTTCCGAAGCGCAATGTAAGAGCGAAGGGCAACAATAATCCCTATCTTTGCGACTTAAACCTAGTGTAAACAAGGGGCAAAGTAAGCCTGTCTGGAGTATTCGACAGACTCGAGCGGCGTGCAAGCCCCTGTCTTCACGCCACGAAGGGGGGAATGCATGTCCCTTTGACTTGCCAAAGATCCCAGCCACCTCTTTATCGCACCGGTGTCTGCAATGACGTCGCATTTCGATGAGCCTAGGGGTTTCGAATCACATCCGGGGAATTTAATGGAAAGATGGGTTTGGCGGATCCTTGAATACCACTACCAAAATCAAAGATTAGTCAATGCGGCATCAAAGTATTATGCCTGCAAATATTTGTAACATCATAAACACCTTATCCATTACCGGAGATAAATCGCATCAATGAGATAGATAGAGGATTCCTTAATTCAACTTTTTGTAGTCAGCAGTACTGGCAAGAAAGCATAATTAGCCCGGGTTGATTTCCGCATTCCAAACTGTACTTCACACAGTATTGCCGGATGCCCGGGTGGGTGAAGGAGAGGAATTCCGAGCAAAACAAACACTCGATGGTCATTCCACAGACTCTCCTCGCCGTGGCATGTAGCAAACCCGGCTGAGAAAACCATGTTTGCTCGCTTTGACCGCGGAGCATGGCTCAGGAAAGCATGCCTCCAGGAAATTACCGGTACTCTGGGAGATTCATCTGCACTCCTATGCCCCTCTCACCTAGCCATAGCAGTCTGGAGTTGGTTTGATCCGCAAACGTTGTGGTTGACTGCCTTTTTCTCATAGCACTACATGGGGACCTGAAAGGGCAAACAGGCAGGAGAGTACTAACAGAACAGCAGGAGCAGACGATAGGCGATTCAAACAACAACCTCAAGTATTCGCTGTTTGCACGACGTGCGCGTTACCTAGGACTACGCGTGAGTGACTACTCCAAACCTATAGAGAGAGCTTGTCAACTGTATGTATCAGTCTATTGCATCGTGATGTATACGCGTCAATATTCTCTTGATTTCTAACGATATGACAGCCCAGCATAGAACAATCGAGGCATATACGGGAATCTTCTATATGCAGACGCGTGTTTAATTGCCTCTTTCATCGATAAACGGGGCAGATGGACGGGGATACAGCTCTTCTTACTCCCGACACAATGCGGACTCCCTTGACGGATGCTTCAGCAAGAGTAAACAAATGCCTTGCCCCGATTACAGAGCGAGAGGAGCCACTGAGACAACCACAGCAACAGATGACATCGCCGGTGCCGATGTCCATTGTGACAAGTCCTCTGTCCGCAAAGAATGCAGATGTCAACTGCAGCAGCCCAGCTCCAGGCTCACAGCCAGGGACTAACCGCAATTCTGTAATGTCAGCGGCGTCAATAATCACCAACCAAGGCAAGAGGAAGACACATGTGGGACCATGGCAACTCGGAAGGACACTCGGCACGGGGGTGAGCGGCCGCGTGAGACTGGCGAAGCATTCAGTAACGGGGCAGTTGGCTGCGATCAAGATCGTCTCGAAGAAATCCGCCGCCATAACGCAGAGTGCGAGTATTGCGGGAATGGATAAGAAGGCCAATCGTATCGGAGGTATAGGGCCGCGCCAGATCCCATCCGGGCTGGAGCGCGAGGTTGTCATCATGAAACTGATCGAACACCCAAATGTGATCAATCTTTATGATGTTTGGGAGAACCGGGGCGAATTGTAGGTAACATTGGACGCAACTGGGAGTTATGGCTAACACTACGTAGGTACCTAGTATTAGAGTTCGTTGAAGGGGGCGAGTTGTTCGAGTACGTTTCGGAGAATGCCCCTCTACGAGAGGACGAAGCGGTACGGATATTCTGTCAGATAATTGCTGGCCTGGGATATTGCCATCGCTTCAATATTTGTCACCGAGACCTGAAACCGGAGAACATACTTCTTGATGCGCAGGGCAATGTGAAGCTCGCTGACTTTGGAATGGCCGCTCTTCAGCCATCGCATCGTTGGCTTGACACGTCTTGCGGAAGTCCGCATTATGCTGCTCCGGAAATCGTCGGAGGGAAGAGATATCTCGGTGACAAGGCAGATATATGGAGCTGCGGCATAATATTGTATGCATTACTGACAGGCTTTCTTCCATTCGACGGAGATGACACCCATCGCACACTAGAGCTGGTGAGGCGAGGAGAGTTTAAGATTCCTCCGAATATTAGCCGTGAAGCCGCGGACCTGATCATACGCATATTGGAGAAGAACCCAGACCATCGAATTAGCATGAGCGAAATATGGAGACACCCTCTGATCAGGAAGTATGAGAAGCGCTACCAAGGGGCAGTGGACTATCATATCGGTCCTGCACCGCCGCTTATGCCCGAAGACTGTGGCCCACCTATCACCAACAAGGAAGACGTGGACATCGACCTTCTGAGGAACCTGCAGACACTATGGCATGATGCTACTCCCGAAGCAATACTGAAGAGGATTTTAGACCCTACGTAAGTAAAGCCATGTCCCTGATTATGATACATGTACCGCCTGCATGGAGGATACCGAGCGAGTGAACCTGAAGCTGATTGATGGAACAACTAGTCCGAGCCATCAACGCCTGTTTTACCATGCTTTGGTAAAATTTAGAAACGAACAGTTGGAACATTATCAAGGACAGACTCTCGAGCACTCCGCCAGCGACTATCACCATATATCAGTGGCACCGCGTACACCAAGTCGCCGAACTCGACGTGCGAAGGGCAGCTCAGCGAAGTGGTCGCAATTTCCACCCGTGAAAGAAACAGGCAGAAGGACCAAATATAATGAAGAGCCAAAGTCCTGTGCGACGACGCGAAGCTACGACCCGTTCCGGTCTCCACAAGGCAAATACCCCCCGAGAGAAGCGAAGTGTGCGAAGATCACAGTCTACCGTAATGGGCTCATTGTCGATGTTGATAAGACCGCAAAAGAGCCCACAGAAACGGCTCCCCAACCGAGGCCAGCTGCAAAGAACACGGATATCGAGGTGCCCCAGGTGGCTCAGGTGCCCGAGTGTCCACCGAGCTCACCATTCGTGCTTATGCGTGATAAGCGCATGAAGGTCAATTCCGTCAAATCATTCCATTCAAAGACCTCTTTATCTGGGTCTCGTCGGGCTCTTTATGTCGCATCAACGCCGCGTTCTGCCAGCTACAAACGCAATGTATCCTTCCACCACAAAAGGAACCGCTCGCAAGGCTCAGTACTATCCACCAAAGCGAGGCCACCGAGGCCGAAAGCCCGCAATATCAGGCTTGATGCAAGTGAAAGCACTGTCATCTCTGACTACGACGATGATCCATTTTCTGACGCACAAGAGAGCCCCTCGTTGCCCGCTCAGCCCACGGTTGTGCGTGGAGCTGGTGTTACAGTCAGGAATTGCCCTCAGATGAAAAGGGTGCGAAATAGCGATATCATTTGGAAAGACGATGCGCGGAAGGTGTCCTATGAACTCAGTCAAATATGCGAGGAGGCCTTCAACGGCAGCTCACTGTCCACGAACTGCACAGCCAGCACATGCATTGGGTCCGAAACCCCTGCGACATCCTTGTCGATCGCCAGCCCTGAGGTGTCTCATCAACAGCTTGCTTCCAAAAGACACTCGACCACACGCACGGCACCCCCAGCCGCATCGTCGCCACGATCATACACGGCTGCAGAGCTTACTGAAACTCGTCGTAAACTGATCCAGCATTCAACTAAGGACGACTCAGGAAACATCCCGGGCTACTTGAAGCCAATCATTGCGCACCTAGATCGTCTAATTGAGCAGGATGAATCGAAACGACGAGAGCGGCGGGAGAATCCTATACCTTATCCCAGTGCGCTGAGGGAGCAATCAGTCCGGTCGTCAAGTGAAACCCCGCAGCCACCAGAAGCAACCAAAGTCCCGGGAACTGCACCCAACCCCCAAATCAATGCTGCTTACAAAGTAGGAGACCAAGGAACAGCCGTGCTGCCAACTCCTCAGAAGCATCCTGGCCGCTCCAACCGCGATGGAAAGAGAACAGTTCGCATGGTGCCTCATAGTTCTCTGCAGTCGATGGGGCCAGCCAAGGACTTGAATATTCGGAAGAACCGCAGTTCTATTCCCGAAGACATTCCAGAGACACCGGACGTGTGCACAACGGATGCTGAGAAAGAGCAGGCTGCAGCATCTACACGCAAGTTCGCTTCCCTGAACCCCGGCCAAGATCGGGGTCCCTGCGAACTGGACCCCATTGAAGAAACTCCAGGATCGCCCAGACGTAACGGCACTCGTTCTTCGGACAATAAGAAATGGTCATGGTTTCAGAACAGGTCTCAAATGGCAGGGGATCACACTACAAGATATCCCAGCGACGTCCCGCAAATCCAACCGAGTTCAGCGACTGTAATCAGACACCACCAAGACTCGAGAGAAGCGAAGGCCAACACCCAGCGAGATAGTCACTTCAATGGAAAGCCCTCGCGGACGAAGCCTAAAGGCGGATTCTTCAGAAGACTAATGAATAGACGAGCAAGCAAGGAATCTCAGAACCAGGATACAGGTTAGTTTTGTCTACCCATATAGTTAGAACTGGAAACTCATCACCGAGTACAGGCTTTGACACTGCAGACACCAATGTCTTGCTCCACGAGAACATCGAGACTGGTAACACAACAGACTCCGAATTCGACGGCAAACCTCTTCCACCTCCCCCACGTGGTGGAGGAAAGAGCCAGAACTGGTTCGCCCGCGTATTCCAACTCAAGCCTGCTACTCGAGTGATAGCACTCAACACATCGACCACCAAAGCTCGGAAATACATCCATAAGACAATGCGTGAGTGGAAGAAATGGGGTATGGAGGAGGTTTACCTTGACAAGGACAAACGGGTTATCTACGGAAGCGTGGGTGAAGTCAATTGTACGTCTCCCAGACCACACAGATCAGATCATCATGAAAGAAGCCCATCTAACCCATTGATTTGTAGTGCTAAATCTTCGACCGGTCCAATTCTCCGCTGAGTTCTGCACATACCTAGAACAAGGTCGACAGGAGAACCTCAGCCTTGTTCGCTTCAAGCAAGAGCGGGGAGCAGCATCGTCCTTCCACAAGGTGGTCGACACTCTCTACCTCCTCATGAAGGGCCAGCACATGCTCATGGAAGATCCGGCCCGAGCAAAAGAGATGGTTCGAATTCTGGACGACTACCCGAATTTTTGAAGATGAATGAATACCCACCCTTTTGATTCCCATCCTCATATTACTCTCCTAAACTGTTTCTGGACTATCATGACCATCTGGATGGACTTTGCAAGCCTTCTATAACCACCTACAAGGCCCCTTCAAATATCACTGCATATACCCTCAATCAACCCCTTTCAGGACTTCATGTTCATAATCTCTCAATGTCTTTCCCCCTTCCTCTTTCCCAATATTGACCTAGTCAGGTTTCTTTCCCTTACCAATTATCTACCCTAAAACACTCGCTTGATCTTCGAATTCTCCTTGTCTGATTAACCCTCCTCACTTCTGTCACTCTTTCTGAAACATTTCCTTCCTTCGTGATTTCCATTTCCATTCTATACTTTGTATTCTACTCCAGCGTCTACCGTTCCATATTCACTCGTGTCTCCAGTTAATCCCATTGATTGAATTTTCCAAAGCAAACGAACCGAATTAAAGTCTCTTGACACCAATTCTCGCTAGTCAATTCCATACTTACCCTAAGCCTCTAACTCGCCCTCCAAACATTCAATCCTCAAAAAAAAAAAAATCGAAAATCACACATTTTCTCTTTTATTATATGCCAGCCAGCCAGCCATTTAGCTGCTAGTACTTTGTATACATGCCTGTTTTTTATTTAGTTCTATAAGCCCTAATCATAATTACTTAGCTCATTATTTCTTTCCCCAAAGCTTGTCGAGCTGAATCTGCTTATTTGGAACGATGCTCCCCCGACTTGGGAGGCTAGTTGGGGACTGTTTAGTAAGGAGGCATGCACGTCCCAGCAAATACCAGTGGTTAAGTTACAATACAGGATCATGGATAATTGGTTGTATCAGCAGATGTGCAAAGACCTACTTACTATATCGCAGGAAAAAAGACCTAATAAACAAGATACGTAGGTGTTTGATACTTGACTATATGAGGTAGGTAACGCGGAAACACAACGAATAATATGCACAAATCAAGATAGGCACCAAAACAATTTGCATGTAACAGAACGCATGGTGATTGCAAGTTGTAAAAGTTGATCAGACAGCCTCCCAAGTATAATACGAATAAAAGCAGAACATCAAAAACTGAAACCAGAATGACCTCCTTTTTCGCGAATGATGGCAAAGTACCGTCCCAAAACAAGCCGTTTCAGAGCAGACAACAAAACTCGGAAACAAGAGCATGAACGCAGGACAGATAGCCTCCCGAAAGTAGTGAAACACGTGGAAAAGACAAAGCCACCGCCAATAGCATTTAAGAAAGAAAGCCTCATCACACATCTTGTTCGGAAGAAATGGAAATGCAGCAGATATTCGCACCAATGATTCGTTTCGTGATGGCTAACGCAAAGACAGACATTGCCGACAGATGGAGCTTTCGATCAAAGCTCGTCATCCAGGTGATCCCAGCATAACCGCCTGTTTCCAAGATGCGGTCACTGATCGAAGGATGCAGAGTGTAGATTCACTTTGCTTGACGATTCTCAGAGCTTCGAACTGCACCTGGTAGAGAAAACGAACGGAAAGACCAACAAGAAAAACGTTATTAGTAGGTCGCCCTAAGTAGTTTATAGCCAGTGACAGTGTCTTCGGAAAGGGAAATGTTGTAGATGATGAAAAGAACAGAGTGCGATATGATGACTGTCAAGGCACTGTAGCTGCCGGATGAGCGCTGCAACATTGACATCCACATGCGCAGATGACCGTATAAAATAGTCAACAAGACAGACACCCTCGCACTTGAATCGTGCAGCTCGTAACTCTCTTGCGTCTCGTTTCCATGACCTCGTAGCTGAAAAAACTTCCAATTTTGCCTCTTCTTTTTGATTGTTTTTATATCCTGATTTCCTCGGACCTCTATTCACTCAAGGCATTGCGTTTCGCTTCATCAGTTGGCGTGATTTTAAAAAGATGTGATCTCCGTCCAGGCATTGCACATGAATTCGTTGTCTTCGCTTCATCTTGCTCTTTCGTACCCCAATGAACGTGCGGCAATGGCTGCAAGAAGAGCAGCATGGGATGAGATATTACCACGACTATCACATGGACGTGTGACCAGCACACAAGCTTTGCGCGTCAGCCATCGACGAACTTGAACGTGCCTCCTTCCGCTGCATCTCCATAACCTTTCGAACTCATATCCGTCAAACCACCCTAATCCCCATCATAGCCAACCCGTTGGCTGGAAGGCATGTCGGCATAGTCGCGGAGAACTATTGGCCTAGGCCCCGACGGTTCAATGCATTGAGCATGTCACTATCGGTGCTAGAGCGGCCCTGACCTTCTCCTCCAGGATTCAACATGTCTCGCACATTCAGTCCGCCGCGAGATGAACCCCCCGGGGTGGAAGTGGGGGGAGGAGTCTGATTGGGGTTCACAGGAGGATACGGGGAGCTGTGAGGAGACGAGGAATGGCGACCATCATAGGGATAACTCGATTGCGGAGAGGTACGTCGCTCATGTGGAGGCGGCGGCGGCGGATAGTATGGGCTCGTCGCATTATACGTCTGATAGCCAGATGCAGATGTAGCGGGTGTCACCGGGGCGAGATTAGTGGGATCAGGGTATTCAAAACCCGAGCCTGATCCTCGACGACCAACAGGCCTCTATTAAGGAGATTAGTATCCCGAGGGACAATTAGATCGCAATAATAAGCTCGTGCTACTCACATGATCCTGAGCTCCATTGGGAGGAGCGTTTGCGTATTGAGGGGGGTACACCGATGGCAGTGTACTCTCCGGTTGCTGCTGTGGTGGGAGGGGCTGGCCATGGGCACCATAGAGCATGACTCCTGCGGGAGGCGGTCCGCGGCCTTGGTTCTGGGGATTCCGTAGGTGGGGGTAGGCGGCATGGGCAGGGACAAAGGCTTGCGCCTGGGATGAGACTGGCGTGAACATGCACTCCTGGTTGAAGCGGATGCAGTTGGTGCAGCGTCCATCCTGAGAGCTTTCAAATCCCGAGCAACGGATCTATTGGTTCCAGAAAGTAAAGGGTCAGTTGTGACTGAGTACAATACGGGTCTCCCATAAAGGGAGCCATTTGACTAAACGTACCTTCCGTCTCCGGCAGTAGCGACACGCGATGGCAGTCCGCTGACGAGGAGCAGCAGCTTGATAGACTACTTGAGGCGGAGGGGGTGCGCTGTACATGTCTGGGGGGCGGTAGGAGCCGGGAGGGGGTGCCATGCGGTAGGGGTCATGCGACTGCGGAGGGGGAATAGCTGCCATGTTCGGCGGAGGCGGATACTGTCCAGGTGCAGACGGGTATGGGTGATCTGCTGGTGGTGGTGGATAGGAACCTGGGGGATAAGAAACTGGAGGATACTAATGGGTTGAAGAGAGCATCAAGATTAGCCAATGCACCGTTTAAACACACTCGAGTAAGAGCCGCATCGCAGGCCAAGGCGGAGATCGAGGGCATATGAGGCGTATGAGGGATAATTAAGGATGAATGATATGGTGCATATATGCGACAACGTGAAATGAAAGCAGAGAACAACGTACAGGATAGTGAGGAGGTTGTTGACCATCACCAGGCTGCTCAGGTTGACTAGGGTTCCATTGCGGCGGAGGCGGATACTGATCGTTGGGATTGCGGTACGGGCCCTGCCGGTTCGGGTCGTTGTGGTCGTTGGGATTGCCGGACATTGGTAGAGCGAGCGTGCCAGAGAAGCTGATTTATAAAAGGAAAAGGAAAAAGGAAAGTGAAAAAAAAAGACGGGAACGGGCGACGGAGGGAAGCCAGAAAACAGATGCAGGATGATGTGAGGTGAAAGTCACGGTCCCGCGGGTCGTTCAGGCGAAAAGGTAGGCAGAGGCAGGGATGGTGGAAATGCTAAGGTTCCGTGGAGAGCGCGGGCCGCACGGGCAAAGCGTATGTATGTATGATGCTGTCTGACTGTCTGACTGTATGTATGCTTGTATGTATGGCTCAAGGAATGGACGGCCGTATGTATGTAAGCAGTATGTAAGTACGTAAAGTATGTACGGAGGCGAAAGGTGTCGGTGTAAGGCGACCAGGTAGTGTCGATGCGGAGTCAAAGCCGGTCAGAAAGTCGACCAATTCAAGTACAAATCCAGCTCCTGTCGGGTGATTTTCGAAGCTAGCATAGCCTCGTGGTCACGCTTAAGCCAGAATAAGGGAGGCAGAAGAGCCAGATGTAGTGGGAAGAGTAAAAAGCAGGAAAGGGAGTGAGTGAGTTGAGTTGAGGAGGCGAAATAAAAGAGGGAAAGAAAACCAAAAAGAGGTTCTAATCCGCAGATGGAAGAAGCCGAGGAATGAGATGAGCGCGGATAGGTGAGGGAGGGAAGGGAAAAAGACCAGGGGGCAAGAGGGAGGCGGTGGAGGGAAGGAAGACGATTAAGAGGTCGAGGTGGTCAAATTTAGCAAGGGTCAGGGAAGGATGGTAAGGAGGGGGTGGGAAGGTAAGGGAAAATATAGAAGGGAAAAAAGGGACAAAGAGGAAAAGCGAAGGCGTAAAAAATAAAATAAGGACCAGAAAAATAAAATAAATTAAAATTGAGAAAATAATAAAAAAATGGGAAAAGAGAAATTCCTTTTTTCTCTTTTTTTTCTTTTTGATTATTTTTCTTTTTCGGATTTTTCGAAAAAAAAAGAAAATGGAAAAGGGAAGAAAACGAGAGCCTCGGGGATTTCAGTTATGACGTGAGCGTTGAGCACTGAGGGGTTCCAATGATGATGACCCGTAATATCAGCCAAAATGAATGTAAGTTGCAATAGATTTTAAAGTTTGAAACTCGCGAATTGATTTAGAAGACACTTCAAACGCAGTCAGAGTATCTTAAGGCGCAATGGAAGATCTGGTAGCAAAAACGGGAAACCAAGACCTGAACAAATCGGAAGATAGAGCATATGGTAGATAGATACCTCAGCCCAGAGGAAGGGGATTACAGAGCTTATGAAGGGCTCTCTCTTTGAACCGAGAAGGTGATACTAGGCTGTTATAAGAATGGTGGTGGTTGTCAGCAAAGAAAGACGCAATAGCGTCTCCAATGCCTGACAGTAGCGCAATGCAACTGTCATTAATGATCAGACACCAAAGAGACCGAAGCTGCGAGGAGGACAGGGACGGGCCTGTTGATCCATGGCTGTAGCGAAAATGCTGGGGTTTTGAAGATGCAAACCGACTATCTGTGAAGAGGGCGTGTACACACCTGTCTGCCCTTTTACCCCTTTGTACCCTTCTCTCTCCTCAATTATTGCCTAATGTAAAGACAGAAAAAGGAAAGAAAGGGAATTAATGAGCCCACGTAGATCTCGATGCCTAGGATTCTTAGGCAAACATGATTTCTGCAGGTTAAAAAAGCAATGCGATGACAGGGAAGCCGTATTTTCGATATTGAGAACAGATGCATATGGCACAGATTGAACCTTTCCTAGATAGTCCAGGAAATACGGGGATATTGTATATTACTTTACTATCTATGCCAATCGAAAGACCAAGAAAGTTGAGAGGACCTGAGTACCAAAAAAGCTAAGACCTAACTTGGTATGGAAAATTGCCAAAGTGAAGAGACTGGTCGATGTTTACACATGATTGGAATAAGTCAGATGCCCCCATACTGTTTACTAAATTTCTAGGTAATAGTAAGAATACAGTGAAAGGACGAAGTCGGAAAAGACAATATTTCTGGGGACATTTTAGCAGACCTAGTCTTCATTTATAACCCATTGTCTAGTTATCTCTGTTTTTCATGTTGTAATTTCCACGAACGACCTTTAGCAATGACTCAGTTGAGGCGCTTTTCTTCTGAACTACTTTCCACTTGTGCTGCTTGAAAACAAATTGATTGATTGACTAACTGGAACGGCTCTACTCCAATAACCCAAAAGGATTTCCCAGTGCGACGGGAAGAGACCAAAATGGACATTTTCTGGGTCGCCGAGTCCGCCGGTCCGTCCGGGAGGCGAAAAGAAAACGGTTGGATCAAGCGCGTCAAAAACGACACGAGACGCAGGGTACGAGTCCCACGGCTGGCGGAAGCGGAAAGGCGGGAAGATTCGCGATGGGGACTTCCAAAGAATGCAACAGGTGGTTATTTGGGTCGACTGGGTCCCTGGATACGATGCGGGTATGAGGAGTGAGGAATCATGGCGCGCCTACTACTTTTCATACCCGTTCTAGATACGCGCGACTCTGGTACGTATTAATCAAGACAAGAAAGCGGAGGCGATCTAGTATCATGGTGTCCTCAACCAGTCTCCATGATGGATACTATCATTGGTTCTGCTGGAGAAAATCACCACGCGGGCAATTAATTCGTCATGGGTGCTAGAATCACCATGGAACCCAGGCTCCGTCGTCGGGCAAATGAATAGTACCAGACAGTTTGGGAAGGGTAATTGGTCGATCCACCATTTTGAGAAGAGGGAGGGGGGAATGATACTATGGGTGGTACTGTTTCTTCTGTTGTCCCAATATTTTTTAGGATAGAACGATTAAGACAGGATAGAACGATTAAGACGGAATGTGTGGAGCACCTTCAGCAAAATAAAAAGCTATGAAATCTCAGTATGTTCTAATGGTGGTGTAGTATTGCTGACTCGACGAGAGGATGTGGTGGGTCTAATAAAAAAGAAAAAGGGCAGGGGAAAAGAAAAGAAGAGGTGTGAGAGAAGAGGGAAAACAAAAATAAAATAAAAAACACATGTGGAAGGATGGAGTAGCGGTCATGGAAAGGAATAGCGTAGAAGAACGGTCCGCAGACCAGGTGGACCCTATCCAACGCGCCAGCGACCCATAGACATGGACGGGGACTCACCTAAGACGCAGCTAAAGTATTCACGGTTCCATGGGGATCAGCTGAATCGCTGTAAGGCCCTCGGGTTGGGCGTTTGGCAGGCCCCGGCGACCGCACAAACAGCCACTCCTGTTGCGTCTAGAGCCTGAAGAGGGGCGTAAGTTTGCCAGAAGGCGCAAGTGACGACTGATGACGGAGGGAGGGTACGCCGGGACGGGTAAAGGCGCCGTGACGGAACTCCACCGACCGCTTCAAGTCCTTCCGTCTCCAGTTTGGGGGCTTAGTCGCGTTTTCTACTTATTACGGTGTCCTATTTTTCTTTTCATTGGGGGGTATTTTTATTTTCTATTTCCATTTTTCATTTTTCCTCATCTTTCTTTAATTTTTATCTTTCTCTCTTTCTTTCTTTATCTTCTTTCCCTTTGCGAATATTTCCTTTTTATCATTCTTCTTCATTTGTGGTGTCTTGCTCCTGTTCCTCTGGAAATTCTGACATTATACACGTTATTATGTGTTTTGTCACCCTTTGGGCAGGCATTGAAACACCGCTGCGGATTGTAATTCACATGACCACTTCGCCATGGCTGAATGGGCGTTGAAACTATCCCAGTTACAGCATTTGTGCCGGGTCTTTGTGCTTTTGGACTGGTACCAAGATAGGAACTGACTGCAGTAGTCACTACTACTACGTACTAGGTACACTACTAGGTAATGGCATACTCCGCCCGTTTCAAACATACGGAAAAATACCAGTGTTTACCCAGTACTAGCACCAAGCAGTCTAGAGTCGGCCACAAAACATATGCGAAGCAGCGCACTACTCGAAAATATCGGAGGTGCTAGGCATCGTTTCTATTAGCCAATGCATCTCCAAGGCGCCAGTTCACACTGGCTGAGAACAAGGCCACACGCCACGTCGAATATTTGCCAGCAAGGACAGAATCATCCTTACTAAGGTTTCAGTAAGAAATAGTGCTTACTAGAATCTCCACGGGCAACAATCAGTACTAGTAATGCTGGAGCATGTACCATAGAGAACCGGTTTTATGATAACCACTGCTTGAATAATGCTGCTACATGCATACTGGCTCACTACGTCGAGCTACTTACTTTGCACTTCCAGCATTATTCCACACTCAATAAGTTCAATGATCCAGGCTGAGTTCGGGGAAGGGACATCCTGTCTCCACCCGGGTAAAGCCCGAAGCCCCGAACTTTTAAAGAAAGAGGGGCTGACGGCCCGTGGATGGCAAAAGCTCTGTCGGAACCCTACTAAATACTGCACATCACTAGTTCTTCTTCAAATATGGTTGCAGAAAATGAATAATCATCGGCAGTACTACTGCCGACCTTGCTGCTGCATACATACTCGACAACACAGCGGCCCACAAACAACTTCGTCCTGGCCACACTGCTTTGATTTGCTTGATTTACAACGGGAACGGCAACGCACATGCACAGGCAACAATCAGAAGACTAGGGAAAAAAAATAAATAGAATATTCTTCTAGGGAAGGAATGGAAAGGAAGTGTGGGAATCCAGCCTCATGCTGTGTTCCTTTGTCCCGGAGTACTTTTTTTCTTCTCTCAACGAAGTTGGTTCGCTCTGTTTGGAAAAAAAAAAGAAACCAACAGCTCTCAGCACATTTATTTCCTTTTCTCCGTTTACCAATTATTCGATGGGAACTTATTAGGCAGGTGGTTTTACTTCCGATTTGGTATTTCTTCTCAATTCCCAGAGCTCCGGTACGAAGGGGGCCGGGCAATATTGAACCATGGTTGCTTGCCACTTAGTGTACCACAAATCGGGGCCTCGGAGCAATGCATCGTGGCTTTCTTACCAAGCAGACAGTGTCTCGAACCAGCCCACTCATTTCATCCTCAACGCATCCTCCAAACACGATTATTGGGATTGTCGGGGCCTTGTTTGCCGGTACCTGGGCACTCCTTACATACATACCATGATCCGATGACCGGAGAGAGGGGGGAGATAGTGGGTGAAACTGCAGAAGAAGAAAAGGACGCTTTCACAGACACAGGAGGGGTGGGGAAGGGAACACCCCAAAGCTGGTCATCAGCTGCAACCAGCCTAGAAGGTAAGTAGGTACTTTGCAGCTAACTAAAGTGGTTGTCATTTCTCAATGATACATACCTGCCCGCCTTTGCTGCATCGCGCATGCGAGGAACAGCCACTAACTGCCCTTACTGCACAGCTTGGCTGCATCCTCTTCAGGCTTTCGTCTGCCTGCTGAAAAGGAAGAAATGAGAACTTGCTGATGAAACGCTTCTGTATGGTCGTTGTATGACAATACAAGGTACATACGAAGGTAGTATAATATACAACTTACATACAACAAGGTGCGCCCCGGGCCTCTGCCGAACAGAAAGGCAGAATATGTATGCTTCGCAGTAGTGCCCGCGTGCATGCAGCGGCTGCCTTGTTGTGGTCAGGGCTCTATCCAACACACATCCCTGTGGCCTAACTGGCATCATTAGATTGGGGCAGCACGACTGGGAACTCCCTCCAACCTGGCTCCCAAACAAGCAAACATCTACACCATCTCAATTCTTCACGATCGTGTCTCTAATATGACTCGTCACCAGCGGGAGCCTGCATCTCTCAGAGCTAATTGTCATGACAGACTAGCAGAAGGAAGAAAGGAAAAAAAATAAAATAAAATACAAACACTATCACGGGGAAAAAACTAATAAATAAAAATACTAAAATGACCAGCCCTCACACACCATACGCACGAATCATCTGTCGATTTACTACTATCTCCCTGTTTTAACCCTCGGCCCTTCTGATCAATGAGGGATTGGCTACCTATACTACCCATGGCCCCCAATACCCAGGATCCCTTGCATCCTCCCACCATACCTGGGGCATGTTTCGAACGGTACGGTCCAACCCGTCCGCAAGGGCTATCAGCAATAGATGCAGCTCAGATATGCAGCCTGAGACTTGACTTGGAGAGAATTGAACGGGATCAAGGCATCAGGCATATCGCGTGGACCACCCAACCCACCGTTTGTTACGCAGGTTCCCCCTCGTTTCTCTCCCTCGCCTCGGGGTTGATTGCATGCGTGCATGCATGCATGCATGAATGATCAAACGAAAAACCCAAGAGGGATGGTACCCGAGGTTGCAAGGAACCAACAACATACACATACATGGTTCCAGGCCCCATAATTCCAAGTTACCTCAGGCATGTTAGATACGTAGTAGAAAGAGAATGAGGGGTGGGCGGGCGCCCGGACCGGGACATGCGAGATACTCCCGCGCGCGGCGGATGTACCGTCCCATTGCCCCGAAAGGGGGGGAGGACCACCATGGATGGAAACTTTCTTTCTTCACTGCTTTGAAGAAATAAAGAAATAAAGAAATTGCGATTTTCAACCAATGGCGAAATTCGCCCTGACAATTAAGAATTACGATTGGGTATCACGGAACCTCGAAAATCTTGATGATGGTAGTAGGGGGACTTTTTTAAGTGTGACCATCATCATCACCATCACCATATCACTATCGCCATATGATGATGTTGCAACGCTTACTTAGTAAGTAAGTACTCCCATGTTCATATGTAGTAGTACTACTAGCCTTAGTAGCTTAGTCTCCGTAGATACTTCGTATCTACTCCAGATTTAATCTTGCGCGGAAAGGGATACCGTAGTATGTGTGCCTTCCTTGGAAATCAAAACCCAATGCCATGGATTCCTTCTATCTTTCTTGAACGAACCTGACACACAAAAAAAAATAGATTCGCTGGGTATACGGTCCGAGGCGCGGGTTATCCATGTTTCATCCATACCTACCTGAAGTTCCTTCATATTAAGTACCCTATAAAACGATACGAAAACAAAGGAGAGATTTGAATGCAAAATTAATATCCATAGAATAAGATAAAATAAGATAAAGTCGAATAGATAATAAAAATGAGAGGGGTTCAAAAGTGGATTGAGTTAGACTATATTAGACAAAAAGAAAGAAAAGAAGAAGAAGAAGAAAAAGAAGCCACACAGAGGCAAACTTCCACATCCATTCCTGCTAACAGAAAACCCCCCACTACGTACTACGTTAATATTACCTGATTACCGCATGTAGTAGTCAAGTCAGACTATACTACTGAACTAACTACGTACTAAATAGACTACGACTCACCTACTCGATTTGTTCAGATTTGTACGTAAGCCATGGGGTAACGGTGTTTGGGGGCCAAGAAAAAGATAGTAGTAATCAAGAATTAAATTTCTGCCGTCTGGACGAATGATAAAAAGACACACGGGCGAGATCGCATACCATTTGTTCTGAAAGGAAGAGAAAAAGAAATAATTAACGAAAAATGGAAAGTTGATCCAAGTGGAGAAAGAGAGGAAGAGGAGAAAGTAAGAAAGAGAGGGCGAGAGAATTCATTACTCGACTAAGAATGTCCCCGCAAAAAGCAGCTCGTTTTTACGAGTGGGCACGAAGGTGGGCACGAAGAGATGCAAGTCAGTCCAAAAGGTTAAGCGACAGCCGCGGCGCTATCCCATTGGCGTAGAAGAAGCCCTTGAGTTACCGACGCCTCGATTGTGGTTGGGTCCAGCAGGGAAAGGAGCGCTCCGAACCGTAGTCGCACGGCAGCTGATTGGCACACGGCGCGGGGACCATGGGCACCAAATCCCGGTGAATTTAGGTTCCCTTTTCTTCTCTTGTCGGTTCATGGTTCAGCGGTAACGCACTACTTCGTACTTACTACCCAATGGTTGGGTCGCTCGGAGGATGTTCGGTTCCGGCGATAAATACCTTGAGTTACCGTGCGGTGAGCGGCATGTATACCGGGGCTCAAATTGCGCTGCTGATACGGAGGCGCTTTGCTCGCGTTTCATTGGGTCGGCGGGGCCGCCAACTGAGTCCTTTCCATGGATCAGACCTTCTACTGGAGCTCATACGAAGGGGCATCGAAGGTCCCGGCCACATGGGATGATGGAGCAAAAATAATTAAAGTGGCGATGGGAAAGTTGTCCTCGCGCTTGTGAGAGAGATAGAGTGGGTTCGACACACTTCTCTCTCTCTCTCGTTCTCTTGTCTCAAGGTGCGAGCCCACCTAACCACCCACCATCCTCCGTCCTGTGGAAAGAAGTGGAGGTCACTATACGCGGGCGGAATGGGAGAGGGGATCCATTAGGCGGTGAGTCTGGTTACCGGGATTACCGTCACGTCTTGAACAGATCAGTGGCAAGCAGGGCGCTTCCACTTATGCATGATTACAGACACTGTAATCCGAGGGTGGTAACAGTGGTGTGCGGCTCCAGTGGTCACAGTGGGTATGAACGCCCCGAGCACGACACTGTGTTGAGCTGAAAACAGATGAAAGACCTGACTAGTAGGAGGAGTCCGCACACTGGTAAGCTGATACCAAGCCTAAGAGGTTGCACCGACATGATAGGCTCGGTCCGCGCTTGCCCACCTGCCGCTTCAGGCATCTACTTGGTGGATATTGTGGCGGTGTCGAGCACGACGATGAGATAATCTTGGATTAGGAAAGCAAAAACAGAGGTTGCAGAATGCTTATGTGTGTCCCTGTGCTTTGACAAATCAGGCTGACACTCACTCACGAGTTATCAAAGTAGTGTGTGTGTCTCTGGATCAAGTCGCACGTATGATGTGTGAGACCATCCTTCGGCGTTGACCCTGTGACAAAGGATGGCGCTTAGATACTTAGTATGAGCGAGCGGCGCCCCCTAGCATCAATTAGTTAATGAAGGAAGGGCCGTGAGAGACACACTTTTAGTGGGCAGTTCTAAGTTTCCCAGTGCTATAGCCTTGGGACGGCGCCAGACGGGCATGACCATAGCCCGATCGGTAGCGATTGAAAATAACTTGCATTAGCGTCACCCGGTTCGGTTTCTGTCGAGCGGGAAACGGCCATGGGTATTTGGGGAGTGGTAGTTAGTTAGCTACGGGATAGATAGTAAGTAGTCAGCCACAACGTTTTTTATTTTATTTAATTCTATTTTCTTCGGAGAGATAGCACCCGTGTCCCGGAGCCTGGAATTCGAGTATGTGTGTGTGTGGACTGTGGAAGTGCATGTTTGTGCGGGGTCTGGTGACATATCCAAGATTCAATGAAGTTATGAAAATGGGGCCGGCCAAGATCCTTGTTTTATGTCGCAATGGCCGAAGTGTTCCTTTTTTTTTTTTTTCTTGAGGGGAAAGAAATTCCAAACCGGTGAATCTGACAAGACAGGCAGACACGGATGCACCCACTGGGCACATGGGAGCGGCAAGGGAGCTAGTCTCTAGCCCTTCATGGGTAGGTGCTTAGTGGAAGTTAGAAGACGTGGCTGGCAACGACGATTCGCTGTGGAGGCAGAGTCATCACCGCTCTCATCCGCAACAAGTCCAAGCATCTGCAACCTAATCACACTGAGATAGCACGGCCAAAGGCGAACCCCTTTGTGTTCCCACCCTCCATAATCCGTTCAGTCTATCATTGACTGATTATCACTCGCGTAGGTGGTCGGGGATTGGGTGCAATAATCGTCAACGTAGACGAAGGAAGCAGTAGCATGACATCAGTCGACGGTATCGTGTGACAGCAGTAACTTCCGTTTTGGGGGAGTGCTGGAAAGAACAACATTCCCATTTGAACAAGGTTTCTTTTATCATTGGCAATTCTTTTCTATTTTTTTCCTTCTTACTTTGTTTTATTATTATTATGATTATTATTATTATTATTTTTCTAATTTTTTTTTATTTCTATCTTATTTTGTCTTTGGTGGTCGTCATCACTCTCATCGTGTCATAGTAAGGAACCTTTAATCTATTTCACTCCCGTAACTTGTCTACTTAGCCTGTATTTTGTGGCTGCAAGCCTTTAGTTTACTAGCTAGTACTTTCTGAGGGCACACCCTCCTTCGACTCCGACATGTGTCGATACGAGAATCATGTTATCCAGTAATTGAAAATGAGCCATTATGGAGTCAAAAAAAAAAAAAAAAAATGAAACCGCAAAATAAGCAAAGAAGTAATTTGACCCTCGAGCGCACAATAATTCTCAATTCGAACAGAACAAGGCGTCAGCAGAACAAGATTGTCGGAATTGCACGGTCGCAAACGGAGCCGAGGATTGGTGCTGTGACCCGGATGCAGAGGCGCTTGTGTCAGGGCGTTGGGCAACCGGCCCCCCTATCATCGTCGCCCTGCTAGTCATTCTCCTGGTCATGTCCACGACGGGCCGCCCCGACTCCCGCCGATCTTATGCAGGAAGTGTAGTGTGTGAGAGCGAAAGTGTGTGTGTCTCTGTGGGAGTGTCTGAGAGTTGCGAGGACCATGCTATCCAAGTCATCATCCTCTTTCCTCATCCGGAATCTACTACATATGACGGTTAGTACTGAAGATGAAAAGGTAATTGATGTCAGCAAAACTGTCTCATCTCTGTCAATGCGCTTGATCGGGCCAAATGAATGACACTCGAGCCCTTCCTTCCATTTCCTGCTTTGCAACACCCTCCAGCCTCAATGGCCCCCTCGCACCTTCCAATCCCTAAGCTTCCCTCTCCTTGTTCTCCTTCACCTTCTAGATCCCACACTCCGTCGCTGTTCATCTCGGTCAACTATCAGTGACTTGCAGGCTCCGATGCGTTTGGTTTCGCGCCCTTGACTTACAGCGAAGAAAAGCATCATCCATTGCTTCTTGAACAGGATAGATAAGAGCTCGCATCTTGCACACGCCCCAATGGCTGGAAGAAACCCAGGTAAGATGCTCCCACATCAGCACACCGCACAAGGTCCATGCACCTCGCTCATATCATGTAAGTAGATTAAGGATGCTGCAACAAGCCAGAAAATTGCGCTTTCCCGCTTGCTGTTCCACATGTTGAACTGTCAGAGCCCAGTCCAGCCCAGCCAGCCAGCCAGCCTCACTTTTTCGCCCATACAACACACATAATATGTGCTTCCTCCTAAGGGCCCAAATAAATGGAGATGGCTTCTGGCTTGGGGGCCTGAGTGTGGTGGTATCTTTTGCTTTGGTACCATACAAGCGGGAACGGAAACGAAAACAGAAACCGAAACCAAACCGGCGGCCGGAAACGCGGTAATACTATAACCGGTAATAACGCGGCGTTACGACGGTCGCAATTGAGGGCGCGCCATAATTTCGTTTCCTCATTAGCTCATTGCCTTCCCTTTTTGGTGCGTTGCCCTTTCCTCTCCTTCGTCCATTAGTCTCCCTTGCCACGTTTTTTTCGACCCTCAGCGGCCCCGTGCATTGGCGTCCGCGTCTTTCCGTTGCCGCCAGAACCCACCATCACCTGCGTGGTGGGCTTTTCTTTCCTGGTTGTCTTTGTCTCCGGTATCTCCAGGATCCTTCTCCACCGTGACCAACGCCGATTCTTCTTGGCCGCCAGCAAAGTCCATGGTTCTATGGTGGCTGGTGATCTTTGGGCGCAGGGGTTCGAGGAAGTACTTCCGCGGCCCAACTTGGGGCATCCAGTCATCAGGCGTCATCATCGGTGATGATGCTTGGATGTTTGTCCACCGTGGGAGGCAACATTGAGAATTTTGGAGACTGGCACCAAGCACCTGTGAGGTGCTACTGCAGGAGGTACTAGGAACCAAGGTACTAGTCCTAGTAGGTGAGTAAGGTACCTTACTCCTCTTCAAGTCTCCGAGGGCATAAGCACGGAAGCTTTGGGGCGATTGGCCAGGCCGGAGAGCCGCGTTTGTCGATAGGAAGGCGGTCTGGAATCCTTCCACTTGGGAACTAACTAATCATCGTTTGGACCTGAACAGTATTAGTTTACCGCCGGCAACGGGAAGAGCAAGACGGGAAGCTCGCCATGCTAGCTGGGATCATCGATCAGCCCGCATACGGCTACGGTCACGTGATGACAAGGGGGCCTATGAGCAGGCGCCCTGGGTCAGCCCATCACAATACCCCCGCCCGTTTTGGGGCTGGCGTGAATGTCGGAAACAGTCGGTAATGCATCCATGGCGGGATGTCAGAGCGACTGGCCTAGGGTGATGGTTCAGTGGCTTGGCCCTAAAGGAAGAAGGGGGCAGAGAACCAGGTTCACCTCCCTGGCCAGTCTGTGCTCGCTCGGGTAGAAAGTGTGTGCGGGCAAGTGTGAGCGATCTTCCTCACATTATGACGTGGCGAAACGAGACAAACAACTCCAGATGGCCCTGCCAGGCTGCCCTGCCCTTCCTTCTAGCCGGAACTCGACCCAAGGGGAGAGATCTGGGCTTCAGCGCCACGAAGTCGTACCAGAATCTCCCCTTCTGTTCCCTACATTCTCAGTTCTGGATTATTTCGGTTCGGGTCGGTTCGAATCGCGCATCTGACCCCCTGCACATGGGAACATCTTGTGATAAAGAGCCCGGCAATCCAAGTGTGAGAACCTGTACGAGGACTCTGGATGGTACACTTACACTCCCCGTCCAGGCGTCTCGTCGCGTGACGATGGGATGGGAGGTTAGGCTCGGGAAGAAGAGTTTGGTGACCGATGCCTGATCTGGTAGGGATGGCTTGTAACCACTCTACTCGCTAACGCGCCTTTCTCTACCCTCCTGGGCCCTAGGCCGTCAGGGTGGCAAAACCGAAGCAGATGCACACAGGCCACACAACCTAACCTTCGAGATCCCCGCTCGCAGAAATAAACATTCAAGTTCCCCTACATACTACTTCAGTTTCTAGTGCTCACAGCCGCGGGCGACGCGGGCAATTTTCACTTCATACTATCCTAACTCAAATCTATTGTCCCAACGCGTTGCTAGCTGGACAAAAAATGAAACGCGACGGGGAATATACTGAACATATAATACTAACCGATAGTCAGCTGGTGCTGGAATTGCTCAATCCTTCATCCATAGTCCTGCTTGCCGGATCGACTGGAAAGATACTTGGGTAGAGCCCTCCGGGGGGTGGGCTCTCGTAACCAGCAACCAAGGATCTACGGCAAAGCACCCGACGACACATCACATTGCTGATTTTTGCTCCTAGTAACTTAATCTCCGGGCGCGGTCATCAGCCGCAGTCAACCAACCATGATTAACAGCAGGAGTGTACACTCTACCTTCGGCCGGTTGTATGCAAGGGTGGAACAATGGCAGGCGGTCCTCCTTGTTTCCACCGTCTTCTTCCCTCGTCTTTCATCCCAAAGGAGGGGGTAGGATTGCATCGCAGCAGACCCAAGTTCACGTCGTATGAATAGGAGCCCAGCGACACCAGCAGCGCGCTATCTAGATTAGGATGTAAATCTTCGAAAAAAGCAAACATGCGTCTAGGCCGTCAAGCTCGCCGCACGATTTTTAGGGAAACCGAAGTACGAAGTATATTTCCTCTTTGTTAATGACATGGTCCTATTCCCTACCAACCACTCCTACAACCTTCTTGAACGGTTTCTACAAAGCGAAACTCATTGCCGTGTCTAGTGTATCTCCCAATAACAGGAAAGGGTGGTACACAGCCAGCCAGCCAGCCAGCCAACCAATCTAGAGTAACCAACTACTACAGTACATCGTGTTCAGGAAACGAGTTCCGCATCTGGGACAGTAAGAGCAAAGATTTGCCAGTCTGCTACTAGTACTATTACTCTTCAGCTCGAATTGGGGCCCGTATTATTGAGTTGCGCCATCAACTCTTTGTTTGGCTCCAATTACCGAAACGGGTATGACATTTATTATTTTATTCCCGCGTACTCGAATTTGAGGAGTATTCTTATTGTACTTTTCTTCAAATCATGTATGTATGTGTCTTTGTTTCCTTCTAGTCACCCCTCTTCCTCTGTGTGCCTAACTAGCTTAAGAGGAGAGAGGGGGAGGGTGGTGGGACTTGGTGTACACCTCTGTGCCCGAGGAGGATGGAGAGGGGAGAGGAGAGGGGCTGCAGTCACGGTAATGCCGAAAAAGTTGGGAACATCTAGTCTCTATTGGAGACATTAAGAGGGGAAATAGAGGCTCCACAGGCAATTAGAAGCAATTACACTTAAGCATATCGAGAGATATCGCGGATCCAGTGCTAAGCGTAGCCGAACGAAGATATCGGCCATACAAAGAGAGTTTTGAGCACGGATATCGCGCATAATCTAGATGGGCCCCACGGCGCACACAATGAAGGCTCAGGTTCCGCGTCTCTTTTCCACCCTGGAGCGCTTCCTCCACTGCGAATCTTGTCACCGCTTCTGAAGGTAATTCAGCTCCTACGGTAGCGAAGATGGGGGATGAGAAAGGGGGACGAATCAGGAAGAAGGTGATAGAGCTCCATTGAGGGGGAAATAAGTGATAATCGCCTATCGAGGCCAGAAATGGAAGTTGGGCGAAGCGATGGGCACTGGGTAAACGATGGGATGCGCGCCTATTGAGCGGAATGCCCCGCTAGTAGTGTGGACGATGGGTCGAATCATGGCCGATCGTCGACAAGCACAAGGTTTCATGGCTTGCAGGCAAGACAACTTTGTAGTGCCCGGGAGAAGGATGTCGCAAGGCGCAATGGAATTGCAAGTGCTGATTCGGAGGCCTTTTTTCTCGGGGTGGGTTGTCTCTCCATCTATTTCTTGTGCGGTACACACACTCACACCCCCTTTCCACTTTTTCTCTTCTGGGTCCCTCAGGGCTTACAGCTGTCCGGACCGAAGAGGATATGCTTCCGACGTAGCATTGGCTAGACCGGGGAATGACAACCTGGGGAGAGGGGCTGTACAGATTCCCCCCACTCAGGTCTTACAAGACCATGGAGTGAAACAAGGAATTGTGCGTTAGCCATTTGGGCACTGATGCAGAGTGCGGATATTTGCTTCAATAGGACGAGGGGAGGCAGTGACTTGTGAGAGTCAAGTCATGGACGAATTCGCACTCGTGCAGAAGTGGATAACCTGCTACTGCTGATAGATGGCCAACATCGTGGAGCTAACGGCACGTCCGACGGCCCGGCTGCGGCGCGCGGACAGCAGGCCATAACATGCACGTCAGTAGTATCATCCTGAAGGCCTGAATCTCAAAAGTCCCGCGCAGTCCTGGGGGTCATTGGCACGATGGCCATCATCATTGGGGGATGAGAACTGGCGGTAAGGGAATCCCGGAACTAGGTGTTGGAGTATGCCAGGTCCTTAGCGCAGTAAGGAACGAATGTCGTACCGATTTTACAGGATAACCGGTCAAAGGGAAGCAAATGTGGTAGCATCCTGATCCTCTCATGGACCCGATCGAGGGCCAGAAAGACTGTAAACCAAAGGTACACCACGCAACCGTCCGTAACGGGAAGGTTATTCCCATCCACAAGGAGAGACAACATGGGTGGAGATGGCCATGGCAATGAGACAACATTACTCACCTACGGATCCAGAATCTACACACCAGACCGACGAGTACTCACGGTCCTGGAGTTCCTTATCAGGTTATACGATCCCCAACCATGAGTCACTCGTCCCATCTCTTCGGAGGCTGAACTGTTTTTCTCCTGCACTGGATCGACTTGACGATGCTATTGGAGTACGTGACCTGTCGGATGATATTTCTTGAGGTCAGTTACGAGGTTCCGACAACACGACAGAGGCTTTTGTCGCGGCACTTGACCATCCTCTGAGTACAACTGGTTGAGGGTGGGTAACATTGCGCCCGAAGACACACCGCTGGGAGGCTAGGTAGGGAAAGGGAAAGGGGAGGGGCAAGGGGCACAGTGGAAAGGGCCTTGTAATGATTGATACGGCAACTAAAATCCAATAGACGCAGGCGCGGGCAGGCGGGGAGGGGAAAGGCTAAACAGCGAGGGAACAATGGGTGGTATGGCTTACGAAGGGTTCCATGATCCCAGTCAGAGCTGTCATCCTCTCTTGTGCATATTGGTACCAAACTCTCCCCTCTTCATCTGCGAGAGACGCGTCGATGGTGAAACAACGAAGACGGAGCAGCTGGATATTCTCATGATCGATTTGGTAGCCCTAGGCAGACAAGGAGCTCTCCCAGTATCGTAATTGGACGAAGCGGAGACCCGCCGGGACGGCGGCAGATGCTGAACCATGGAAACAAAAGAGACGGTGCAGAAAACTCTTCGAGACCAAAGCACGTTGGTGGGACGGCGCAGGCAATTTCCGTGTCAGAACCAAGAACTGGACAGCACCTTGGGACGTCGAGACTAAAAGTAATGAGTCTAGTGATCCACCGACGGTCTTGGGCGGACACAGCCAGCAAGTGCAAGAATCAATCCACCCAGCGTGGCCCCAGGGTGCAAAGCCGGAGCGCAGACACGGTTCGGGTAGGCCCAGTCGGAGGGTCCCGTTCGCGGCTGCGCTTACACCTCCAACCCAGAACACACGGCAGACCTGCCATCACAGGCAGCCAGGAGGCCGTGAACTGCATCCCCAATCTGGTGTGTTCCCCTTTCATGGGGCCAGGGGCTATTGATCCTAGATGCGGCGGTTTTCGTTGAGATGGCTCTGGGCTTTTCTTTGCAGTCATTGACGCCGAACGATGTCGTTTTCCCTGATGTGGGAGAGTGTGACAGCTCGGAAGTGGCCGTCAGAGCTAGCAAACATCCCCCTGTGAGATGCTTCACCATCTGGCACCAGTTTGCCATCTTCCATTTTGTCCCCCTCGTTCTGTCTTTTTTGGGAGATGATGGTACCTATATACCTGGGATAATGATGACGTCCATGTTCCCAATCAGATGAGACGTATCAGCAATAACACTGATGGACCAGGAATCTCCCTAGGTGTCACCGGGGATCGACTCAGGCACAGCCTTCGTTGAGCGTGGTGGACTGAAATAAAAATGAGCACATTGCAATCACTGTCATGGCCTTTCGACGTCTGCCGGACAGAGGTAACATGGAGACGGCGAGGGAGGCCCAGATATCCTGGGCCTTCGCTTGGGTGCGCTTTGCTCAATGTGCTTGCAGAAGTCCTCCGCAATTGACCCATTTCATCATTCAGCACTGTGCTGAAGTTTAGCAACGTAAAGGTTCCTCAGGATTGCTTCAAAGTCGTTCAAGTTCAAGCCCAATCGCCTCGAAGCTAAAGCTTTTCAGCCTCATGCCTCCAAATGTCGGGCCTCAACCACAGCGACTCCCCGTTGACTGCTATTGTTCATTACAAGGCGTCTTGATCAGAGGCTACCACGGTTTCAGCTGATTAAACCAACCGACATCCCTCGAAAAATAACGCCGATTGTCGAGTTTAGCACATGGGGAAGTGATAAACAGCGAGGGAAGAAGCTCAAACTGATGGGTCAAGTGGTCTTGGATGTTGCGATTGGAGTGGAAGATCTTCTTGGTTGCTAGGCGAGACGAGGAAAACGCATGGGCCGGGAGTGACTGCGACCGTGGCGTATGCGTTCTTTCGTCTCTGCTAAATCGTCGACAAAGCAAGTTCTCAGGCTGGTATGAAACGTAGTAAGTAGGGACATTCCCTCTTTACCTGCGCAAAAACTGATAAGGGCTTAGCTGACACCAGTCTCAGCATAGTGCAATATATGCTCATAGCCCAGTGGCGGCGAACTGTATCTACTCGGAATCTATGGTTAGCTTGGCTAGCCTCGCATAGCATCATCGCACAGAAATTCAAAGTGATAATGTTAGAAATACAACATTCTATCATACCTTATCCGGTGTGCGATCCATACTGAATTATATGTCTCTGTGTATGCCAAGTGTTTAGAGCAAGGCGTATGGATGATGGCTTTCGCCGCAGTCAATTTCTCGAGCGACTGCCTTTCATCTTCACTTACTATATCTCTCCAGGTGTTTTTGAATTCGGGCTGTCCTTCAGAGGGCATATCAGTGAGCTTGTCAAACACTTTGAAAGTATATGAGTGGTAACCCGCTTTTTTTGCCCTGCAATTAGCTCAAACTTAATCTCAGTCTGAAGTGTAATGACTTCATGCGCACACGTTGGTCTTGATGCTACCTCTGAAACAAACCCCTCAAGTCTCAGCGAGTTCTGGCAGAAAGAACTGAAATTGTATTGCAGGGAAGGTCTTGTCCTGGTAGGCCACTGCTTCTGGACTGGTCAATTTAGGCTTGTCGATGAATATCTCCTTGCCAAGGGCTCAGCAAGTTGTGAGATTCTCCTACCATAAGCGATGAGTTTATGGGGGGAGGTGGCTGTGTCAGCTTCGACGACACCCAATTTTTCCCGCCTCTGACCCGTTCAATAAGGTATATTGGCTCTGCTTCCTTCTGGCTATTTTCAAGCTTCTTCTCAGTGCACTCCCGAGGAATTAAACACTTATCACTTGTGTTTTCGGGGTCGCTGCGCTCAATGACCTTGCTCTTCCACCAGAGGATGCGGGGAATGACGTGTCTGGGTTGTTGTGGCTAGCGGAATACGGTACAGACCTGCAAAGGCTCGGGCTTTCATTTCCCGGTAAATTGTTGCTTGAAGATATTTGCTTTTTGGAGCGGTAGTTTGGTGGCTCTCTTAGAGGTGGTGTCATCGTACTTTTGTTCCTTCGAACCCTTTCTGGAGAATTCGGAAAGTCTGGCAGACGCGCGCCTTTTTTTGGCGCCGGACACTGGAGCTGCTGCCGAAGCGGGAACGGCCCGAGACGATCGACTAGGCATGGATAGGACTTGCGGACTTTTTGGTTTGGTAGTTCGTACAATTTTTTTAAGTTGCGCGCAGGGAGATTTATCGGCGGGTAACACTAGCTACTAAGGTACGCCTTGATGCGAGACCGGATGAATTTGAAGCGGAATCGAGGAAATCAATGATCAATATAAGCTGTTCGGACGATTTTAGACGAATTCATTGACCCTGGTCCGGGTACGGGTGTACTCCGTAGCTAGCGACAGATTGACTTTCAGGCGGTTCGACGCGGACAAAGGGACCGGGAACTGAGACCAGAAGGCTGGTAACTTCTGGGGCACTTTTCGCGTGGGAAAAGCGCGGGTGACTTTCTTTGCTTCCCGCACCGCTAAACTTAGTGCGTTCTCTCGGGAAGTCGACGTCAAGTTCGAGAAGGATTTTGCAGGTCCACCAGGGTGACGAGCAGTGTCAATTAACCAACCAACAAGGACAAATACTTTGGTGTAGCCCTGATTCGAAGTGAGGCGCTGGGGTTAGAACTTCCTATTGATCCACTTGATCATCAGCGTTACTCTTCATTATTCGGAGGGTGAGAGATAGTGGGGGGGTTTCGACAAGCCAAACGACCCCTCTAGCGACCCTTGGATCTCTAGCCTGCCTATAGTAGTTTACTCCAACGCTCGTTGCATGCGACTTTTCGAAGAAGTCCTAGAAAAGCAAGGACTCAATAGTGAAGGAGCACACGACGGCCCTCTCCATGGAGTCCTCATTGACAACCATGATCCCTGAGGTTTTTGAATCTCGCAAGCGCAAGATTCTCGCAGACCTGTCCATCCCGGACGCAGAGTATACGGATCTGTCGCCGAAAGGCTCTGTGGATGAAGGTATTCGCATCCTCATCAATGATATTAATACCCTACCAGGGTTGGTGACCACTAGCAGCTGTGCGGGAAGGATCAGTGTATTCCTGGAGGGGCGAAAGAAGCAACAACAGCAGCAGCAGCAGCAGCAGCAGCAGCAAGCGGTGTCAGACGAGCAGCAGCAACAGCAGAGGCAGTTCGTACCTTCCGGGGGTAAAGGAGCAGGAAAGTGGTTATATGTGTCTCATGAGCCCTTGCAAGAAAATGGGAAGGTGCGAGAAAAAGAGCAAGAGCGCCAGCCACTGCATGAGTTGTTTGGGATGATGCCCGGGGATGGCAGGCCACCCGGTTTAAACAAGGATGGTCAAGCCCCGCGTCTCGTGCGCTTCTCTTTTGAGCCTATGGTACGTCCTTCCCTTCCCCTCTTTGGTTCCCTGTTGGTCCCTACCACGCTTGCGTTCTGCCATGTTTCTTGCCACGGTGTATTCCTGTCATGCCACAGAGTGTCCGGGTTTGTAGTGTCAGCCTTATCACTGCCAACCTCCGGTTTGCCCTGTAAGCTATGGAGGCTTGCGTTCCATACAAAGTAGCACGTACCTTGTTCATCAATGCTCATCTACTGACAAACTCTTCCAACAGATCCTCCATATTATGACGGCCACATTACACCATGCTCACCCCGTGCTATCTGCCGCTTCAACCTCCGGCTTTCGTGAGAGCGGACTGCAAAGTCTACGTTGCTTAGAGGCAAATGACATTGAGGGCCCAAGCCCCATCGTCGCCGTGCGCTCTGCCGGTCTCTCATTGGAGTCTGTCATCGGGTATTGTGAAGAAACCGATGATGATAATGATGACAATGGAGAACCCATTATCCGCAGTCTGGTCACAGAAGAGTTTCTCGAGATGCTGGTTGCTATCTCGAATGAAAGGTTCGCTGTGAACTCTGAACGTAAGGAGAGATTTCGCGCGAATTTGTTAAATCTTTGTTCGACGGACCACACAAAAGCGAAAGGAAAGTCTAAGCCCCCTGGTTGGGAGGATCCGGAGAAGCGAAGGGAGAGGATGAGGGCAGAAGGACTGAAGAGGAAGCAGCTGGCGCAAAATCAGAGGAAGGAAGATGACGCGGATTTGGATCTGTCGGGAGCAAGTCTGGAGTAATTAGAGCCCCCGATTCAGGTTTTTATTGGCTATTTAAATCGAATACAACAGGAATGAGTTCGAAAACAATATGCAAAGAAACGAGAAGAAAGGCATCAGTTTCAATTTCACTTTGGTAGCTCAATGAAAGAAAGAAATTCGTCAACACCTGGCTGTAGGTGAATTGTTTCAATAGAAGAAAGGGACTTCGAAAAGCAAAGCAAACAGCAGAGCAAGGCGAGCATAAAATGGCCCCAATGGGATGCAAGCCCGTTGTGGTCCCAGTTCACATCGGACCAAATCGCTAAACCCAACCATTTCCATTAACCAATGTACTCCGTTAGTCATGATCGTTTCTTCGTTCCTCATCAATACATGACGGTTCCTCTTCTGATCCAGGGCCGCAACACCAAGATATGAAAATACAACTAAAATCTGCAGATCCTGAACTCTGTCCAGAAGGCAACTCAGGTAAGACAATACCTATTCAGAAACGCTCAGCACAGCATATCCCCGGTATTCTTACTCCAGCCACGGTGGACCTCACTGGTTCAAATCTTTGAGACAGTTGGGCGATGAATGGGTGATGCGGTGGCTAGGAGCTCGGAATTTCTTTGGAGGGCTAAAGAATACTTTCTGACCCCAAATGCCTTCGGTATCAAGAAGGGCGCTGCCGCTGCCGCTGTTCCAGCATTCGCTGGCACGACGCGATGAGGCCTGCAAAACGCTGACCCGGGACACATTCTCGTTTCGGGGCACACTTTCATCAGTGATTGGAGAGGTGGGGGAAACACTGCTTGAGGTACTAGCCATTGAAAGTGGTCTGTGGATTGTTCCCATGGATCCGCTCTGAAGAAGGCAGTTGAGCACATTGGTCTCACGATTAACGGCATCAACCCAAAGAGTAGTCTTAGCGACATCGGTTGGCCACTCAAACCAAATGCGACCGAAGGGTGATATGAGCGTGGTATTGTCAGCAGGGAAATTATTCGGAAACTCGCGGCAGGCGCCTTCGAATCTACCGTTTGCGATCACACTGGCATACAACTGCTGCAACTATCAGTGAAAGGAAATAATGGGCGAAGAATGCATGACTAGATGGCACGCCAAGAAGAGTATTGGCAAACTAATATTTTTCTGAAGAGATACATACCGCGCAGGTGTCATATTCAAAGCCAGGCAGGTAGACCAGAGTATCGAAGGGGAACCACTTGCTCATGTCTCCCAACCTGAGAATCTCGCTTTTCTCGCCGGCGTGAATGCAAAGAGTATATTTCTGGCGCTCATTGAATGCGGGGCAATTTAGACCGGCGTAGAGGAGCTCGCGGAGCAGACGTTGGTCAAGCCCAACGGTCTTGGACTTTTCCATCCGTGACACCAGAGAACGTATGTGACGGTTTGTCAATTCGAATAGCTGATTACGGTCATGCACGGTGTACATGTTGGTTGCATACCAAGGAAACTATCCCTTATCAGAATGCTATCACTTTCATCGGAATCAAAACCTACCTTATAGAGCGTGCTTATGGTAGATTCGTAAGTACGCTGGGGACACTTGGCACCGAATGGAGACTAAGAAATTGTTAGGCATCTCTGCTTTGAAACGAAGTCGGCTGAAGGGCTTACACGTTGAGGCATTTCAGCGTGACGAATGGCGCCGATGATCTCTTCACTGGTGAAAAAGCCAGTAAAGCCGGTGGAATATCTGTCAGTATTCTCCACGACTTTAGGCGTTCCATTTTCCCAGCTTATGCACTTTGCACGTGGAAACAAATCTTTCAGCAAGTCCTCTTGGTTGCTGATCTCAACTTCAACGTGCCTATTACCGAGTCGAGGCGCACGTCCACATTCATAGATGCGGTTGATTCGGTTCGCCGTCTCTTCGGCGTCTTCAGTCGAAGCAAACTCTACAAAACAATCCATCGTCTTAGCAGTGGGACGCTCCATAATTATGTGGACTGCGTGGCCCGCAACAAGCCGCGCTTGTCTGCCAACAAACTGGAAGATCTCCTGCTTGGTGATGGAGTAGGGGATCTGGCCCAAGGTTAGTAGACTTTGCTGAAGAACGAGTCAGTCAGTTACTTACGTTCGAAATCTTGATAACACCCCAGGTAGGGGCTTCCATGTAGCGGACTAAGCTCCCGTATGGCACCTCGTTTGACGGAGCAGCTCTGCTAATGGAGTTGGGATAGCTTGCAAGATTCACGTAGGGTCCAGGCTTATTGTTGCCGATATTCATCACAGGGATACTAGAAGAGGTCAAGAAAGTGGAGGACGCTCCTGGTTGTTCAAGCCGACCTGGTTGGACAGGAACCGGGGTGAGGCGATTGGTAGCAAAGGGGATACAGACGGTATCATCAGATGGGTTTGGGGCGTAGCCTAGGAAAGGGTCGTAATACACATTTCTGGAAGCGACAGGATTGTACTGTGGCTCTTGAGGCCTGGAAAGATTGATGGGGATCCTACCAAAAGGAGGCATATTGAGCTTGTGAGAAAGGTGGTCTTGTCTGGAAAACGCCATGTTCGAGGCTGTATGGCAGTATAGAAAGAAAAAGACGTGAGGTTGAGGATGAAGATGAGCGAGGAAGAGGGAATAGGTGGGAAAAATGCGAAGCAAGTGAGCAAAGAGAAAGGCAAAGTAAACAACCTCAGCGGGAAAGTTGTGAGATAATTTGAGAAGAAGATCCTGGGGGAGGAGGGTCTTTATTTGTTACCCTACACGCGCTGCCACATCTGCTAATTCACTGGTCCCTTTGTATGTGAGGACTGTTACTCACTTGAGGTGTTACTCAAGTATCATCTGATGAACAGTGTGCAGGTAATGGGGAAGGTATCTGAATGGCATCCATGAACGACAGCGATGTAATGACCGAGTGAAAGCCATCCAAAGAGCCATGTGCTCGGCGGGTCTGGTTAATAGAAGAAACACATGTCCCTGATAAGATTCCCCGGGACCCGTCAAGTGTACAGCGTAGTGTACAGCGTGATGCGGATCCTCTGTTCACTGTTGAAATGAAGAGGCAAGAACAAGGTAACTTGCTTTTCATGCTGTCATTCTCGTTTGCATTTGCCGCCTTTACTACTTTGTTGGTGTGCAAATGGAACACACCGTGCACCGAGAGGGAACAAACAACGGGTCGAACCGGTTGAAGCTCAGAAGATGAATCTCCTCCATTTAAATATGATCATCTGCACTGTCATGGCAAGCAGAGGGTTCTAGGAAGGTAATTTATGCCGAGACCTACGGCAGCCCTGTTCAGACTTAGTCGTACACAACACAGAGTGTTCGGTTCTATGTAGCCTGGATTTCCCTATAATAGATGAAATGGTCGCTACAAATTTGATTTCGAGATATAATATGGACGACTGCGGAAAGGAACATGCATCAAACTTCTGTACACGATATGTTCCTTAGAGGAAGGGAAGATCAAGGTCATGTGCCAACCATGAAGCTGGGGCGATCTAATCGAACTGTAATCCTATCAGTCAGGTTCAATTGAGGTAACCAGGGCGACTTACCGGTGTCAGGAACGACTCGGCAACGAAACGGGCACGGGCATTCAACTAGAGGAAATGTTGGTCAGAAGCCTCCATAAATCAGAGACACAAGGGGACATACGAAGAGCTTCATTTCCGAAATTTCCTTGTCCACTTCCTCCATACTATCAGACGAAGAAGTCGTTAGCCTCTCATTTATCGAACGATTTATGGGCAAAGCAGATGAAACATACAATTGAATGATAAAGTCCACCAGTTTGTGTTTCAGCATCTGTTCGGTATGGAAGTTCGTAATAAGGAATGAGATGTCATAACCCTTCACTGGCTTTCTCCGTAGAATGAAGAAGGATTCCGCGCGCTGCGTCAGGAACCTAGTGAACTTGTGGACTAAGATATGTTCTATCTCATCTGCCTGCTTGATTCGGATGCTGACACGGACACTGTTCACGCTGGGCTCGATAAGGACCCTCTCGTTCTCATTCCGGGAGATTGTAAGGGGGTTGAGAAGTAATTCGGGAGAAGTTGCGGCTTCAATTTCGGGAACATTGCTGTCCGGATACCTGAATTAGCCTCATCTGACCCATAAGGGTGAGGGGGTGGGAATCGGCCCAACGTACTGTCTTTCGGAGGTTTGAGAAGCGAAGTTCGATATCGCGAGTGCTGCCGTTAGCGAGGATCTAACAGCCAACAGGTATGGACGCAATGATTGAGACTGGTCCTGTCAGCTTGGTTTGTAAATTGAACCCCTGGACAAGGTTGATAATCACCATAATGGGGTTGTGACGTATAGGCGGCACCCCGGAGTGCTGAAGGTCGCTGGCGAGCTTGATGAGAAGACAATTGTTGAAAATGCAAGTAAGGCACAGTTAGCAAGCAGAGGATCCGCGATTAAATTGTCAGAACCTCCCAATGAGTTTCAAAGCCTTAACTACCAGAGCGGGCGTCACCTAAGTACCTGAATAGCTGCGTCAGGAGCAACGTCCCGCCGCCCGGCAGCGATGTAGCCTGTAGTACGGCGGACGATAGCGGCCAACCGGCAAATGGCATCGGGGTTCCAGTATTTTGCCGGCAGAATCAGTTAACGCGCCCAGGTCATTCTACATAGCCAGTGTAGAGATAGTCTATATTATATGTACTGACTTTATCTGTCCTAGCTTCATACATGATTGAAGTTGTTTGACAATTAAAATCAACCTCTAACTACATCCGACGGTCAATCAAAATACCAGGTTCTGCGCGCCTTTTAACCCTGCCGGGCTACCACAGGTAGTGGTTAGTGGGGAGAGAGGGGTGAGCTCCTGCTAAGCAACAAAGCGGTGAAGTCTCGAAAGAGTATAGTTGCATAATGGTTGCTATAGTTCGCCGTAGTACGGCCGTCGTTTGCCCCACGCTTTCTCCGGCGATGACTGACGCAGTCGTTGTTTACGCAACTGCATCCTACCGCCAGACCTCGGAGGAGGTATCATTCGCATCCAATATAGACCCTTGAATCAAGTCACAATGGCTTCTATACCTGGTAAGTATCTTCATGGCTATGTGCTCTATTCCAAGCCATCTCGCTACTTCTCCGCTGATCCCATGACGCAGTTGTTGTAAAGCACCAGGGCAAACGCTACGAGGTGGAGCTCGACCCTTCCCTGAACGGCGAAACGCTCAAATACCAGCTATTTTCTCTCACTGGCGTCGAACCCGAGCGGCAGAAGCTCCTAGTCAAGGGTGGCCAGCTCAAAGATGACACACCATTGTCCTCCCTCAACGCCAAACCCGGCCAAACGTTCATGATGATGGGCACTCCGTCGGGCGGTCAAGGTGCTGGGGACTTGGGTAGACCAAAGGAAGTCGTCAAGTTTTTGGAGGACATGACTGAAGCTGAAGCTGCGAGAGCGGAGGGTGCAACGCCTGCAGGTCTGCAGAACCTTGGAAATACTTGCTACCTGAATTCAACGCTACAGACACTGCGGAGCGTTCCCGAACTTCAGGATGCGCTACTCAAGTACCGACCTTCTGGCGGCTCTTCTGGAGGCTCTAGCCTTTCGAACCTTAGTAGTCTCGGTCTTGGCGGCTTGGGTGCTTCCATGGATCTCACGTCCTCTTTGCGAGACCTCTTCAAGCAAATGTCGGAGACGCAAGAAGGTTTCCCGCCGCTCATGTTTCTCAATGCTCTGCGAAATGCTTTCCCCCAATTTGCTCAAAGGGATCGCAATGGACATGGCTATGCCCAACAGGATGCCGAAGAGGCCTGGTCACAAATCGTTAGTCAGTTGCGTAACAAGCTGGTCGTGAAGGAGGGTGAAGGTGACTCTGCCGCTGAGGTTTCGTTCGTGGACAAGTACATGGCTGGAGGGTTTGAGTCCACCACCGAATGCGACGAGGAGGCCGCAAAGGAGGCTGGCGAAGTAGCTACTAACAGCTCCGACGTTTTCTACAAGCTTGATTGTCATATCGGTAAAGAGACCAACCATTTGCATGACGGTATTATGGCTGGTCTCGAAGAGAAGATTGAGAAGCGCTCCTCTGTTCTCGACCGCGATGCCGTATATACCAAGCGTTCACGCATTGCGCGCTTGCCCAAGTACCTGACGGTTCATTTCGTTCGGTTCTTCTGGAAGCGCGAAACACAGAAGAAGGCCAAGATTATGCGAAAGGTCACATTCCCCGCTGAACTTGATGCGGTGGATTTCTGCACCGAAGAACTGAAGAAACAGCTCATTCCCGTGAGAGACAAGGTTCGTGAGATTCGGAAGGAAGAGGTGGATGTCGAGCGTGCCCGCAAGCGTCAAAAGCTCGCTCACCGGAAAGAGGAGGAAGAAAAGAAAGAGGCCGAATCTGGGTCAAGCATGGAGCCGATGCAGAAGAAAAAAGCTGCTGAAGAGCGCAAGGAAGAACCTAAGGCTGCGGAGAACGACGGAGATGCAGCCATGACCGATGTGTTCAAGTCCGATGCAGATTACGAAGCTGAAAAGACCGCCTCAATTCTTGCCGCCAAGAAAGAATTGTCTGAGCTCATTGATCCGAGTCTTGCCTCAGACAGTGGTGTGAACAAGACGGGTCTTTACGAACTACGTGGTGTGATCACCCACCAGGGCGCAAGTGCGGACAGCGGACATTACACTGCGTACGTGAAAAAGCAGCCCAGCGGTGATGGCGCAAGCACCGAAGACAAGTGGTGGTGGTTCAATGATGAGAAGGTTACCGAAGTGGAAGGGGAGAAGATTGAGACTCTTGCTGGTGGTGGTAAGTCCCTGACACAATTGTTACTTGATTCTGAATAGCGGACAGACGTCTAACCTTCATATCCAGGTGAATCCCATTCCGCACTTATTCTCCTCTACCGGGCGGTTGAGGTGCCGACGACAAATTAAGCAGGGCCCTCACTTTATCTCACGAGTATCAGGCTAGAAACGGTATGCATAGATAATGAGCTTATGGCTGAATGTTAGGAAAATGTGTTTCTGCTAAACAAAGTACTGCAAAGATGGTTTTGAGTCAATCAGTATGATAACCTGCCTTGTAGCTAGCACTAGCTGTAGATTGTATCTAGACAACAGCGTATCTTCCAATCACGTGATAATGCAGCAAGAGCCGAGGGATCCCCTATCTTATCTAATCACTGGTTGCTTCGTCGAGCTCTGGGAAAATGCTGCGTCGTTGATGAAACCTGCGATGTGAGCATCATGTTTTCCTCGCGCAGAGTCCTACAGTCGCAATTACGCCTCCTCCGGAACAGACCGCTGTTACCATGTCGATACACACTTCGTCCCTCGAGGAACACCAGTACTGCCGCCCATGAACCGATACCTCAACCGTCGCGGTGGCCGCGACGCCTGGCGTACATGGCGATTTTCGGTAGCCTTGGGATTGCTGCCGGAAAGTGGATGGATAGGAAGCTCGCACCACCGCCATTGCCCGATACAGAGGAAGATCGCGAAAGGCTAGAAGAAATCCGTTACATCTACGAACACGGGCTGCCCATCGTGAAGGAACTTCGAGAGAACCCCGACTATATAGAGGCTGATGTATACGGTAATTATTCGGAGGAAGATAAATTACAGAGGCTGAGTTCGGGTCCTTTACGAGGCAGCCGAGGGCTAGCATTTCAGGTCAGTTCTCGCCTTGTAGTGCATGCCGATGCCTCTACGAACTCTTGTGAAACCTGGCACATGGCTGACGAAGTGGTCACATAGAGAATATTCTACAATGATAAGGAGAAGGAGGCCATCAATGTCGCATATGTCGGACCGGGATTAGAAGGATGGCCGACGGTTGTTCATGGAGGTGCTCTGGGGACCGTGATCGATGAGCATCTAGCCCGAGTCGCAATCAGACATCTTCCACAACGCACTGGAGTCACGGCCAATCTACAGCTCAAATACCGTGCACCGGTGTACTCGGGTAACTTCTACACCTTCCATGCTACTCTGGACGAGGAACGGAGCACAGAACGCAAAGCATGGGTGAAGGGAGAAGTACGCGACCCCATGGGACGGTTGTGTATCGAGGCTTCCGCCCTCTTTGTAGTCCCCAAGTCTTATAAGCTTCAAGAGGTTGGAGAACGCTATTGACCGGGCTGCGCCAGGATCTAGAGGTGCTATAGGTCTGGACAGGCCTTTGAATTCATGCAGCCGTATCCTGCCTAGCCAGGGTCGTGCAAGGGACGACTATTCCTGGCTGGACTTTGTTAGCATTCTCGCCACATTGGGAGACTGTTATTGGCGAGGTCCTCCTGAGAACTCAATTCTTCATCCAGAATGATGGATCCATCCTCGTGTACATACACCCCTTCTGATTCATCGACCCTCTTTGCTGCACGGACATTTAATAGACATTTTACACATAGATCCTATGCACCGGTAACCTAGAAAAGGTTTAAAAAATAGAGTTTCTTTGAAGACCGGGGATACCGAGGCGACGTCGTTGACTGCTTCTCCCCCAGGATTTCCCCCGCATTTTCCTCTCCTCCACATCCCATCCACGCGGTCAATCCTCCCGGTCGGCTATCCAGGGCCCAATGGTTGCCCTTGCATTCGCTCAACTGCCTCGGTTGTGTCTGAGAATGGTAGTATCTCCGGTCTGTCCCCTCCCTGGTGACGCTTTGATGGATTTGAGATTCTGCTGGGTCCCATGGCTCGTCACCCTTAAACGGTCTGGATCCACGCCCTAGTATCTATACAAGCCAGCATCATTAGAGACCCACTATGATGATCTGTGCTGGGGGAGAAAAATAAATACATGCATGGCTTGCAGTGAGCTTTTTCTTTTTTTCCCTAATCTCGAGTTTTCTGTTTGATTGTTGTCGCTGCGCACCAATAGGACTCGCTCCAGCCTGCTCACCCAACGCCCATGGAGCTCACCGATCACTCAAGTCAGTCGCAGACTGATGAAAAAGCAGTGGCAGAGTCACCTCCGACCGGCAATATGGAGAGGAAATTTAGCCATGATGAGGTTGTTGCGTACGAAGAGATGGGTGCGCCTGTGGACAACCCAGTATGTACCTGATCAGTCGTGGACTTTGCGGTACACACACGAAACTGACTGTGAACTCTGTCGATTGCTAGATGACCTTCCGTCGGTTCATGGGATTTACAGCGATGGCTTTCCTATGGACTGGGAGCCAAATTCCAGTCTATCTCTTCGGTGAGATCTTCGCCTGTGTGCTGGATACCAACGTTCTAATAGCCTTCCAGGAGGCATACCACCTTACATCTACGAAGACATTGGCGGCTCGGATCGATGGGTTTGGTTTGTGAGTACCCCCTATAAGGAAGAAGGTGGCCAAAAGCTGACAATTCCTGGATGGACATAGGTCCTGGCGAATTTGCTGGCACTTGCTGGTGTCTGCCCTTTTGTCGGATCACTTTCAGATTTGATCGGTCGTCGATACGTTGCCCTCATCGGTGCCTCCCTTGTTTGCCTTGGTATGATAGTCAGCAGTACCGCAAATACGATGAACATTTTCATTGGTAGGTACACATAATGTTATCCGCCATATCAAATGCTCTGAATTGGGGTCTAACAAACATACAGCGGGAATGGCAATAGCGGGCGCAGGTGCAGGTATCAATGAGTTGACTGCATTAGCCGCCACCTCAGAAATGGCTCCAACTCGACAAAGAGGAAAATATGTCTCAGTGTTGATTTTCACCATCTTGCCATTTTGCCCATCTGTACTGTGGGCTCAGCTTATTGCAGCATACAGCGGCTGGCGCTATGTCGGAGCTTTCTGCGGAGCATGGAGTGGTTTCGGTTTGCTCATCACAGCCCTCTTTTACTTCCCGCCACCACGAGTCAATTCAGAAGGCTTGACGAGATCCGATATTATCAGTCGTATAGACTTCATCGGGGGGTTCCTCAGTATTTCTGGCCTTATCATCTTCTTGGCCGGACTGCAATGGGGCGGATATATGGTTCGATTCCCATTTCCCATCTTGGAAACGTCGTTCTAATAACTGACATATACTCAGTATGACTGGACATCCGCTCATGTTCTGGTTCCCCTGATTCTTGGTTTTGTAGTCTTGGTTGTGTTTGCATTTTGGGAGATCTATGGTGCCAAATATCCCATCTTTCCAAGCCGACTAAAGCAAGAGCCACGCATTTTGGGCTTGACCCTAGTCATCACGTTCATCTCAGGGGCAAACTTCTTCTCTGTTCTCATGTTCTGGCCCACACAGTCATTCAACGTGTATGGTCACGATCCCGTCGACGTTGGTGTTCGGAGTATCCCCATCGGGTTCGGCATCATGGCAGGTGCTTGTATCGTCCTATGGCTCCTCAGTGTCTTGCATGGCCACAACAAGGAACTTCTCATCATCAGTAGCGTCCTTATGACAGCAGGTCTGTATAAACCTTCATTCAACCTTGAACACCAACAGAATGCTAACATCCTCTTAGGCTGCGGTGCCATGTCAATAGGCCGACCAGACAACCTATACCAACTCTGGGGCATCCTAATCATCGCAGGCCTAGGAATCGGGGGCATAATCGTCCCAGCCTCAATCATCACAACAATTATATGTCCAGACGTACGTCAACCCTTCATAAACAACACCAGTCCTTCTTCACACACCCCATAGACTAACTAACCCATCTCCAGGACCTCATCGCCACCATCTCAGCCCTCACCCTCTCCATCCGCGTCGCCGGCGGCGGCATCGGCTACACAATCTACTACAACATCTTCATCTCCAAATTCGTCCCCAACGCACAACACTACATCGGCGGCGTCATGCTCACCGAGCTCAACATAACTAACACCACGTACATCGCCGAAGCGATCGAAATGACCGGTGCGTCTCTGCTCGACGAATTAAAGCTCATCCCCGGCATCGCGGGTAACGAGACTGCGTACAATGCCGTCGTGGCGGCGGGTCAGCTCGCCTACGCTGAGAGCTATAAGTGGGTGTATTATGCTAGTATTGGGTTCGGGGGCGTGTCTATCATCGCTGCTTGTTTCTTGGGAAATATTCAAAAGTATATGAATGATCATGTGGCTGTTGTGATGCATTGAGGGTATCCTTTGTTGCGGGGGGGGCGGGGTGGGAGGTGAGGGTATAGGACATATCTTATTTATGGTGGGGGTGGAGGGTGCTTGTTCTCTTACTGTGTTTACCATGTTGGATTCTGATGATGATGGCTCATGATGTATAAATGACGATGATACGATGCGCACGTCTACTCCAATGACACACACATATCTGAATATGTGACTTACAAGGAAAAGATAACAACCCCAAACTAAACATGCTATGATTATTTTCTCCATCGCATCTCTATGCAGCCCAACAATGAAATGAATGACCATATACCCAGCGCCAGACACTTAATATGCAAAGTTAAAAGTTCGAAAGAATAAAAAGACACAAGCTGACAATACAGCGCCACAAACCACACACTCTTCGTAAAAGGAAAACTGTCAACAATCAAGCATCATCGTTGACAAACACGGAAAAGAAGCAAAGCACTATCGTCCATGCATCAGGGTATCTGCTAGGAGAAAACGAGGGCACCGTTTGGTTCCACGGGACTGGACTTGGGTTTTAATCGGCGCGTGTGGTCGATTTTTCTCTTGTCTTCGTTTTTTCCCCTGCTCTTCTCAAGGAGGCCTTTGTTCCATTGAGATATAGCAAATAGGAGTGAAAGGGATAGGTGTGAGATGTCATGACTCCTCCTTCAGTCCGCAGATATCTGTCCCCAGGACTCTATCGACCATGTACCAGAATTTCCAGTAGGTATTCGATTTGTCGAAATCGAATGCTCCGTCTTCGCGGAGTTGAGGTCCATCGCCCACAATGTCACCTGTGAACCAGCTGAGAATAGGGATGGAGCGCAGCACTCGCTCTGTGACCGTAGGCTGAGGGGGAAGGGCTTCTGTAATGGGTCGGAGCTTCGTCCGACGCACCGTCGGGATATGCGTCATGAAATCTGATTCGGGCTTGGGTTCCTTGACGACTGTGCGCTGCTGCAGGGGTGCCGGTTGCTCGATGGCGGTGGCTGTTGCGGAGCTGGCGGTGGGGGTTGATGATGATTCCTGGGACTCCTCTTCATGGGCGTCGAGGATACTGGACAGGTTATTCGAGGCGAAAGATCTCGGCAGTGTATGGCGTTCCTTGGTGGCTGTGTCCTTCGGTTGGAGGAAACTCGTCGAATGCGACGAAGTCAAAGTGCGAGGCGCCGCCTTCGACTGGAGACGAGTCGCCTCCGTGGATCCTTGTACGATAGGGGCATCCTCCGCAGGTCCCTGGCCATGATACAGCTCACAAAAGACCAAATGGCCATCGATTTCCTGCGGAGAGTAGAAGCACGCGCGATCGGCCGCTGTCGTCGAATCAAATGTGACTTTAATCCAGTGAAATCCGCCCGCATAGCGCTTCGATTTGCGATTCGCGTCCGCTGATAAGTTCGCGCGGATGACCACATCACCGCCGCTCAGGAGCTGCGAATACCCGTTCAAAGCATTGGGGTCGGTCCGCGGATAGTCCTCACAGATGAACCCGCGAGAGATCCGCTCGTACTTGTCTATCACTTTCCATTCGAAGTCCTTGCTCTTGTAACCGTATAGTATGCACTCGGTTGCGACTTTCTCTGTCTGCTGCTTCCGGGCGTTGTCGAGGTTGGAAGCGGAGGATGACTTGGGCAGGGTGTTGCTGCGCGCTTTCTCCTCTTCTTGTTGTTGGGCGAATAGACGCCCGAATTCTGCTACATTGGGGTTTTCGCGCTTTGCTGCCGGCGTGCCGGTGCGTGTGCGAGATCGGGTATGTTCATAGCGGGCGTTTCTGCGCTTGCCAAATGGGCCGGATTCTTCGGGGGGTCGGCGGGGGTTGCGAGATTCACTGGAAAGGTGATGAGATTGGGTTGAAGTGTTTGGGGGAAAGGGTGCAATGGTGTACGACTTACTCTTTGTAAACGTAGCCCCAGGGCAGGAGGTTACCCTTCTCGTCTCTGGCGCGCTCCTCCGGAGGAACGAAGTGATACTCCATTTCGGAAGATAATTTGGATCGCTGCTGATATACTAGATGTAGGCAAGAAAAGAGATTTTCGGGACTGGAATTATCTCGTAAAGGAAGGAGGATAATAGGTGACGTTTGGATGAGAAGAAGCGGCCTTATGAAAGGATCCGTTAGATGGAAGCTGATTTCCGTCCAAAAGTTTTGGGCGCAACAAACAGTGAGTGTTAGCCCGGATACCGTCACGTGAGTCGCTGCGGTATGGACGGCGGATCTTGACCGCTTCAAGTCGCTTTACCCCATTTAATCATATCATTAATATCTAATATGTAGTCTGGGCCTCAGTAGATGTACCAAAAGGTCCTTCATTAGCTAGTCTATATGTTTTTAGCACTAGTACGGCCTGAACGGTACCCATCCAACAAAGTTGTTGTCAATCTACTTTTTCACCCATCCGCCCCCGTACAATATATACCAGTAGATACTATCACTAGTGGCCCACTATGTTAAACCCTACTGATCTCAGTTTCATGCTAGTCCATCATGATCTACGACTGTCCTGAGCGCATCTCGTCCTATAATCGCCCAGGTGATAATCCTAGGAGATAGCGCCTGATGAAACAGTTCTTCCTATAAGAAATGTTCAGTAACCTCAGCTCATGCGGCAAATCTGCGCAGGCCAGCATTCCTGAACAAAGCATGTTCCACAGACTACCAGCAACTATGTCAAAGATGCCTCCTATAACACTTAGATGACATACCTCGAATTTTTATTCAAGTTGCTGTTGCCGAAGAAATGTAATCCTCCCAACATCACCATCCAAACCACATACATCTCCAAACTCTCCTACTTCAACCCTTCTTCTATCCACATAACCGACGAACTCCGTCAACGGACAAGACAAGCCAGGTCCAGACTTACAGTATGACAGCGGCACAATCTTGTCATTTATATTTATCCGGAGAAATGTCTTGTTCATATTGTGGCCAGGATCTGTTGGCGAACAGGCCATCCGTTCAAGCGTGACCCGACCGCCCATTGGCATCACAGTTGAGGTATACCAAACGCGGTCCTCAGCCCGATGTGTGCCGGGAAGAAATGGGTCGTACATTCCATCTCTCATTATGTCCAGCGCAGTCAAAAAAGGAGCTATATCCCCGTCGTGAACACTGTCACACACGTTAGACTCTTGGTCTCAGCTCCCTTGGTTTAAATTCGAGTCACCTCCAATTTGAAGAACATTGGACCCGCCTTGGGCCCCTCTCGCAACAGATTCGCTGTGGCATTCAGCCAAAGCCAGCCCATTGCGCCCGCGTAAGGATTTCCTGGGCCTCCACGATAGTATTGGACCAAATCACGTCCGTATTTAAAATTCCTCCAATCTTCGCGCGTGAAGACATCGCACCAGGGACTCGAGCCCCGTACAGTCGTTTCAAAACCACACATTTCCTGCATGCTAAAGACCTCCCAATTGGTGAACCCCTCAAGTCCACGGTTGCCCTCCTCAACGAGCAGTCGCTCCGCAATAGCCGGGATATACGCTTGCTGAAACAAAGTGAGCATCTTGATGCCGTTGTCATGGCCACGATCTTCGTCTTCTAAGTATTTTAGACAGGTATCTCCCGGTGTGAGTGTATCAGCGCGGCGATCAAATGTCTCCGGGATTATCTCTAGAGCGGCCTTTCCGACCTTTCCCAGTCAGACCCAAATAACCTCGAGGCAAAGTGTTGGGCTGTTTCGATGACGCGCTCAGAATCACTTGCCCAGAGCTTTGTCTTCACATCAGACGGGATGAGGTGCCCGTAACGGGCTGCGAAACGTACTCCAGTTTCGAAAGCTTGATGGAGTGCCAGCGTATGGGCCGGTTGTGGTCAATTGCTCAAAGTCTCGTTCTGGATGGCTGGTGATGTAGGTCCAATTGTTCAGGAACGACAATGAGCCGTTCAGCAGAATCCCTGCTTTATGGATTCTATCCAAAAGGGCAAGATGGCCTGTAGCCATGGTGAAATGTCTCGTTAGTAATATCCAGAGACTCTCCTAATGGCAGATAACTTACGGCCTCCTGCAGACCTGGTTGGATATCTCGCCGCATGGCGCGACATCTAGTCGTCGATTAGTGCATTGGCATCTTGGATGAAAAGAGTATCTATAAGGTACCATGTGTATCTGGTCGACTGTGCAACTGCCTGATACGTCAAAGCCCTGTAGTTCATCGTCTCCGGCGGATTTCTCGACCCAGGGCCCATATCCACCAAGATGTTTGTGAAGATTCCAGTCGTCATGTTGCTCTATACATGGACTTTGAATCCAGGCCCTCCAGCTTGCGCCAAAAGCTGATGAGAAGACAGATTCACGACAATTTGTACTGCGCGACAGACTATAATTATAAGAAAGAATTCCTGCCACCGCAGTGAAGAAAGATAATGTCAAAGAGCTAAGCGAGAGAACGTGGACCATGGTGAACACGGACCTCCCGACGTCACGGGCAGATGCATTCAATTAACATTGAGATCTGTAAAAAGATGGATTACAGGCTAATCGAGATGTTCGACAGACGGCTAATCAATGCCAAGAAACAAAGGACGAACGTCTGGTGTGTCCCACAGCCATGGCAACACCGAGATTTGCTCGCATTTTGAAGATCTGCGCAACATATCAGGTACTATATCTAAACCGAGGATTTCTGTCTCCCATTTCCTCAATTTCTTCTTCTGACATCCCTACAATCTTTTCATCTTCCAGTCCCTGTTCTCTGCGCTTATTCTTCCCATGATAGTACCACCACATAAGACCATACACAACGCCTGCAAATCCAACCAGCGACAGAGTCACTGCATTGCCTCGAACATAACGCGGTGCTTCATTCGTCTTGTATAAGAAAGGAGACATGACGCCGCTGACGTTGCCGAAAGTCAGTTGCAGCCCCGTGGCGAATGTACGCTTTCCATAACGAGGAAGAGTGGTCGGAAGCCATGCGAGAGGTAATCCGACAGCCACATATAATCCTAGGGCAATAAGCAAGGCGCCGAAGTAGTGTACTCCTGACGAAGAATCCGATATCAGGATTCCATAGCCAACCACTGATATTGCAGCAAAGATGCAAGTGAATACTCCGCGACGCTGAGTTCTATCACTCGCCCAAGCAATTATCAGATAACTTATTGCGCCCACCGCATAACAAGGAATCGTAAGAGCTTGCACTTCGGGTGTTGTCCACGACCCCATGCCCTGGATAATGGTTGGGAGGAAGGTGCTGTACCCGTATAGCATAGTGTCGACACCGAATTGAGCAATGCAGAAGGCGTAGATTCTCCAGTCCAGCGCACCTTCTTTGACGTCTGCCCAGTGAAATTTTTGGGCGGACGATGTTTGGCCCACGTCGCGACGACGGAGTCGAACTACTATGGCCTTCTCCTCATCATCCAGGTAATAGGCTGTGTCGAGGTCATCCGCAAGAAAGAACCAGGATAGGCCCCCTAGTATGACGGTTGGAATGCCTTCTATGATCATGATCCATCTCCAACCTCGTAAACCGGCGACGCCGTCCATGAAGCCGATGCCGTAAGCTAGAAGTCCGCCAAATGCGCCGGCAGCGGCTGCACTGCTGAATAGGTAGCCTGTGCGCAGTGCTATTTCACGCTTGCTATAGAAAATAGTGAGATAGGTAACCATTCCAGGAAACAGTCCGGCTTCCACGACGCCTAGATCTGTTAGCTTGGGCTCACATCACCAACTCATGGTCTGTGACTAACCTAGAAGGATACGACAAGCGATGAGGCCTCCATAATTTTGGGTTATTCCAGTGAGAGTCGCTATGATGCCCCACATAACCGATATCGACGCGATGTAGCGTGATGGCCTGAGCTTCTTGATAACCAAGTTTGACGGCACTTCGAAGAGCTATACAGTATCAGACGTTGCGTCTTAGCCACACATATGTGCGAATCCAGACATACACAGTAAGTTACAAACAGAATAGATACTGCAATCTGGTATTGATCTCCGACCAGGCCCAGATCTTCTTCCATCCCATATAGACGGGCATTGCCAATGTTGACTAGGGCTTGTCAGCAAGCATGCCAATCATTCGAGTAGTCATAAACTGGAAGTAGACTTGCGAAGTAACATGTATAGGAAGACATACCTCTATCAAGAAAGCTAAACAGATATAAAAGAACGACAAAAGGAATGATATGTAGGTCAATCTTGCGAATTAAGTGCTTCTCCCGTTTCTCATCCACTAATGAGAGAGCCGAGTCATTGCTATCACCGCCATCCATCGAGCCTCCAAACTGAGTTGGAAATCTAGGATCAGGCTTCTGTTCTTCTCGGTATTCCATCTTTGCTGTCGGAGTCTATTTCGTCATCCAACCTTGTAAAGGAACTGCATACGGGCCGAGATTTGGTCCCAACTTCCCGTGGACGATGCAGTAGATCAATGTTCAGAATCCAAGTAGATCCATGTTACACATGATAATCAAGAGACACAGTCTGTACAAACCCTGAATTACTGATCACGATGGAGGTGAGGTGGGGGATTATTGAAGCAGAAAATGGTGGCGATCTGGTGGGTGGCCAAGATTCGCCAAGGTTCCAGCCCGGCTGGGTTTTGACTTTAGTCTTCGCGGGCCTTTCCACCTGCAAACCCACAACCTTACTTGGAATACGCTCAAAATCAGTGGCTCGAGATACAATACTAGGAGTATGATAGGATTTAGTTCGCCACAAAATACCCATTCGGGGAATCCGTCGTTGCCAGCTACCGAGACTGTGCGGATATAGCTCCGCCGTTGCACTCATCCGGATGCAGATCATGTTGAAAACAAGGCGCGGAGATGACGAGAAACTCTATCATGTGCAAACACAACAGACCAACAGAGCGGATCTACTCATAGCCAAACCTGAAGAAGAATTCTGGGATATGGTTTAATGCAAACAGTCAACCACGAAACTAGCCCATCAGGTTGTGGGTCAAAAAAGCAATGGCTGACTTCACAATGATGACTGCCCCCAGGTTCATTGATCCCATGATAGTGCCTGTTTGCTACGCGAACAGAAATGAACGGTGAAAAGGAAATGCATCACTAGGGGAAGGTTCAAAGTGGCTGCTCAATGGAGCCACACGGGCCTCCCGAAGAGGAATCTGCATGTACAAAGTGTTATGAATGATGCTAAGCAGGTCAGAACTTCCACGAATACCCATAACTGACATAACAATGTAGCGCGAATCCGGGCCAATAGAGCCGCTATAAGTATCGAGAACGAAACACAGATAGCAGTGCATTACATCGATTGATCGCGGGTGGCATGCAGTCTCAAGCTTACGTCCATCTCTCTTCAAAATCAGGGAGAGGGGAAAGCGGTTTGAGTTGTTCTAGGTGTTCTCTAAGTAGAACCAAAGCCTTCTTGCCTCTTCCTCAGATATTTCTTCGGTTTCTTTCTCGATGTATAGCTGGAAGAGCTCGGCATGTCTTGCCTGGACCTTCTCGAAGTCAAGCTGAGGGGAAATCCAACCTTCATCATCTGTCTGCAGCAATTACTGTGTGTAACCTTTGAGTGTCTGCCAGTCCTTGTACCGGGACAGCTCCATCTTATGTTTCGATGAAGCCTCACGTGTGATATGATAAGGACATTGCCCAGCAATACCCATCTTGTTTCAGCTTGCAGCAAGCTGAGTGAGACAGTCACGGAGGGGAATTATTCCATCCTTGGTCGTGTTCTCTGTGAACATGAATAGATACCTGATTGCAGAGTCAACTTGAGTCATAGCCAGGTACGATCTCATGTGGTTTTTGACCAGCGATGCTTCGTAGCACTTCGAAAGCAGAGCTTGTTCTCTCTCGCTGATAGCAAAGGCTTATTCGTCTACATCCATATTTTCGAAGTTTGAAGGTAATTACGGCTTGACCGCACCGATTTCATAGCCATCAGGTGGGGCAAGAAAAGAGGGCCACTGAATTTGCATGAAAGCAGGCATAATTGAGGTGAATTACCAATCAATGACATTGACTATAGCTGTCAGGTCCTGCTCAGAGACGAATATGTTACCCATCTGAAGATCGGTATGCCACAATGTAGGCTTGGCAAACTGTTATAGAGGTGAAAATCCGCCCAAGTGTGGTATTAGCTTCTTAGCCATCGTGAGGATATCGAAATGTTCAGATTTGGTGCTGAAATGGGGCGTACAAGGGGTGAGCGACGAATGTTGTAAGTGCGCAAGACCCCGTTCGACCAATCCAAGGCCAAGATCTTCGAATCCCTGCCCTAAGGAATTGCATAGTTTGAATGATGCTCTGATGGCAGACCGATAACATACATGGACCTGCGTGAGCTCTTTCACTCAGCTGTGGAGAGCACGAAGCATTATATGCTGGGCCGACGCAATAGTCGTCGTTCATTGGGACAAATAGGTCCGGTTCTGAACGTCTGAGGGAAGAAAGTACATATTTCCATAGGCTGGAACCTCCAAAGCTGCCAGCTGGCTTTGAAGCTGGACCAAACATTGAACAAGCCTGAACTGTTGCAGCTGATTCATTTCGCCCCATACCTCGACCAACTGTCTTCCGCAGGCCCTTTCCATCAGAATATACTCGGACCCAACTGGATTCGAGGCTTCTGAGCTCCAGCCAGTACCCTACACACTGGGACAGAGGTATGAGACCTCACTGATAGAAGTAGGTCAGCTTATGCAGTCTTCGAGATGAAGGAAGTCGACAATACCGTATTTCATGACGGCTGCTTCGGATGCAGTGCTATGTTGTGGTGGAACAACCCTAGGACATGGAAGTTTCGCGATAACCTCCTTTCCATTCTCTGCAGTCATTTATAAGACCTTGTTAAATCCTTCCTCCATCATCTTGTCGATCCTAGAGATGGGTGAAGAAACATGGGGCAGCGCCGAAACAAGGGCGCAAAGAGCATCCAGACCAAATTTAACATATCTTTTTGACATCTCATGCTTCTCATTGACTAGAGACCGACCATTTGTATATTCAAACAGCTGCTCGTGTTGGATAGGCTTTCCTAAATGTAGCGATGGCCATCAGACCGGCCTGCTGGAGGAGATCTATGTGGAGCATACCGCGACACGTTAACGAGAAGCTTCTACATGCAGATTTTGAAGCAAGGAAGGTAATCTTCAGGGACCATGACCGTACTCCATGCATGGTGAGTAAAAGGGACAACGGTCACTGATTCTTGGGAGCACCATCATTCGGTTGTCGAGGTGGTGTCCCGACGCCCTCCCGGCACCGAGAATGCCCCTTTCCCCGTCTCCCTCCAGAAACATCCTGGTCATTTGTGCCCCAGGCACCCACATGTTGTCTGTTCAACGTGTGCGACGTCACAAACATCTCGACTTCGTCCAACCCTCCCAACCACGTATGAACAGGGATAAATGCTTTAGGTATTATGGAAAAGCAATCATCCCATCGGTGGAGCCATGACATACTTTGGGCCTATTGACCAACTGAATTTCTAGTGTCTAGGTGCCAACACTGTGCGCAAATATTCGGCCTCTTTCCTGACCCAGCCATCTTTCTGCAGGCTTAGTGCCGGTAATTATGGGGACTGAGGCAAGAATTGGTCAAGCGCAATCACTCCTCCTCTCATACGACGAGGATTGTCTTTACCGACTAGTCGTGATATAACACATGAGAGAAGCGGAAGACTCTTTATTTATTTTCATGCAAATAGGATATTAGAAACCTATCATGGTCGAGCAAAGAGCATTTTCGCTGGTTGGTCTCAATGGTCATGCTCAACCAACTACTTATTTGCTAATGAGACTCATGGGGGAGTGCTTTCATCTCCATCCACAGAAGCCTAGGACTCCAGCCCCGCCATGAGACCCCTCTTACGACCGCCTATACGAACACGAACAGCAACTTCTTCATGCAAGGGTCTTCGCTTGAAAGTTCTCAGTTTTGCAACACCTACACCGGCTTACTCTTTCGACTCCGTTTGGGCCTGACCAACGCTGTCCCCGATGTTTCTCCGCACTCGGCAAAGCCCCGCAGTCCGGGGCCAATTGAAGGGTTTGTGGAGTGGGCACCAGGGGTATACCGATGCCATACTCTGCAGTATCTAGTCAATTTCGCCGAGCAAAGGTTGAAATTTCACCGAGGAAGCGTAGACCGGTGGGCCGATATTCTCGGTCTAGGAGCAGGTATCCGCTCAATCCCGAGTGTGGTCCGTGGTACAACGTCAACAACACCCCACGCGGGGAAATGCATACATCCCTGAATGACACACCCCGGATTTGTGAAATACAACCGATGCCGATCACGCAAGTACAGCCGACTCACTGAGACAGCATATATGTGGACGGAAAAGGAGAGGAAATCCAAATTGAAGTAAAAAAGAGGAAGTCAGCGTGGGTTCACAAAAGATATAGGTCAGCTACGAAGTGGATGAGGCATTAAAACTCAGTTCGGCGTCAGGATGTAGTAGAAGGTTTGTGTATCTGGGCACATTAATGCAGGACCCCACTCCATTCAACGACAGACTCGGAGTCCACTGGCGCACATATAAACCCGGTCATTCTATGCCTGAAATTCCAGAGACAATCCTCAGTCACAGCGCGGTTTTCTCAAAGGGTTTGTTAGCAATGGCTTCTCTGTCGAAGGCCCTAAGTGTTTGTATGTTGTTGGGCATTACACATGCCTTCAACTATGACCAGCCTTATCGTGGTCAATACCATTTCTCGCCCCAGAAGAACTGGATGAATGACCCCAACGGGCTATTATACCACAATGGAACCTACCATCTGTTCTTCCAGTACAACCCTGGTGGCATCGAGTGGGGAAACATATCATGGGGGCATGCTATCAGTGAGGATCTCACCCACTGGGAGGAGCAGCCCGTTGCACTTCTCGCCCGAGGATTTGGCAGCAACGTCACCGAGATGTACTTTAGCGGAAGTGCTGTTGCCGATGTCAACAACACGAGTGGCTTTGGGAAGGACGGCAAGACACCCCTAGTTGCCATGTATACTTCCTATGTACCTACCCATTCCCGGACCATTTCTAGCGTGCATATCACTAACAGTAGCATCCTAGTACCCCGTTGCGCAAACATTGCCGAGTGGCCAAACCGTCCAAGAAGACCAGCAATCACAGTCCATCGCCTACAGTCTTGACGATGGTCTAACATGGACGACATACGATGCCGCCAATCCAGTCATCCTCAACCCTCCCAGCCCTTATGAAGCTGAATACCAGAACTTCCGGGACCCCTTTGTGTTCTGGCACGACGAATCCCAGAAATGGGTGGTTGTCACGAGCATAGCCGAGCTGCACAAACTCGCGATCTACACTTCCGACAACCTCAAAGACTGGAAGCTAGTGAGCGAGTTCGGTCCTTACAACGCGCAAGGCGGAGTGTGGGAGTGTCCCGGACTTGCCAAACTCCCCCTTGACGGCGGAAATTCCACAAAATGGGTCATTACAAGCGGACTGAACCCTGGTGGTCCCCCAGGCACTGTCGGCTCCGGAACCCAGTACTTCGTGGGAGAGTTCGACGGAACCACATTCACGCCTGACGCCGACACAGTTTACCCAGGGAACTCCACCGCAAACTGGATGGACTGGGGCCCGGACTTTTATGCCGCAACTGGTTACAATGGCCTCTCGCTGAACGACCACGTCCATATTGGCTGGATGAACAACTGGCAGTATGGCGCAAACATCCCCACCTACCCCTGGCGCAGCGCCATGGCCATTCCCCGCCACGTGGCCCTAAAGACCCTTGGCAACAAAGCAACTCTAGTCCAGCAACCCCAGGAAGCGTGGCCTTCTATCTCGAACAAGCGTCCAATCTATTCACGCACATTCAAGAATCTCTCTGAAGGCTCCACCAACACAACCACGACCGGAGAGACATTCAAAGTGGACTTGAGCTTCTCCGCCAATTCGACGGCCTCGGCATTTGCAATTGCCCTCCGAGCTTCCGCCAACTTCACCGAGCAGACCCTCGTTGGCTATGACTTCGCCAAGCAGCAAATCTTCCTTGACCGTACACACTCCGGAGACGTGTCATTTGATAAGACCTTCGCGAGCGTCTATCATGGACCCCTGACGCCGGATAGTACTGGTGTAGTGAAGTTGAGTATCTTCGTCGATAGGTCCAGCGTCGAGGTGTTTGGCGGCCAGGGCGAGACAACCCTGACGGCTCAGATCTTCCCTAGCAGTGATGCGGTTCAAGCCCGTCTGTTGTCAACTGGTGGAACTACAGAGGATGTCAGAGCTGACATTTATAAGATTGCTTCGACGTGGAATTGATGTCTTGTCTCTACATGTGGCAGCGTGTGTGGCTGTTTGTTGTTCTATTTGAGGTCTAGCGGTAAAGATAGCAAAGACGAATTGATATTTTTTCCTCATGGCCATCAATAGTAAAACCACTAGGTACTTTGCATCTAACTAGGTACCTGTAGGAATGACGTCAGCAACACCCCGTATCGGGTAATGATCAGGATCCCGAGGCATGGCTGGTTCACGTGCCGATTGCATGAGGTACAACACTATCCGTGAGGGGGCTCCTTCTGCTGTCAGCATCTGTTCTTCCAAGTGAACCTTTTTGAATTTGAAAAGCAATATCTTCTATTTACACGCGCAATATGTCGGAAAACTACGGCGACTATCAGACTGAGATCTATGGCCGAGGAGCATTGACAGGCGTCTTGCCTAATGTTACTACTGATCCTCGATTACTTGAAGAACAGGCAAAGAAGGCCCTAGGCGATCGTAGCTTCAACTATGTGGCCGGCGGTGCTGGGGAGAAGGCTACAATGGATAGCAATCGGCTGGCTTTTCGACAATGGAAGCTGTAAGTTGATTCGTCTCCGCCGCGATGTTGCTACGTAGAGTTCGGGAGACTGACGCGCATAACATTTGGATGTTTTGAAAAGAATCCCGAGGATGCTGAAGCCGGTTAGTAGAGTTCAGTCGGTTCCTCCAAGCACCAGCGCTGACCAATGACTGTGTCCGCGTAGATGAATGATCAGAACCTTGCGGTAAACCTTTTTGGCCAGAAATATCCAACTCCTCTTCTCATGGCGCCGGTCGGCGTCCAGTCGATTTTCCATGATGATAAGGAGTCTGGCCTTGCAGAAGCCTGTGGGAATGTTGGGATCCCGTATATCCTCAGCACCGCGAGCAGCAGCTCGATTGAGGAAGTCGGACAGGCTAATGGAGACGGTAAAAGATGGTTCCAACTTTACTGGCCGCGAGACGATGATATCACGCTATCATTGCTGAAACGCGCCAAAGACAATGGGTTCTCCGTCCTGGTAGTTACGCTCGACACTTGGTCGCTCGCTTGGCGACCAGCGGACCTGGACAATGCCTACGTTCCGTTCATACGGGGCGTCGGCAACACACTTGGTTTCACGGATCCCGTGTTCCGCTCGAAATTTGAGAAAGAGTCCGGTTCGACAGTGGAAGAGGACATTGTGGGGGCATCTAAGTCATGGATCTCCCAGGTATTCTATGGTCAGCCGCATGCGTGGGAGCAAATTGCATTTTTGCGAAAGAATTGGGATGGTCCAATTGTACTCAAGGGCATTCAGCATGTGGATGATGCGAAGCTCGCCCTTGAGGCGAAATGTGACGGTATCGTTGTTTCAAACCATGGAGGTATGTGGCAGTCGCTCTCCAGCGAAGGTTCTTTCTATTGACATGTATACAGGTCGACAGGTTGATGGTGCGATCGGCTCACTGGAAGTTCTCCCCGAGATAGTTGATGCTGTTGGTGGCAAGATGACAATTCTTTTTGATTCAGGGGTTCGCACTGGAGCAGATATCATCAAAGCGCTTTGTCTGGGAGCGGATGCTGTCTTGGTTGGCAGGCCGGTGATCTATGGGTTGGCAATCGATGGAAAGAACGGGGCCGAAGCCGTGATGAAGGGGCTTCTGGCGGATCTCTGGCAGACCATGAGTCTGTCAGGGATATGTACCGTGGCCGAGTGCACCCGCAACAAGATCAGGAAAGTTGTGTACCCTGGAGATGGGAAGGCAATGTTGTGACATGTAACATATTATTGGCCGGTAACGTGAAGATGCCCGATTGAGGGAAAGATCAGATGACGGAGTTTGGGGAAGGAATGAGGGGAAAACTGGAGCCTGTGGGGTAGCACCAAATCTTGATACTTGTATACTTGCTTCGCGATAATGAATTCGCGTCGCGTTTTCCCCACAGAGGGGGAAGGAACACTACCAGTGTCCGTCATAAGTTAGTCGCGTAGGGGGGTGGATTCTGCCCGAAGATGAAGCCGAAGACCCAAGTTTTGTTGGGGCGATCCCGCAAAATCACATGCCGGCTCTCAACCGCAGCCCCTAATGAGTGATTGCTTATTCGTCGCCACCGGCTACTGATCTACATTTCTGTCTGCCGGTCAACCACTGCAGGAACCAGTCTTTGACTGCTACGTTCAACCGCTGATCTGGTCAGGCACCTCTTATCGGCCAGTATTCTTCGAATCTGTACCTGCACCGCTGTTCATGTCTCTGACCTGAGACCAGTGCCTCATGGCTGCACAACATCCGCCTAATGGAAACCAAGACAGTCTCAACCAATACTTGAGGCCCCGAGATGTCTAGATTCTTTGGTTTCGGGAGGGCGAAGAAGCAGGATGTCGAAGAACAAACGCAAGTAGATGTCCTCCGTGACAATGGTGCCGCTCATGTTCCTGCCACGTCGGGCTTACCTCTCCTTCCTCGTCCCCTGGCATCCATGGTGTCGTTCATGACGCAGTCGACTTCCCTCTCTCTTCGCCTGGGAACGTTTGTCGGAGGTCTTGCGCTTGATAGTGCGAAAGCGACGACGTTAACGGGGCTTGAACTCAGTAGAGCCATGATTGAAGGCATACTGACTCGAGCTGGACGTGATGTCGCCATCAGGACCAGCGGAGAGCATGGCAAGGCAGAAGCAGAGTCGCTATTAGAACGAAGCGTGAGTTTTCGTCCGAATACTAATCCTGCATCTTTATAAGGCTAACAGAGGACTTAGTTGGCCACTTTGCACAAGACAGTCACGTCTGCGTCATTCTTTGCAGCTGCTTCATTCCATCTTTCCTCTACCACACTCTCTTCTGCTGCCAACATCTCTCAATCTCTTTTGTCTACCCTCGACGCTATCCTTGGCTCTACGGAGTCGTCGAGGGCGATTGCTGCCATCATTACCCTCATTAGGAGGGAATTCAGGAGTCCGCATACCGACCTTGGTACTGACAAGATTGGTGTGGGCGATCTTCTTGTTGGCTGTGTTGGGTTTGCACTCCTGCAACGCTGGGGAAGGACAAATACGCAAAGACACCTCCGCGCAAACAATGGAGAGGAAACAGTCTGGGATGTTGTTATATTGGATAATGGGCTGAGGGCAGATGTTGTCGGTTCACACCAACTAGAAATGGCGACTATTTCTTATGATCAACCACACGATAGCATGAATCGCTCGTCATTCATATCGCCTGGAAATGATGAAGAGGTTTTCGATGCTGTACGAAGACCTGCAAGTACAATCGATCCCGATGAAGTCCCGTACCTCTCGCTTCCCCCGGGAGATCAACATCAAGTGTCAGACGAAGACATCCGCTTATACATTATGAAGCAACTCCCCCAGGGCTGCCGTGCGTCTATCAGGACGGACTTGGTCACAGCACGTACAATTACAGTGGAAGTTTACGACGACGCCACCGCAGAAATCTCCCCACCACCAGGCACAACGATAGTCAAGGAGACTTTCGGTGATGAGCTCGATCATAGGCATACAAACGGGCCACAGGTTCCCAAACATACTGTGGTATTCCGCACAGCTTTTAATAGCACCCGAAGCTCCGATGTGCGACCTTCCAGGTCTGATTTGGCAGTGAATCATGATGACAATGATATGGAGGACCTAAGCGAGCATCAATCACTGGGGAACACCAGGGATGAGATGCTCAACGCCGACAACTCATTACATGGCATGCTTTGTGTTGACAGATACGTGGGTGTAGAGCCCAGTGCAAGAAAACCGCAACTCATCTCCCCGAAGAAGCAAGCAAATAAATCGTCGAGAGACTCTCATGAGAAAGCTTCAATGTCGAAGCTCACGCCGAAGACGAAGCCTATACCATCGAACAAGAACTATGCTGGTAAGTTCTCAAAGACGCCTTCTTCGTCAGAGAACCTACCCCAGCGCGGAAAATTACCAAAACATACCAATTCCACGAAAAAGCTCGACAACTCGCCGGTACCACACAACCGCGAGTCTTCAGCATCCGTGGCAAATAGAGGCTTACCGAGGATACCATTGCAAGGACATCGAGTGAAATCCGCCCCAACTCCTACGTCATGCCCATCCCACGATACTAAGCACGGAAGAAATTCCAGAACAGAAAACTATATGATACATGAGAAGAATAATGAGTCATTTATGGCACACACGGATGCTTATACTCGGCAATCAATGGACCTACGACCGGGAACGCCAACTCCAAGGAGGGCTCATGTACGTAGCAGCAGCTCTATGTCCTTGACTAGGTCAGAAAGTGATGTGGCGATATCCCTGAACGACGATTCTCGGCCGGGATCACCTGTACTCTACCGGCAGTCAGGCTCATTTTCCCCGAGTCTCTATTCGTTAGCAACCGCCGGCTCCGAAACATCCCTCATATTGGCTCACCGTGCGCGGAAAAGTGCATACGACGACATAGAAACTATTCGTGCGCTCAATCGGGACGGTACCGTCCCGGGCATCTTTCCGGAAAAACACTTTGTGCACAACATCAGACGTTTCTGTCGCTTCTCTTCAGCTTCTTACGGTTCGAGCGCACTCAAAGTTATGGGTATCCCACGGACGACGCAGGTTCTTCCTTACCAAGAATCATACAGTCCTGAGCATAGCGAGTTCTCGGACCATGCAGGCCTACCAGCTTCTACAATCTTGTTATCATCATATGTGGACCCTGCAGGTGGTACTAATGCTGCTGGAGAGACAGAGAGTGGCTTTCCTCTAGTCCATTACCTTTTTGTGGACCATGAGTCTAAGGCGGTAGTTCTTACCCTGAGAGGGACATGGGGCTTTGAAGACATCCTTACAGACATGACGTGTGATTACGATGATCTCGAATGGCAAGGTAGAAGTTGGAAAGTTCACAAGGGCATGCATGCCTCTGCAAAACGGCTATTAATGGGTGGAAGCAGTCGAGTTATGATTACGATTCGGGCGGCGCTGGAGGAATTTCCTGATTATGGTGTGGTGTTCTGCGGTCACTCACTGGGAGGGGGCGTCGCTGCACTCCTAGCAACAATGATCGCAGAGCCAAATAACGACAGTTCTGGGACATCGTTCACTACTACTTCCTACCAGTCTGCGAAAGGAAATTCACGTCTGACTGGAGGCAATGAGGGTGACAGCAGCGCTGCCCTTTCCCTTCCTCCTGGAAGGCCGATACATGTCTATGCCTACGGCCCTCCCTCGACTATGTCCCCCTTCTTGCGCCGTGCGACGCGCGGCCTGATAACGACAGTTGTCAACGGACAAGATGTGGTGCCTAGCCTCTCACTAGGCATTTTGCATGATATGCATACGGCGTCACTAGCATTCAAAAGCGATGTCTCTAATGCTAAGTCTCACGTACGGTTCCGCGTCTGGGAGGGCCTGAGGCAGAGTATAGTCAACAAATTCTACGTCAATGAACCGCCTATCCTTACACACGCCGGGAATGACGTTGGGGAAGATGCTTGGGCCTGGGATACTCTGAAGATGCTCAGAGACGAAATGCGTGCTCCAAAGCTGATGCCGCCGGGAGAGGTATTCGTGGTTGAGACTATGCGTGTCCTCCAGCGGAATGCTTTTACTGCCGACATGGACAAGGATGGCTATCCATTGCTAGGCCGGCCCGCAACAAGAGTGCAACTAAAGTTCATTCGAGATACTGAAGCATTATTCGGAGAATTAAAGTTCGGCTCGGGCATGTTCAGTGACCATAATCCGGCGAGATACGAAGCCAGTCTCGCTGCTCTTGCGCGAGGTATCTTGGACAGTTGATACTTTCGCTTGAATATTTGCTCATCTGGCTTGGCAGTTTTTTCTATTGGTGTATATATATTGGGATATAGCGCGATTTACTGGCACTTGGGATGAGATATCATACAAATTCATAGATTTCTTTCGGCTCTATTCACCTGCACCTGACTGGTCGTGCCGGTGTACCGTTGGTGGCATTGGTGACCCAAGTTTAGTACTCATAGTACTGGATGTGTTACTTCGTAGACGGTAGAAAGATGTTTTGACGTGTACAAACCCACAGTGAGGCCATTGAGCCACTTTAGGGTCGTCCAGTATTTGGTGTGCAAGCGACCAAACATACCACAAACTATTTGCGCCATGTAGGAGATGGGCGACGGTTGTGAGCATTATGATCTCTCCTTCCAACCGCTTCTGCACAGGTCTGCTAGGAGCCCATCGTCTACCGTCGCAAAGCGCAGCGGGACACGAGGAAGCGAAGATCCCACACTTATTTGCCCTTCGGACGCGAGTATGTAGCCTTGGAAGAGCGGGCTCTGTCCCTTGGCAAAGGAGTGCTGGCAAGCTGCATTACCGCCACGACATAGTAGAGCCAAGCAGCGCAGAGGGATCAAAGGCTCAAAGCGGCTTTCTGACAAGGGGGCTGTGTAGATTGGCGTCCTCTACCAACACCACAATAAGCATCGAGAACGACATCCTGACAGCCCGGCTTCACGAACCACCTACCTGCTTGCTGTACTCCTGAACTTATCGAAGAATTCCCCTTATTACTTATAATTCGGTGGCTCCCTCTTCGGCCCATCCATATTCTTCAGCTTTCTTTCCTCGATCTTCACGTCCAAGTCACGGAGCTGCTTCTCAACGAGCTCCTTCTTCGATACCAGATTCTGTCGCATGCTTCGGAGGCCGTCGATTCGGTCGTCAATGGTAACTTCTTGGGTTTTTTGGGCTTGCTATATACCATAACCACAATTTTAGCACTTGTAATACCCCATGTGGACCAGACATAATAGCCAATAACCGCTGAATGTAATGATTAGAGAAAAGTACCTGCGTAACCTGTTGCCCGGTCTTAATGCCAGCGCCATAAAGCGAACCAGCAATCGTAATGACCGTGACAGCGCCCGTAAGGACAATCCGGCGAATCTTCTGATTCGAAGCCATGAATGGTAACGTCAGAAAGAGAAAAGGGGACCAAAAAGAACAACTGCCCAAGACTTGGCCTTTCTCGAGATCGAAATAGCAACAAAGAAAGTTGCAAGCAACTCCGAAGCTCCGCGGCGGACCACTTGAAACTGCCACCCATCCCCGCCTAGCCCAAAAGAGGTTAGATTGAGTGTATTTCCCTTTGTCCCGCTCATCGCGTCAAATCACGCGTGAGCCGCGTTTACTTTTTGGATTTGATATCCTTTATACTACCCTTCGGGTTGTTCTTTATCTATTCACTTACTGGGGTTTCATTCAGGACCCCGCTCATTTGCATTGCCTCCTACCAGGCCCCGTTCATCCTTTCCGAAATATCGTCCACCACCAATGTCGATGCGCTGGTGAACTCAAGTTTATGCGTTGATGCGCGACTCGATCTGATCAACATGTCTTCTCGGGGGTCGATCCCTCGCCGACGGCGCCGGTCTGATGACGGCGATGGTGATGATGTGGGTAGTGTCAGTGAGAGAGCTTCCTCTGGGCCGATGAGGGGTTCGCGCACGTCGTCGCATCGCTCGGGCGGTAGTAAACGGCTACGATTGAGTACTGAGGAGCCTGATGTGGAAGACGAGATGGTAGAGGTCGGATATGAGGTGGAGGGACAGGACTTTGGGGGTCGGGGGTCAGAGGAACTGGGGGAGGACTCAGACGACGGTCAGGGCATCCGGGATGAGGAGCTAGAAGAGGAAGCGGAGGACGGGTCGGGCAATGAGAACTTGAGCGATCAGGGGGGTTCTGCGGTCAGCCAGGACGAGGAAAGGGAAGCATCCGAAGAGACGGCTGATGGCAACTACGAGTCCGCGAAGGACGGCGCCCTGGACGATAACGAGGCCCAAGCGGGAGCTGCAGAGGAGGTAGAAACTCTGGGCGATGTACCACAAGAAGGGAACGATGAAGCTTCTGAGGAGTCTGAAAACGCCGAAGATAACACCGAAGTGAACCGTCCTGCGAAGTCGACCTCTGAGCTTTCGAGGAAGAGCAGCGCTAAAGCCGCAACGCCGAAATCAGCAACAAGCCGGAATGCTTCGCAGAATGGAACCGCCCAGAAGAGGAGTGCTGGGGAGGGTACTGACGATGATCAAGATAGCGATACTGCAGAATCAGAGAGCTATGACCGTGACACCGATGAGTACGCCGCGTCAAATGCAGCAGGGTCCGGGTCTAGCAAGCACCCTAGCACCCAGACTGCAGGGACGGAATCGACCTTATCGCAGAGTGGTCTGCTTAATGGAGGGCCGCAGGAAGCGTATAAGCCAGGTGCTATTGTGCGTATTAGAGTGACAGACTTCGTAACCTACACGTCTGCGGAATTCTTCCCTGGCCCAAAGCTGAACATGGTTATCGGTCCGAATGGTACCGGAAAGAGTACCCTTGTTTGCGCGATATGTCTTGGTTTAGGATGGGGACCACAGGTACAGTAACCTTTCGTATACAGTATGGCACTTCTCCTAACTGGTTTTCATCTAGCATCTCGGACGTGCAAAAGACACGGGGGAGTTTGTGAAGCATGGCTGTAGAGAAGCTACGATTGAGATCGAGCTGGCTGGAAAGCCGGGTTCTCGTCACAATCCTGTCGTTTCTAGAACCATCAAGCGTGACGGCAATAAAAGCACGTTCACGATCAACGGAAAACAGGCCTCCCGCTCCCAGGTGCTGAAGCTAGCACAATCATTCTCTATCCAGATTGATAACCTCTGCCAATTCCTTCCCCAGGATAAAGTCGCCGAATTCGCAGCTCTGACACCAATAGAGTTACTCAATTCAACCCAAAGAGCCGCCGCTGGCGAGGAAATGATCGAATGGCATGAGAACCTGAAGCGTCTGAGAGCGGAGCAAAAGAAGCTGCAAGCGGACAACCAAGGCGACCGTGACACTTTGACGAACCTTGAGGATCGGCAAGAAATGCAAAGAGCCGACGTTGAGCGGATGCGCCAAAGGGCTCAGATTAAGAGAAAAATCGAGATGTTGGAGATGGCCCGTCCTGTTCTGCAGTATAAACAGGGACACGAGAGGTATAATAATATGAGAAGGGAAGTTAAAAGAATCGAACGCGAACTAGCGCGACTCAAAGAGGATCTCGAGCCTGCCTTAAGATCCGTCAATGCGAAGCAACAGTACTGTCTCGAAACGGACGAGGTTATCAAGTATAAAACGCGTCGTCTAGAGGAAGCCGAGCGTGCGGCTTCCGACGCTGGCCGAACAATTGAACAACATGAGCGGGAGATAAAGGGATTTGACGATGAGATCAATGCCGAAAAAGAGGGCGGGTCAGGCTATAGGCAAGAAGCAACTAAGATTCAGCAAATGATAAACAAGCTCACACGTCAGTTGAATGAGAAACCTGACGACTTCGATGTGGAGTGGTATAACGAGCAAATAGTAAGTTTTTGCAGGATGATGTTGGCTATTTCTGCTAATCCATGAAACAGAGAGAAAAACGACGAGAAATCAGGGAAATTGAGGAAAAGGCGGCCCAGATCAAAAGCGACCGACGACCACTTTTCGAAAGCTTGACTGTGAAAGCCGATCAGATTAAGCAGGCGGAACGTCAGTTACAAAACTTGGAATCCCAGGCTGGACAGCAAGAGAACAAGCTTGGACGACTCTCTGCCGATTCCGTTCGCGCCTATCATTGGATCCAACAAAATCAAGACAAGTTTGAAAAGGAGGTTTTCGGGCCTCCAGTGGTTACATGCTCAATCAAAGACCCAAAGTACGCCGACGCTGTTGAGTCCTTCTTGCAGCGCACGGACTTCATGGCCTTCACTACGCAAACCCGGAATGACTTCAGGACCTTGCAGAGGATACTCTGCGGCGAACAGAAGTTGACTGATATTAGTATTCGAACATGTTCTACACCACTAGATCGACTTCAGCCTTCTGCAGCCGAGGCTGACGAATTCCGCGAATTCGGATTTGAGTGCTGGGCAAAGGATTGCCTCAGTGGACCAGATCCAGTTCTGGCTATGCTCTGTAGCGAAAAGGGCCTCCACCAGATACCCATTAGTCATGCAGACATGGCAGATAATGATTTCGAACGCTTGAAAACGGGTCGCTTAATTTCCTGGGTTTCTGGAAGGCTAAACTATACGGTTATGCGGCGAAGGGAATACGACGCAATTTCCTCCCGGCTTAGGCCTCTGAGGCCAGCTAAATTCTGGACATCACAACCAGTGGATGCATCAGAGAGACAAAGAGCCACGCAGAAGATCCGTACACTGAAAGGCGAAGTGCAGGAGGTGCAAGAGCAGATAAATAGTGAAAAAGCCAGACTTGAACAACTTGGTCATAAGCACACTGAACTCAAACAAGAGCAGGTATGTTGAGCTTATGCTGTCATGAATTTTTTCTGTGCTAACGTGAAATCTTGCAGAGCGAGCTTGAGCGGGAGAAGGGAGAAAAGCAGACAGCTCTAACACAATTCAGGGCTATTCCGGAGAGAATACGTAGGTGACACGTCGCACCCTTCACAGATTGGGCACTCTAACACACCGACAGGCCAGCAAGAAGCGAGGCAGAAGGAAAACCAGAAAATGTTCGAGCAGATGAGAACGCGAGTCGCCAACCTCCGTAGTGAGCAAGATCAGGCATCCCTCCGCAAGGCAGAGGCCGTCATTGAATATGCTGTAAGTTCACAGGGCATAGATACCAGGGTCCTGTTACTAATAGAAGATAGAACGCCGTTGAAAACTTCCAAAAACTTCATGAAGAAGTCATCAAGCTGAAAGTGCGGCACATCGAAGGTGTCTCAGACCTAGAAGTCTTGAAAGCTCGGAACGTCGAACACCGGCACACGCTGGAAGCTAAGCACAATGAATTGAAAGAGGCGAATCAGGAAATCAAAGACATAGGCAAAACGGTCAAGAAGCTCCAAGACGACGCCGTGAAGGTCGCCAATATTTCCCAACAACAGCCCGACCTAGCCGAACTATTACACACGATTAAAGATATGACAATGGAGCAGTTCGAGGCCGACATTGACTCCGAAAAGGCTCGTCTCGAACTCACCCACGGCGGAAACAGTAACGTGATCAAAGAATTTGAAGAACGTGGACGTCAAATCGACAAGCTGCGTGACAAACTCGCCGACTTCCAGAAAAAGCTGGACGACTACAACCACGCCATCAATGAAATCCGCGGCCGCTGGGAACCCAAGCTTGACTCAATCATCAAAAGCATCAGCGACGCTTTCTCCGACTCGTTCGCCCGCATCGGTTGCGCCGGCCAAGTCACCCTGGACAAGGCCGAAGAGACTGGTCCGAACGGCGAACCAGGTGACAGCGACTTCGACCAATGGTCGATTCAAATCCACGTCAAATTCCGCGAACACGAAAACCTTTCCCTGCTGGACTCACACCGTCAGTCTGGTGGTGAACGCGCCGTCAGCACAATCTTCTACCTCATGGCCCTCCAATCTCTCTCCGCATCCCCCTTCCGCGTGGTCGACGAAATCAATCAGGGTATGGATCCCCGAAACGAGCGCATGGTCCATGGCCGTCTGGTCGATATAGCCTGCGCCCCGTCTGAAACCGGCGGCGGCGGCCAGTACTTCCTGATCACACCCAAGCTGCTTAGCGGGTTGGCTTACAAGCCGGGAATGCGCGTCCTCTGCATCTACAGTGGCGAGCACATGCCCGAAGACTACAACCTGATCGACTTCAAGGGAGCCATTGCTAAACGAAAGGCCGTGACAGGGAGGAGGACGACCATGGGACCTGCTGCCAGTACAGGTAGCGTAAGCGTTCATGGTTGATGATGTTGATTACGACCGCCACAATAACGACGAAATTGCGATTACGGCCGTGAAGTGCTTATCCTTGACTCCTGACACCTCCCTTTCTTCATTCCTTCCTCTCTATTCTCCAAATTCCCTGTCCCTTCTTCTCTATTCTATTACATACTATCCGGAAATATTCCCCTTTACTCGCAATTTCCATTGTCTTTTTCTTTTCTTCCGATTTGGAATACCTCGTGTCTGTTTTTGGTTACGATCGTCATGATACCTTATTTATTTCCCTTTCCTTCCGGAGTGGCTGCGTCGATTTGTTTTTTTCTTTCCATTCTTTCCGTTTGGGAGAATAGGTAAATATTTTTGATTTAGATAAATGATTGATTGATACGCAGGTAGTTTTAGTCATTTAGCGAGTCGGGAATTTGGCAATGGTGGTGGTGGCGGTGGCGGTGGTGGTGTTGGGTGGAAATTATCGCAGGTTTTACACATTTTCTATCATTGCAAGTATGGATTAAGTATGAGTAGTATATAGATCGCTTTGAATTTGAGATTACTGAATTAGAGATTCGCTCTATATCGTATCACTTTTATTACAATTAGTTAGTTAATATCTTGATAATTACTTGGGTTGTTTCGTTCGTGGTGACTTTGATAATGGAAGTGGTCCGGATGCAGTATGCTGAGTTCTTGTACATTATGGCCTGGTTAAGGCATTGACAAGTTCTCCCCATCCGATGCTAGTAGTGATAAAGATCTTGAAGAGTCGGAAAAGGTCAAGAGGCAAAGAAAGAGTGGTGAAGTAGGGTGGGAAAGATTTCAAGATGGAATTAAGTAGGAGGGAGGATTATCTAGCTTAGTTAAGTAGTCTAAGAAGAAGCCTGTGTCTTTCTGCTTCGTATGTTGCGAAGAACGGATGGTTAGGTCTTCTATACTTTGTAAGATGCGAGTATGGGGAGTAAAGTGTAAGCAAGATGATTAGATGTAGAGAGGTGAGGGGATAAAGACGATAATTACGAAGTAAAAGCGTCCATCTACGCTATATTATACTATAGTTGGTAAGGGTTTGGTGGAATGGAAGCTTGATCTTTCATCTAGAATGCGAGTCTATGCTCTTAATTTGGTTTCTTCATACCAGAGTAGAACAAAGCTGTTGTGCGTTTGTTATAATCGTATAGTAGGAACATCTCTTGTTCACAAGGTCATGTCACATCATAACAAAGGAAATGAGATGACACAAGGAAAAGTAAGGAAATAAGAAAGAAAAAAAAAAGATATAGGAAACACAGATAATAGAAAAAATTTCAAACCAGAGTTGAGACTCCGATATAATCCCATGCTCAATGATTCTCCTCCCGACTCTTATGATGCTTTGCATTTCCCAGATCGAAAACCAGCGACGCCTGCTCCTTTTCACATGGACAATAAAATATAAAAAAGGGAAAAAGACATCCAAATATACACAGGTGGAAGTGAACAAAGAAAAGATGGGGATTCCCATCACAACACACCCAAGTCCCATGGATTCCCGGGTGCGTGAGGATCAGAAGAAGTGAATATAGAAAATGCACAAAAGGGTATCATTCAAAGAAGAAATCAGAGCAGATGGTCGCTGGGTTCAGGGAGGTTGGTATGATGGAGTGGTATGGTCGTTTTTTTTTTTTTTTTTTTTTTTTTTGGATTGTATAGCTCTTGCTTTTTTGTCGAGCTTTTTTGTTGCCTTGATTGCCTTCGAGGCGCATCAAGGTGACCGGACACCCAGTGGCGGTCTTTTTATACCATGGCAGTTGCGACGGGCCGACCACTGTGGCAACCACGCTCATGACGCTTCATGTTGCTGCGCACACTGAAGGCCTTCCCACAACCAGCGTGGGTGCAGCGAAAGGGCTTCTCGCCCGTGTGGCTGTGAGAGTGGATGCGCAAGCTGGAAGGTCTTGAGAAGGCCTTGTGGCAGGTCCGGCAGATATAGCGATCATGGTTCTGCTGGTAGGGCGTGGTGCTGGAGGGAGGGAAGTAGTGGTGGTGTTGCCAGGCAGGGTTCACAGGGGAAATAATCTGTTGCGGTGCTGCCGGTGTCGGGAGAGGAGCGGCCGAAGTGGAAGGCGCCGTGCGCTGGTAGAACATGGCGGAGGAGGCCGAAGGCTCAATGGGAGAGGAGTAGGAAGAGACGCTGGGAGCGGGAGAAGCGTAGGAAGCGCTGGAGACACCCTGAACGGAACCCTGGCTGGAGATGGACGACCGATCGGAGGGGCTAGGCAGAGCCATGGGCACTTGAGGGTAGGAGTCGGAGCGCTTGGGCGCAGCAGCATCGCTGGCAGCAGAGATGGAGGAAGCGGGAGAGTGGCCGGCGCTGTGGAAGCTAGACCCAGGGCGCAATGGGGGCGTGGGGGGCAGGGCGATTTGGGGGCCGTTGGCTTTGAGGTCATATGCTTGCGACTGTTGGCGGGAATCAAGGTCGCGCTGCAGAGGAGGGGTCATTCTAGTACGCTCTGCAGGAATCTCTTGTCAGCATTTCACTCCTTCGGTCTTCTCCGGACGACTTTCTAAGCATTGGGGGCCATACTTGCTGCGTGCATAGCTGCGCCATCTGCGCCCTCAAGCAAGGTAGAGATGGAAGGAAGAGAGCACTTGGGAGAGTGGTCCTCCACAGGCGGGGAGAGAGGAGGCTGCGGGGAGCGGGTGTAGGAGACCGGGACGGAGGGGAAGTATGAGTCGGAAGTCTGTTCGATGGACCGCTTGTAAGAGGTCATGGGAGGGCTGTATGAGGCTCTAGACTTCATGATGGGATCGGGTCCCGGGTGGGAGATGAGGCTGGCGAGATCCATGTCGAGTGTTGAAGTAGGTGGTGGTGGGTGAGGGTGGATGTATATGTATGTATGTATAGAAGGTTGGATGAAACCGAGTGGAAAGGAAAAGGTAGCTTATAGCAAGCAAGAAGGAGGCTACCGAGGGAAGATATATAAAAGCGAGGTCGAGTCAAGAGGCAACGAAAGATGGATCCAATGGAATTGGAGGCAAGGTACAAGTGGGGGTGGGTTTGATGGGAACAGGGGGGAGAGATGGAGGAGGATATGAACGGGGTTTATAGACCAAAGCGCGTGGATGGCAGAGGGGAAAAGAAGGAGAGACGATGATTGAGGGTGTGGAATAGTGGAGATATGCGAAAAGTGGGGAGCAAGGTTGACAGGAAAAATAATAAAATAAAATAGAGAGGATATTTTATTTTATCAGAAAATAAAATAATAAAATAAAATAAAATCCAGGGAGGATCAATCGACAGGCAGTTTAATTATAGCTGCCCGCTGGGGAGTATACTCCGGCCGTAGTGGTTCAACCGACGGGTGGAGAGCCCGAAGAGACTGTGAGAGGGAGAAAGAAGAGAGACGCGAAATAAAAAAATAAAAAAATAAAATAAAAATAAAAATAAAAAGAGGCAGCCAGACACAAGACAAGCCAAAATACAGACAGAGCAGACAGAACAGACTCACACAGGAGGGAGAGAAAGCGGGCGAATCCGACGCAAATCGCTGGTCCCCAAATAATTACACTTTTTTTTTCTCCCCCGTCTGATGAGGATTTCGTCTAGTAGAGGGATGAACCTACTAACTTCCTTCTTCCTGCCACACAGCCGAACAGGTACGATATACTCCGTTCTGGCTTGGTTTATCCTCATATTATTTTACTAATTTCTTTTTCTTCTTCTCTTCCTTCATCCCTCCAGTCCCAGCGGCGTCTTGAATATTCCCGAGCCCGCAGTGGCCACATTTCTTTTATTTTTTATTTTCCCTCTCTATCTAATTTATTTTACTCGATTCGCTTCCACAAGGGCTGATACCTCCGTCCCAAAGCTTAATTAATGGGCAGTGGCCCCGGTACGGAGCACCACACGCGATGTCTTGCTCTTGGCGGGTAATTTACGTTTCCTTTTTGGAATTTTTATTTTTAATTTTTCCATTTTTCTTTTTGAATTTCCCTGTCTTCTAATTTACCGCTTTCGGAATTTCAAAAGAGGGAAATTAGAAAATCCAAACTGAAAAAACACTTAACCGGGATGATTTGCCATTAGCTTTGCTATACCTTTTAGGTAGGCTCAACGAGAGCTAAAACAACGTGCGCCGCCTCCACCATTATTCCACACCCTTCGCTGCTCCCCTCCCCCCAGGCCACCTTAACCCTGGGAAAAGTGGATGGTTTTTCCATGGGAGCTGATGAGCACGGAAGTAAGATGATGGCAGATCAAGCTGAGACTGGGTAAAAGAGACGAGATGAGAGACAGTCGATCATCTTCCTATCTAAAAGTGCTATACATAGACAAAGGAGAATCTTGTAGTAGTGAAAGTATGACGACAAGAAATCTTCCTCCACTTTGCTCTAGACCATTTGGCAACAGTAGCAGTAGCAGCAGCAGCAAGCAAGCAAGCAAGCAACAAACATCACGAGCATGACTCTTTCAAAAAAGTTACGAACAATGAGATCCCAACGGAGATCTACTCCTGAAAGAAGCAACGCGGTGGGAGGAGAAGGGGGTACGTAACTGCGTCGTACGAAGGGCACAGCAACCACACAGTAACTGACTCTAACTCTCTTGACCTCTGACTCTCAGATCGGCCGATGGAGCCAAAGCCAACGGTACTTTCGGGGCTCGGCTACAGTAAGTCTGGCGCTAGTGCAGATCCACGGACACCTTTCCTTTCTCCATCATGCGCGCCCTCCAGGAATCAATCAGAGATCATCCTTCATCATGGGGACGGAGCCGACCACCAGTGGCACCCACACCACCCCCCTACTACTAGTCGACGACCCTAAGCAAAGAAATGGAAGTCTCCGTCCGGTATTATAGTGGTAATCGAATCGAACTCTGGGCTGGACCTACTTTACCATCTGGCTTGCACTTACGCCAGCAGCCGATCTTTCTCTTCGGGGTGGAACCCCCAAGGCTCCGTCCTGGTTTTACCTGTCACAACGATCCCATGCCCCATAAACGGCTGATCGTTGCCGCACGATCACGCTGCTGCTGGCTGGCTGTTGCTCTGCTGCTGCTACTGCTACTGCTGCTGGATGTTGGCTGCTTTGCTGCTTGAGAACCTGATCTCATGTGGTTCCAGCTTGCTTCCAACCAGCTTTCATGGTTAGCCAGTCCTGACTGTCCCCTTCTGGGTCTCCTCCCCACCTCTCTGCTTTCCATACACCCCACCCTCCTTCTTCCTCCTCCCCGTAGATCCTGTGTGTTCGGGGCCCTCGGTGGGCGAAACTCGCTGCCTAAGGTACCCCTCCCTCCTTCCCACTTGGCTGGTTCCGTCCCGGTACTTGTCCGTGACCCAAACAGTCCAACCCTGGTCCAGCATGGCTCAGATCACCGGTTTGAGGGGAAGGGGGAGGGGGAGGGGAAGAGGCAGACAGACACACACACACACAGGAAGAGAGAGCGCGCAATAGAGAAGGGATCCAATCTATTCCCAGGTCTCAACCCTGGTTGGTCTCAGTTTCCATCTCCGTTCTTTCCGTATTCTAGCGGTCGATTAAACATCCCTTTCTGGAAAACAATCTGAAAAGGTGACCCTGAATCCATTCCATCCATAGTTATTCCTTCTCTAAATTAATTGTCTCTTACTACTCGATCCTATTTCTCCGAAGATCCTTTGGTACTGAGACAATGCGTGCGTGGTCCAGCAACACAGACCAGCACATTATAATAATAATAGAAAAGTTACTTTGATGGAAAAGACTCCGTTGATAGCGTCACTACACGACTAACACAGACACCCCCTTAGTTTTTCTCCCTAGACCACGGAGATGGGAAATGGAGAAACGCCCATCGTGAGGGCCATGACTCGCTTGATGTCTGGGATGGGAAATGTCTCCGGGGATGGTCCAATCCCTTGGGGCCGGCCGGGCTGACGGAGTCGCGGCACGATGCGCGGATGGCATGGCAGCTCGCTCTTTTTGGCCTGCTTGTTAAGCAAAAGGGGGCTCTAAGCCCAAGAGAGCTTAGATCTGGTCCATCCAAGAAAGGAATCTCTGAACGATCCTCAGGCTAGACTAGTTCATAGCACCCATCCATTCCTTTCGGTCGGTCGGGGGGCCAAGATGGTTTATTCTATTTTGCTTATTTTCTTTTTACGGTGATGAGGAATGCCGGAGATTATCATGGCAGTTGACAGCCAACAAGAATAAAGCGATTTTTTTTTAAATAATAAATGATGAAAAGAAAAAGAAAAGAACAGCAAAAGGATGCCGCTGACTAAACTAATCCCAAGTCAGCTAGATTGATCCGATCCGACCAACAAACAAGACGGAAGGGAAAGGCCTTTCGGATGATTATTATTATTGTATGATCATCTGGCCCCCCGACGAGGGTTACTTTATATAGACTACGGAGATGTATCTATGTACGATGTAGATTCACATCTCGGTTTGCTCACTATTAGCAATACTCTTTCTTTTCTTTTTTGTTGCTCTTCTTGGGGGCTGGTGAGATGTGTTGGTCAGGCAGTGACCACTAGTAACTCTCTTTTTGTTTTGCAGAACGGAGAAAATCAACCATCCAACGAGAATGACAGGAACCGGGCGATGGATATGGAGAAAAATGCAATCGTCCATGCAAGCGATAACTGACTGGCCCAGGCGTAACTCAAGGGATCCAGGGAAAACCTCCCCTGATTGATCAGCCATGCTGCGGATGCTGCATGGTGCATGCGTTTTACGGTGACTGGTCAATGACGTCGACCAGGGCCGGGGTTGTTGGTGTGTATGTGTGCCTAAGTCACCACCCTTTCAGCAAATATTTATTGAGACAATTGACTTTGTCCCAAAACCGGATATCTACTTGCACTTTTGCTTCTTTCTTTCTCTGTCGTCCACATTCGGGCCGCATCGGTTTAGTTGGTGGGAACTGCACAGCGCATCATCATCATCATAATCGTCATCATCACCACAGCCACCAACCATGATCAAGGGAAGGAAGGCTGACTGACGAGGCTAATAACCACCGATATCAACTGCCGAAGTGGATAGTAGTGTAGATGGATTCGATTTCCCTGCCAAAAGGCCATGTCCGCATTCCTTCACTTCCATTGGGATCGACCGTCAGATCACGACGTCTAAACTAAAAAGCTTTGCCTACGGGCGGTCTCAAGTCCAAAATAAGCATGGCTAAACGAGACATTTCGAGAAAAGACATAATTATACTTTGATTCTCGGGAGGTCCCCAAGGGCCTCACAGCCGGAGCAGGGCGGGACGCTCACACACGAGACAGATGTACCTCGGCCGGGAGAGCTACAAGACGAATCCCGAAAAGGGTTATGGAGACGAAGGGGGGAAGAAAGAACGGACGGACCTACTTTCCACCTTACTAAGTGTGGTTTTAGTTGTTGATCATCCCGGTATTATTTCTGGGAACCGAGATCAGTCATCAGTCAGTCAATTTATGCGTTCGCTTCCCGTCGGATGAATTGCTTCCGGCTGGTTGGCTGGCTGTTTTTATGTCACGATTTTTTGGTCTCACAAGAAATCTGAACCTCGTGGTAGTAGATCTACAGTAAGGTATGCTGTAGGTACAGCCAAGCAAAAATTGAAAATCAAAAAATCTCTATTTTGAGGTCACTCATATATCGGCATAATCCATCACCATCATCATCACGTCTAAACAGCCCCCATCCCTGTCGCGTCTCAAGCCTCAGTGGTAGCAAGCAGGCTGGCCTTACACTTTACCTCTTTCTTGGTATTCTTCCGAACAACAACTGATCAGCACAAATCACTCTTAGCGGCGGACCACACCGCCCACACCCGATTACCGGAAGCGTACCTGAGCGATGCCAACGCGAGCGCCCCCATCGCCCGAAGTGGTAATGCTCCCGGCCGTAGTACATATCTAGCTTAGTGTGATTTTTATTTTGTAGCGAAGGGAGACGCAACAATGGAATGGCACAGTCGATCAATCCCTTCCTTTTCCCCCCTCCTTGGCGACTTTTAGCGGATCATCCATCCATTTTTACCAACCTGCCAGTGCCAACTAAAGTAACCTAACAATCCAAAAAACAAACGCCAACTGTCGGCGACGCCGAATTACATCATCTTTAGTCAAATCCATTTCCTTCCCCAAGATAGATTAAATGATCGTCTGGGCTGTTTTGTGTTTGTGGCATCCAGAACGGCTGATTACTCCATACGGAGATTGATTCATCCATGGATGGACACACACACACACACACACACACACACACACACACACACACATACTTTAAAGAGAATACGATTAATGGAAGCGCTGACATACGCGTCAGGGTTCTCCTCTTTCATTCT